TGTCCCAACTCTGCACTTACCTTCTTGCTGTTTTTATGCAGTCATATCCTCTATGAGACTCTGAAGCTGAAACATGTCTCCCCTTCACTCCCACAGCAGACTTTTCTTTCCCTTCAATTTCAGAATTTACGCCCTTAGAAATGCTGTGCTTTGCCAGCTCAATATTTCTATTCACCGAGGGGATTCTGCAGGAAAAAAAAAAAATCAGGGCATTCACCACTGGCACCTGGAATGAGTTCCGGGGGAGCTAGCTTCATTACAGAGCTACTGGAGCTCTGTGGAAGCAGTTGGCCTGAAGAGCTGCCAAGAGGGTTTCAAGCAAATATATGTCCTTTTCTTTAAGAAACAAATGAAACAACAGGAACTCGCTGCTGATGGAATGGGTTGCACATGAGACTGGACAAATGTTGCTAAATTAGTAGAGTTTTCCAGGGACTGTATAATAGGTGTGGAAATAAACCTTCAGCAGGATGCAGGATTACTCCTTAGGACTGCAACATTAAGAATAGTCTGTTCTCAGTCTAGAAGGGAACAAAATCAGAAGAATTTGATGCCAAATAGTGGGGAAAAAAAAAAAAGACAGACATTTTCTGGATGTCTGTGTTATTTGAGGGACCAACCAGGGATGAGTTATTTGTCTTTGAGCTATACAGCTGTTAAAGTTCCAAGAAATGAAGTCATGGCTTTCAACAGGCCCCAGTTATATCACGTGTTTCTGTTTGAACTTCGAAGGTGGCCTTGACTCTCAGAAATGCATGGAAGTCTCAAAAGCCACCACCTACTTGCCTACAAGATCAAAAGGGATGAAAACAACACCTCAGCTTACCTTATTTTAAACACGATCCTGTAATTCAGCAGACGAGTGCCCTTTCACCATCAATAGTGTTACTGCAGATCTGACTTACTCCTTCAACACTTAAGGAAACTTGTTACCAGAACAAGGCCATCGCAGCATCACACAACACTAGCGCTCAGAGGACAGCAACATTTGCTGTATGAATTCCATGGTTAATTTTGACCAGCAGGGAGCAACTATAGATAGTAGTCCCTGCTTGGAAGCAAAAATCTGGAAAAAAAAAATCAAATACTTTTTTTCTGTCTCAATTTATGTATTTCCAGAGTTTCTCTAGGAATATAAAGGTATCACAGCACTTCTTGGCCCTGAGATTTGTGTCAGCATCTACCTTTTACAGGAAAATCCAAGTATGTCCCCCCCCCAAATCCTTATCATTTCCTTTTTGCAAAACAACACAGATGAAGCAATATCTTTTATAGTGTTGATAAAAGGGTGCGAAGCTGTTATCTCATGCTTTCACCTTGCTCTTGCTCATGGTGAAGTTCTCTTCTCCAGCACAGAAGTTCGACTTTTCTGTGGTCTGATGTTTGGCTCCTCTTCAGCCACATTTTCAGTACACCTTTGCACACATCCAAAGCTGTGCTGGCACCTCAATTCCACTGTATTAAGGTATCCCACCAGACCTAGAGAGACCTCTCTATAAAATCCAAAGCTTCTTCTTAACCTGTGCCTGCTTTATAACCCCAAAGAAAACAATATGCAACTTTTTATTCTCTATCCAATATTACTCCCTCCACTCAAAAGGTTACTAGTACATTAGAAACCATCCAAAGTGCTAAGCAGGGAGGAACAAGAACATGAAACAACAAAATGCAAAGGAATACCTCATCTTCATATACTGACATTATGAATTTACTCATAAATCTACTTGGGGACAGTGTGAACTCTGCTGCTAGCAAATACATTTGAAAAGGGACTATAGGTTGAAGGTTCTCTGTCTAGTGGCTGTTACCCTTATTGATAGTGAAGAAGATCTGAATAGGGTCTGACCTCTTCTGTAATGAATGCACTGGCAGCCTGGGTTGTTTTACAAGTCATTTAGTCTAGGAGATGCTCAGCATGTTCCAGTGGAATAGGAAACTCCTCAAGAAATTTTTGCATCTAGCCTCTTCTCAAGATCTTGAGCAAACCAAAATATGACTGATTTGTACATGTAATAAAGAGCCACCCACATGATTTGGAAGAGATCAGAGATGACTCCTGAACAATAAAAGATGTTAACCAGAAAACTCTCTTTGTGGCCCGTGGCTTGAATTGAAGGGTTACAGGATCGGGAGGCATCACAGACATGTCACAGAAGTGGTTGGGCTAGAAAATTACCCTAAATAGCCTTTATTATCACCAAATGATAGAGGATGATAATGGTACTGTAAGCCAAACACAACGGACAATGAAATGATCTATGAAGCTGTTCTTTTGAGGTCTTCTGTTTGAACTTGTTTTTTTCTCCCCACAATTTTGGTATGTGAAATAATGTCTCATTAACACAGTCCTGGGGCAGAAGAGATCAGCAAAATATGTAAGATCTGTAACACATTCATGCTGAAGTTCTCATTTAATTTTTCTAAGGCAAAAAGAAACATGCTCAAACTTAGGCTGGAGGTGGACACTCAAACATTTAGCTGAAAACACTATCGATTTCATAAAGCAAAATTTGGGGCTTGGTTTGACGAATATATTCGATTTGTTTCCTAACACTCCTCATAAGAGATACTCCTACAATGTGTGGGTTGCTCGAACCCTATTCATTTCAAATCTATTAATGAGAACGTGACTATTCAAGTTCATGACCACAGAGGAGGGGACAAATTCTGTTCCTATAATGCAATTTTGTGAATTTCAGGATTGAGTGTCCTGTCAATAATGGCAGTTTTAATAAACACCACTGAGAGATTTGTTCTTAATTCACAAAATATATTGTTTCTGATTTTGATAATAAATCTCTAAGCTAAGAGCCCTAGTTTCTCCCCAGATAGACACAACTGTGACTAAAGCTCCACATACTAAAACATACTGACTTGCAGGGAAAAAAGCCAACCACAAGTAGATGTGAGCAGGCAAAAACAATTACAAAGAAAAAAAAAAAAAAAGAAGAGAAATAAACATTTAGCTGAAGTCTCCAGTGATTTCATGAGACGAAAGTTCAGTCTAGGCTTGAAGAACAAACTCATTTTGTTTCCTAATATGCCTCTGTCTTAGATCATAACCCAAATATTCCCACAGTGACTGTATTGCTTTAACTCTCTACATTTAAAATCTAGTAATCTTTGAATTGTTAAGTAAAGCAATGAACTTCCTCCCCCCAGTAAAATATACAAAACTGTCGCAAGTACAAGCATTTAATATGTGCTTGAGCAGCTACTAGATGTCTCACACCAGCTTTGCCACATATGCCTTTTTTTTTTTTTTTTTTTTTTTTTACAGTACTGGCAACAATTTATATAGAAGTATAACTAAATATAATCCTCAGGCTGGATCTAGAGAAATGGTGCTATTTTAAAAATATAGTGTCATTTAAACTCCCTTACTGTTAAAAATGAAAACAAAAGATGGATCTTTAGACGAGAAAATTCTCATCCTTATATAGCCAAAGGCAAAAAGTAAGTAACTGCAGACAGACAGGAGTCATTAGTGTGGTGCTGTTAATGTCTCTCACATGGATGAGAGCTGCAGATGACTAAAGGCATTTGTGAGTAAACTTCAAAACTGGTTCTGTGGATAAAGTGTCACAATAAAAGGCTTCAGTGCCTCAGGATTTTCATATTTTGCAGGCAGCTTTGATAAAGCAAGAGGCTGATTTAAATAACCTGCAAGAGCTTTGGGCCCAAGTCCTAAAGCTGTCACTTCTCTTGTAGAAAAAGACAAAAAATGAAGGATTAAGTAAAAGCTGGAGGAGAACTGAGGCTAATGCCTTACCAGAAGCCTTTGCATGGGGCAAAGCCAAGGCACTGAGCACAAACTCTTGCAGATTAATTTCAACTCTGGAAGACAGGATGTTTGTCTAAAGCATTGGCAGTGAAAGACAGGGTTGTTCTTGGCACCAATCACAATCACTGTTTTAGTCCCTCTGCTATATAGTTACAGGAAAAGAATGCATTTGATTTCTCTGGAGCTGACAGAATACAGAAACTTTAATGTAAAAAAAAAAAATAATAATGTAAACCAGTTAGTGACTAAATGAGATATAAATATTAACCCTTTCCTGGATATGTCCACTACTGATCTATGTAGTTCCTGACTAACCAGTCTTAATCAGGTCAACAGTTTGCTTACTTATGTTCAATTAAACACTTTATTCAATAAATTAAAATATGTAATGCAATTTGAATCAAAATATCACCAACTATAATGCTGGAACAAACCTCTGTTTTAATCTTTGTACTTGATCAGTTGCACCTTACAAAATACAAAAAGCCAGCAAAAAGATTGATTGTGAACCATATTCAGAGAAGACAAAACATGCTACAAATAATTATTTAAGAACAGAAAGATTATACTAACAGCTCAGAAAGTACTGAATATTGATCTGTGTGGAGTTACAAATTCCAACTGATATTATTAAATCCAGCAGTTTAAAAGTAAGAATTGTATTAAGGAAATAACCAGCTTTTTCTGTCTTCATGCAATCTTCTCCACAGACTTCAAAACACTTCTGAGACTGCTAAATCAACAATTGACTGTACTGTGAGGGAATTTTCATGTTCAGTAGTTCTGAAGTTATAAACTTCATGTTCCACCTAACACTTTTAATAAATAGATTTTGACTTAATAGGCATAGCAGTTATGGGTAATAGGAGAAAAGAAAACCACTTCACCTGGGATAAACTCTCATGGTGGACACTTCAGGACACCAAGTAGTCACCAGCCCGTGCTATCCACTTTTAAATAAGTAAATATACTTATATAATATAATCACTAGGGAAATAAAATCAGATCTGATATATAAGACTTCCATTATCCAAACTAAAAGTGGATAAATCCAACGTATCAGTATTTGTCCTAAGCAATGCTAGAAAGAGCTGATCGGTGGAAAACTTGGTAATATATTGTTAGGAGATGCTTGAGGATGAAAGACCAGCTCTCATAAATGCTTGGAACAAAAGGGGAAAAAAAACAAACAAACAAACTTGTAAGAAGTGTTAAGGTCAAAAGGGATCGAAGCATGTAAAAAAAGAAAACAACATAGTTTAGTCTTAAAGTCTTCAGGCATTACTGGGCAAGCAGAAAAAATAACTTCCCTAGAGTCTCTAAGGTTGTGGCTAGGATCTTTTCAACACATACTACGATGATGCTACACTGAAAACAAGGACAGCAAACACCAAGCAGTTGACATAGACTACATTCTGCCCAGAAGTATCAGAACTAGCAGCTACTGAAGAAATGAACGTTGTTGTGCCTCAGTACCAGGTCCTCCAAAGCAGAATAAGTTTGGAGGTGCATCTGTCCCCATGACCATCCTGACGAAAGCCGTGATGATGCTTCTTAGTTGGAAATACCCCCATGTAGCTTTGCCCCGTGCTTCATGCACTTACTGACACCTGTATTGTTCTCCGGTGAATGATGCTTGGTGCCCAAGGACAGAGTTCACATGTTAACAGTAAAGTAGCTCATGAGCCTAATCCAGTCTGTGCAACTGTCACCTCTGAATTTTTTTTTTTAAATCAGACTTCACCACAGATACTAAGGTCAAACAAAAGAGACATCTGTAACAGACTAGCATCTCAAACAATCTAAGTTTCTGCATGTGGCATCAAACTTTGTGCCACAGATATATGTTCTTCCATTAACAGGTACAACTACAACATGTTTAACTTACACTATTGTGAGTACTGAAAGGCAGGTTCCAGGAATCATGACAAATATGGGCAGATAAATTGTTAATTGTTATGCACTTATGTAAGGACAACAATTACGGCACAAGTCAAAAAAATATCCAAAACTATAGTTAAAAAAAACTAAGTGAAGGGGGATAAATTTAATGATGATGGATGCCATACTCCTGAGGTAAACATCTTATCAGTTTGGTCTGATTAAGAGCCAAAAATTTGCTCATGAGCTAACACATTTAGAGTGAGGAGGTTTCTACAACAATTATCCATTCCTTCACTAGGAATTAGGTAATGAAGATGCAGAAAGTCAAGGGGAAGGGACAGACAAAACAAGAGTCTAGCCCTCAATTTTTGTTTTAAACCTTTTCTTACTTTGAAGCTTCTGATGTAGCAAAGGAAAAACTTAGACATTATAAAATGTTCCATTTGAGTTATTTTCTGGACAGTTAGGGAAAACAACACTAGACTATTTGTACACAAACAACTTTGAGGCATTTTGCTTTTAATTTGCATACAACTCTTTAAAGTGAAATCCACATGAAGAAGGGTGAGATACAACAGAGCCCATTTACCATGTCACAAGTTAACAATACAAAGTAAACATCTGTTGTCCCTATTAACTAACTTCCATCCCTTACCCCAGCTTGTCACTTACTGCTGCAAGTTTCCATGAGAAATAAATGCATGGAGTAGATCCTAACTCCACAGATGTTCACATGTGGACTTCAGTGGTACTGCAAATTATCAAGAATAAATTGAAATAGAATGCCTTGAATGTGCTTATATCCTCTGAATGTTTCCCAAATCAAGACCCAAAGTTCACAGTAAAAAAAAAAAAAATACTCCTTGAATTGTTCTATTCAGTTACTTAGCTGACTGTGGTTCCTCTGTGGAGCACAAAGCTGAGGAGAAAAAGAACAATACTTTCTGTCAAATGAGAGAGAGCGAGCATTAAATCAGGAATAGAGAGGCATCAAAATAACTATGCTGAAATGGACTTCCCAAGCAACTTTATCTGGAACACAATTTGAGCAGGCTCTTTCCATCTATGAACTGATAAAATTTTCTAGCTATGCATTTTCTGCATAAAGTTGAACTTGACCAGGCTTGTGGCTTCTTTCAAACTGGCAAATACCATTTTGACCAAAATACATTACAACATTATTATATGTATCTAAGGTAGAATAATGGCAAGATACTAAGGACAGCACCATCTTTTTTCTTGTTTTAATGAGACTAAATAATAGGATAAAAATAGGCTGAAAGGGGAACAACAACAAATTTGTCTTGCAGATCTTTCCAAAAAAGATAGGAACATATGAGAGAGAGAGAGAGAGATTGCAAAGAAGCTTGGCCCACCATCACCATCAGAAAACCCCTATCAGTTAGAGCTATCTGTATTTAGGTCTTACAACAGTAATAGTGATTTACCTTTTGACCTAAAACTTTGCATGAGGGCTTTTTGTGTGTGTAGGAATTCTTAACATTGAGATTCTGTGACACTACACCACTCACTGAATTCACTGTGTAAAAGTTGAGTGGAAAAAAAAAGATACAATTGTGCTGAATTGTATAATACAGAACTTAGAATTGCGTCTCTAACAATAAGGGTTGTGTATGCACAAAAGCTTACACATCATAGCACATCTGTCAATAATCAATGATTCTATCTGGGATTTCCCTTTTATCCCCTCTCATCAGCATGGATTCTCCAACAATTCTATTGTCTGAAATATTTCAGTACCAGAGAAGAGACTAACAACAAAAAGAAAATATTTGTACACATTAATATTTATTATTTTTGTAATCATTTTTCCTATATATTTAACACTAGTGTGACAAAATTCCTGTTAATTATATGTCATGCAAGTAACTTAAATGAGTTAGCACTATCTAAACTGGTAAACCTACCACTAGGGGTTATTTCTGAGTCTACAAGACAAGTATTTCTGCAACAATGTTGACTAGATGAGTCTGCATATAACATAATAGGCTCAGTTGGAGGTACTTTACAGGTATCTAAATGACAGCACAGCCTTCAGAAGCACTGTAGTGGCATCATCCTTTGACCTAAGTAGACTTGACATTATTAAGAAGGCTTGAGTGGAGGTGTAGGTATGTTGGAAATTGCTGTTAAGAGGGATGGTGTTTCTGCAGTTAGTCAATTTATCTTTTGCTAGTTAAAGTTGCTGTGGTTCATGTTCCTTCTTTGACAGGATAAAAGGTAGAGTTTTTACTCACTCTACCCATGTTGCTATTGTTTAGGTCACAACAGAGATATTGAGAACATACAGTACCTTTCTGCAGCTGAAGACAAAGATTGCTGCTCAGACTGCTGCTATTCCTTCTCTGCAATTCTTTGGTGAGTACATTTTCATCAATACCAAGTATGAAAATAAACTCCCTAGAGTCCAGATCTTTATTATTTACATTACAGTAGGGGTCTACTTGTAAATCACTTATTCTTTTCTCCTACGACACCCACCGGTTTCAAAACAAAATAATTACAATTATTAATAGAATAGCAAGAGTTGTGATAGTCTTTCATTGTACTGGGTATTTCCCTTTTTAACTAACATACATTCTAACAGAAATCCCACAGTACAAACCAGATAATTTCAATTACAAAACAGAACACAAACTATTCAGTCCAATGTGAGAGCATGTGTATGTGTGTATAATACTGTAAAAGTAGTCACACATTAGAGGTATATAATTCAAACAGCATCTTCCTTCATGAACCTGCTATAATTGAGGCAGTGACAAGGTTTCCATTTCTTTGTTTTCTGCGCTCTCTAAAGAATGGCTATTGCCACATTTTGTGAACCATAATACTGTACAAGCAGAAGCTTGTTGGTATCAGGTAAGGACTAATAACACTAGTGCAAACAGGTGCAGTGATACTTCCTCCAGTTTTGGGATGAACCAGCTATATAACACTGAAAGAGGCCAGGCATCTTCTTCAAACCCACATACGTGCATCTTTCCCACTCAAGACATACCTTTTTCTGACTTTATCTTCTCATTACAAGGGTAGGGAGAGAACCACCAGCTCATGTGATATTTATCACATGCATGATTTCTTGACTGTTTTCCTATTAATACTATGAATGTTTTATAACAAGTTTTTATAACAAGTAAAGGAACAATAATTATGTCAAGCATTAGGAAGTGACAATAATACTGATTTAGCATCTTCAATAAAAAGTAAAATATTTTGTCCTGAGATGCAAGTCCAGGAAGGAACAGGAATGAACTTAATACTGTACCATTATTTGATCATCATGCACCTCATCTGACCAGATGACAAAGAACAAGTGTTTATTGCCCTCTGCTCATCCAAAGATATGATAAGCAGTTTATTTAGATAAGTGCTTGGCATACCAGAATGTTGTCAGACCAGTTCTCACTGTACTGTCCCCCTTTAGCTTATTTCTTTAAAAGGAAAAAAAAAAAAGAGAGAAAAAGGAAAGAAGAACATCTCAGCAGGTTAACCCTCATCTTCTCTCAGCTCTGTGGGTAGAAATTTGTATTGCTGTTGGCGGATTTGAGCTAGTTTTTTCCTTGCCTCTTCCAGCTCTCTTTCCTTCTTCAGCATTTCTTCTTGGGCTGCAATGATCTAGAAAAAAGAAGCATGAATTAGGATAGCAAGAAATATTGTCTGTAAAGCCATCTTTCTTTTTCTATGGCACCAGTCACAGAAAGGGCCCCCAGCATTATCCACGGAAGTTTCAATGTCTTCAGCAGGAATTGCTCAAATGTTTCCCAGATTCCCACTTGTTACATATAGAGGATTAAAAAAAAAAAAAAGAAGTATCTTCTAGCAGTTTTACTATACATCCAAGCTGGATTTTAGAATGCTGTGCTCCTCCAATATTCACTGTCCAATTAGCAGAAATTAGACAAACACCATGTCTTAACATATTGTTTGTGTGACAGTAGAATTGCATACTCATTGCTGCATGGAACCAAAGTATTTTTCTGCATCTTGAAATGCCAAAGGAGAAATGACAGTACTACAGAAATTGACAAGTTACAGTATGTTCAATGGTAACCTCAGTTGATGCTGTTTCTTCTTATTCATAACAGTGAATCCAGAATATATGGTATATCATCAGAGCCTTGAAATCTTTGTTATTGTTTCACCATATTTAGTAAGGTCAATATAATGAAATGTCATCATTTCTTATCTCTCACACTTTGTCTTTGATGATATACACACAAAACTGGTGTTCCATTAAGACTTGGGGATATTTAAAGTGCATAATAGAAGTTTGAAAAGAGCCATTAATTTAATCAGGATGAAAATTGACAAGATATTGGACAACTGTAACTGCTCTTATGGTAACCACTCAATGAAGAAATGTAGTCATACTAGAGCATTTCATGTTGCTGTTATGTCAGCGGTTACTTAACTGAGGCAAGTAATTTATCATAGATCTCTATGTAGCTTTGTCCAGTCATAAATACAACGTGAACATTGTAATGCTATGCTACATTTCCATGACAGTTTTTCTCCACTTCAGTTACTGGTGATCATACCAACCTGAGCAATTCCACCCACAAACTTTGTTTTGACTACAACGTCGTCATCCTCCGCTTTTCCAAATGCTGCTTTTTGAGCCGCCCTGACAAGATTGTCTGATGCTCGCTTGACAGCATTTCCTGCGGCCTTGAGAAAAGACAGAGGAAATTCAGTAATAACAAAAATGCATAATTGTAGCATTGATTCTTCTGAGCACCAAAACTAAAACATTTTTGCTTACCTTCACAGGCAAGCATCCTTTTTTGTTTGTTTCCAGTGAAAAGAAAACTAATCCTTCCAAAAATCTAAGCTTTGATCAAAATCAATCTCTTCTACTAGAGCCAAAAGGTGGAGCTGGCACCTTGTTTTGGAGCACTCAGGTCCTGAAGGCCATTTACTAGGAAACACCCTGTGCAGACAGCTGACTAGCATAGCAATCAGCATCATATGATCTGGCACTGAATTTGCTCTTATGTGCTAAGAGCTGGTGAAAATCATGAAAAGCTGACTCTAAAAGAGTAGCCCATGGTTTAAGAGGTACTGCACATGGAGGTGTAAATGAGATTTTTGATATATCACTGGCAGTTCTTAAAATTTGTCCCAGATAACACGTGTTTGATATTTTGTATTTCAACTTGGTTGATACACCAAAAATTTGACCTATGCCTCCTTCTTGGCTCTTACTGGAATCCTCCTCCTTCCCACCTATCTAATCATCAATGTCAGAACAGAGGCAAGAAAAGAAACTTCTGGGCTGCTGTGGACTTAGAGCCAAGAGGCGTCATAGGTCACTCATTCTGAGAGACTGACTGGGAGATTTATCTATTTACGTGCTACTCAGTTGTACATACAAATACTGAAACACATTTGGGGACCCACCTTTTAAGTGCTTTAGCAAAGAAACAACTTTATGAAATAGGGCAGAACACCAAAGATATTTCTACCTTCTGTGCAAGAGAAACACCTGTGAAGAATTTAGTTGAGATGCCAGAAGGAACATCTTATCAAATTGATGTGACTTGATCACTACTCAAACTTGCTTCTGCAATCCTGTATGGCATTACTTTTTATCAAGTACTCTCAAGAGTAATTGAATACTTCATGAAGGGAAGGATGTGAATGGTTAAATCTCCTAATCCCGTACTTGAACCCTGGGACTGGGAAGATGTTTATCCTGCGAACTAAATTTTAAACACCTTTTAACTACAGGAGTGGATTTGCATGTCACTGAGATATTCCTGCTGCATGGAATGATGTTATAGCAGGAAGAGGTTGGGGCAGATGTAGGTAAAGCTTTATCTATTGACGAACAAGACTCAAAAAGTTTACGTAGGGTTAGTGAACTTTTGATCTGATCCAGTAGCGTAACATCTCACACTAACTCCTGCTTATACAGCAGATCAGTCAACAACATCAACACACATAAATGTTATCACAGACTGCAGAGAGAAGGCAGATAACTTGCAGTGTTGTGACAGGAAGAAAGAGAGAATAAGAAGACCATTCTCTGTTCCATGGCTCCCAATGTCCCCGGGGTGTTATGTTGTGAGAACACTTGTTCCCACAGAGGCCACTGGCCAAGACAGCCTGTACTGACATGCTGGAGGCACACAGGCAGCAGGAAGGGAAGCCACATGGACCAGCTCTTAAATCCCCTCTTGTCCTATTCCATATCTCAAATATCACCTCCCTTTCAACTTAACTCTTTTTCCACCTGAAACGACCCAAAAAACAAGTCATTTGAAATTTGCTTTGCCTAGTCTGGACCTGATCCAAAGCAAATGGAAACATTTTCACTTATTTCCTTAAGTTTTGGAAAAGACTCCCTAACAGTGCATTCCAAGCCAGCATTTATGGGAAATGCAGTTCAAATGCCTTCTCCCAAAGCTTGCAGCTGTTTGTGGGGCTAGAAAAGAGAAAAATAATATACTCAAACTCCTGTACCTAGACTACTGATTAAAGTTATATAAAATCATTTGTGCTGGGGGCAAAGCCAGCTGAAAAACCATAGTAGATTTGGCAAATCTACCAGTAAAAATATTTGGTAGACATCAACTCACTGTTTTTGCTATGATAAAAGACATTACTTCCAAGTGCAAACTGCTTTTCCCTTCATTATTCATTTTGAGACTAATGTAAAGCTTAATAAAGTGGCAAAGTTCACTTTCAACCCATGCTTAGACTTGTCTCCTTTTCACATTCCCTTCCAACTTTTCACATTCCACGGCTATTTAATAATATTTGCCTACAGTGACTGAGTACCCTGAATTTCCTGGCAGAGCTGAGAAAACACAGCCTCTAGTACATGATTTTGTTCCTGTTTCTATTCTTTGTTCTGCATTTAAAATTCATTGAAACCCATCTTGCCATTTGGATATGAAAGTAAAGGTTGAGTTACAGTTGGAACTATCTTCCAGTTACTGATACCTCCCCCACAGACCCATGACAAAGCCAGTCCACATGAATCCACATTAAAGCACTAAAACCATCTCATCCCTAGGGATAACATTAACATGCCACTGCTTTCTGTAGAAACAAACACATCTCATACCCTCATACGTTTATTTTTTCTTCCTAAATATTTAACCCATTTTTCAATGTTGAAAAAATGACAATATCAGTTCCTCTTGCTCAGACAGCTACTCAGGCTAGACTTGATTCTACCTATCCATACGCTAGTTGTTATAATGGACAGCTTATATATAAGCATCCATTAGCAGTGGTAAAAATTGAAAAAGAGGAAATTCCACTGTCACCAAAGATACTAGATATTGGTGTGAAAAAAAGGAGCTGAAATAGTTCTCACATTACAGACTGAGCCTGCAGGATTGGAAGTCAGAAGAGGCTGTAGCCATTTTTAAATAAACACCCTCAAACAAAGCTCCAGGAAAGACTTTACCCCTCATAACACAATGCTAAATTCAGTAGCAGTTCAGACAAGCTAAACATGAAAGGGATATGTAATGTAAAAATGAACCAGTTTCATTTAAAAATGTTAAAATGGAGAAATGGACTTGGGTTGAGGTGTTGCATCCAATTTTTTTTTTTTTTTTTGGTCTGACAATGACTCTCCATTTCAGAAAATTTCTGTTCACAACTGGGGTCTCTTGACACCTAGAAACAAAGGAAATCTGTAATTGACCACATCCCTAGCTGGCAAATGCTTCATTGAACATATGCATAATGTTGCACAGGTCAGAATACTACTCATGTGCAACCAAGTTAAGCCTTCTTAATCGTTTGCAAGCTCATGCAACGCTACAGGCTAGGGGAAGAGTGTCTAGAAAGCTGCCTGGCAGAAAAGGGTCTGAGGGTATTGGTTGATAGCTGGCTGAGTATGTGCTAGCAGCATGCTCAGGTGTCTAAGAAGGCCAACAGCATCCTGGCTTGCAACAACATCCAGGTGCTGGAGTGTGTCCAAAGAGGGGCAATAAAGCTGGTGAAAGGTCTAGAGAACAAGTCTTAAGGCAGAATGGCTGAAGGAACTGGGGTTGTTTAGCCTAGAGAAAAAAAAGTGCAGGGGAGACCTTATCACTCTCTACAACTACATCAAAGGAGGTTGTAGCAGGATGGGGGTTGGTCTCTTCTCCCAAGCAATGAGTGATAGGACAAGAGGAAACAACCTCAAGTTGCAGCAGGGGAGGTTTAGGTTGGATACTAGTCAAAATTTCTTCACTGAAGGGGTTGCACCAGCACTGGAACAGGCTGCCCGGGGAAGTACCTAAGTCACCATCCCTGGAGGTATTTAAAGATGTGTGGATGTGGTGCTTAGAGACACGGTTTAGTGGTGGATTTGGCAGTGCTAATTAATGGTTGGACTTGATGATCTGAGAGGTCTTTTCCAACCTACATGATTCTCTGATTGATTCTCACTGGAGGCCTAACTGAACACAGAATAATTGCAGAGAAACTCACTACACTCAGTTGCTGTAAAAATACACACAAACTTTCTCAGCTCATGTATTCCTGTAATTGATAAGAAGTATACACCTATGAATATCGCATCTAAACCAGGCTAGGCAAAGACTAGTCAATGTTTGCATCTCTCAACATCTTTCAAAAATGAAGAATAAAACAAACAATGAAGTGAGATTTAGTTACTGCTGAGTAATAAGAAATGCAACACTACTTCATCCTTAATGAACCGAAGTCCCCCAGAATCCCAGAAGGAAAAGTCTGGAAATTCAAGAAATGTCCAGAAGTCCTGGATTTGTTCAGCAGTGCTAAAACAGTGTTGACGCAGCACTGCTGTGGGTTTTCAGTAATGAAGAAAACAAGTACCTGTAGCCTCCTCATGGCTTCAGAGTCATGATCAGCCTTTACTTTGCAAGCCACAAGAAGTTGTGCTGTAGAAGCTGCAACTTGTTTTGCAGATGAGATGAGCTTCTCCTCACTAGCGTGGCCTTGTACTGAGGCATTAGCTGCTTCACAGAGATTGCTGGTTGCAGCTGCCACCATTCGGGCCTAGGAGTTAGTAAAGAAAGTCACTGTGTGTTCTCACAGGATATTATTTCTGCAGAGAAAGTACTAGTTTGCCTGATATGTTAAGGACTAACAAAAAAGAGAAGTAGTTACTCACAGCAGAAATAAGTCCCTGAGACCACTGTCCATCATCAGCTGCATTTGCAGGGATTGCTCCAACCTGAAAAAACAGTTCAGAGATGGCTTACAGTGCAACAGAAAATACAGCTGTTTTGTCTTTGATTTAGATCAGTGAAAAAGGACATCTGCAGCTGTTACCGAGCACAACACATAGATAAAGGAGCACAAAATCCACTTGAAAGTTTGGAAGTTAGTTATCACTAAGTGTGCTTCCAGCACACATCTGCCTGCTCTGTGGTGGTGTCCAACTTGCTATGCTGCTTGAATTGCCCCACCTTGAAACACATTTAGAAACCCCACAGTAATACCCGTTGCAGCAGAGGCTTTGGCCTAAGCAACACTAAGCAGTTGCTCGTTAACTCTGGACCTCTCAAACAAGTTATTTCTGTCTCCACAACACATTTGGATTTAAATGATTTCTGAATTTGTTCTAATTCTGGCATTATGGAAAGATACAAAACAGAAAGCTCCCCAGGGATGCTCCCCAGGGATGTCCCCTGACTGCCTTTGACTCCAGTAATAGCCTTTGAGGAAAGCATCCCATTTTTCTGCATGGTTCACTGCTGCTGCTGAGTCCATAGCATCAGCAGTACTGGCAACAACCAAGAAACAGTTTTCTTCCCATTTCAAATGAAAAAACAGAAATAAAAGCTTATAGTTGGTCACCAACCCCAAGTTTGCCTGGGTTTGGGAGTTTTGGGGACAATAGCTGGAAGATGTGAAACGTAAACATGGTCCAGAACCTTGCTATGTTTTAAAAGAAATGGAAACGGGGCTTTGTGCATAATGAAGATCCCAGGGATCAGAACTGAATCCTTACACATGGATATGGTGACACCGTTGTAACATTATGAGAGAATTCAGTTATACAACAGAATATGCTAGAGTTCCTGAATTTGTAAAGTTTCAAAGTTTTCTTGCCTAAGCATTCCCAGAAAAATCATTTGAAGTAGTCCATAAATAAAGCATTATAGACATTGGTGTCCAGAGTGTGTGTGGGAGAGAGAGGGAGAATATACAGGCAGGTGTGGTAAAAGAAGGTAAATCAGATCCAACTTCCCAGACTTCATCTGTTCTGCAGAAATTGCTATAAAATAATTTCAAGTAAAATTTCTTCAACTGCAATATTGTGCCAGTTTTCCCTTTAAGTTACTTTCACAGCTTTTACCATGTAATGTGGGAAATTTAAGTGGGACAAGAATGTGCCTGGTTCACATATATCTATGCAGTTGTCTTAATATTTCCCATTGCCTCCAGACCAACTAAAAGGTCAGTGAGAAATCAGTAGTCATTACTCTTCAGTACTGAAGAGACTGATGTGGAACAGATCAAACTTGTCCTTCCTTCCTATGTACCAGCATCCATATCACATGCCTCAGAAAGTTTCTTGCAAAAGCAAAACACTTCCTTCAGCATCAACAATTAAATCCTCCCAGCAGGCAGGTTGGAGCCACTCAATATGGGCAAGAATTCTGTCAATCATTTTAGGAGACAGCTTCCCATATTTCTGACTAATCTGAAGGTAGAGGTGCATACGTGTCTCAGGATAACCTGAAATGACAATTATCTAAAAACTAGTAATTAGTAAAGACAGAAAGGAGAGAAGGAGAAAGGGTTGTCACTTCCTCGTGTCAGAAATATCTTATGGCCTTATTTATTTGTGTATCATGAGAGGAACTTGCATAAACAATTCCGAAGGTTTTTTTTTCATTACATTTTCATTTTGGCTGGGATTAATTTCTTAGAGATCACTGCATTGTCTGCTGGCTCAAGAGATGAGATCCTAGCAGGCAAGCAATTATCAGTAAAGGCCATTCAATGCAAAAACTTGATGATCTTACGGCAAGTCACCATAGAATAATGAAAGATAAAGCAAAACAACTAAATTCAGTAAAGCAAGCTGAACAAATCTGCTGTTATGGTACTACATTTGACAGGTGTGCTTCTGTTAGAATAGTAGACTATGGCTTTCCTTGAATAGACAGATAAAGGTGTTTTTTAGCGATTTTCTGAGCTTGGATAGAAAGCATGCAAGTGACATTAGCCTCAGTCTGAAAGATTCAAATGGAAACATATCTGAGAGAGCAAATAATCCATAACTACCATACAGATATGCAGGGCTCACACCCGTACACAATTTATAACTCTATAGTGGTGGTGGTGAGGAAAGTAAAGCAAGCTGTATATATATAATGGAACTAAGAACAGGTCTTATCACATAAAAGCAGACTGCTCAATAGTCTACATGAAACAGTAAGTTAGGTCAAAACTGTCACTGAGGGGACTGTTTCCACAGTCAATTTCAATAGGAATTAATAGGTTTTATGTGTTATCAAAAAGTTCAATAGCTACAGCTTATAGTGGGTCTTTTCAAACAATTGCATTGCTATTGTTCCAAAACAAGTGTGTTGTACTCCTGCTGGAACTAAAGCAAAGTTCCACAGGAATCACAGTTTAAGTAGACAGAAACTCTCTTTTGTAACAGGATCCATGATGCAGTCTGCTCAGAATAAAGACTTAGATGAAATTAGAAACCGTAACTATACAACAACAATGATCCTATAAACAAATAGTTCTCACAAGCAACATACCCATTCAAATTTTACATTTCAAATTATATTAACAGGAAAAAAAGACAGTGACGGATATGAAATGGATTACAAAGAGTTCAGTTCTAAAAAGACCAAAAGGATAATGACATTAGCACTGTTTCATTGGTATTTACAAGCATGTCCACTTGAATGTACCCAATTTGCATGCAGGCCTGTGTCCCCATTGGATCAGACGACAAAACACTGAGGGCACAACTAGTGAGGCTCTTTGCTATTCCTGTCCACAAAGGCATTGTATACTGTGACGTTTGGGTTTGGACCCCCAGGCTGTGACAAAGGGACTCTAAATTTCTAGCTTGAATCACATCTCTTCATGAAATGAAAAAGACCCTACAACCTCTCTGCAACTGAAACCTCTGAAGAAGCCAACTACTTGATTACAGTTGCTAGACTTAAATTAAAAGCATTATTTTAAGCAGATCCAGGCCCGGGCCATGTATTCTGGACAAGGAATTAAAAGATTTACTTTTTTACTAGTCCATTCCCCAGCTTCTTTTGTACTCTTTTAACATAGAACAGTTAAGAGACTAGATTCAGTTTCAATACATCCCCTCAACACTGTTGCTACTTTTCCTGTTTACCCACCTTTCCCTGTGCCACCAGTTCTCTCTGTGCTGCTGAAGCTGACTTCACAAGGGCACTGGTAGCAGCGGCAATGGATTTAGCTGCTTCCAGGATCTGTTCTTCAAAATCCAGAGTCTCATCTGCTTGCTATAACCAAGAAAGAACAATGCCACACATTATTCACCAGAAAGAAGTTGCATTTGGAAGATCCACAACATATGTAAGCTGAGACAAGAAGATTTTGAAACCAACCAGTACATTAAAAAAGAGGTACAACATTGTTTTCTGCAAAGGAGTTTCATCTGGTCTACAGCTAAAAATCAACGTAAGTGATCTTAAATATTAAAACACTCTTGTGGCTGATCACACGTGAAATTGAGTATCACATGAGATATTTCAAGAGCTGCCTTAAACTTTCTAATACATTACACTCCATCAGGGATACTCAAAACTACCTTCAGAAACCTGCAAGTCCGAAAAGAAATTCTTGCCTTTACATATCAAAATCATCTCTGTAGTGTTACAATAGTGCCTTCCAGAATCACTAAATGAAATGGGAGGGTTTTCTAAATACTTAAATATGTAAGGCATTAAAAAAGGTACAGTGGTAGCCATATAGTATCCCATTCACCTGTACTAAGAAGTGTAATAGAAACTAAGCAAACACATAGATTTAGCATCTTTTAGTAAGAGCTGCCATTACATAGAGAGCAGCACTGTGCAGTAGTCCACTTCAGTCATCTGGGAGATACAAGGGTCCAAAGGTCTGTCTGGAACAATTCAATCATCCATACATGTCTTTCAACAGGCATGTGCGAATAGACAGATCAACCGTTTCTAATGAAGTTTCCTACTATTTGAAAGGCAAGTCTGTTGTGCCATAAAAAAAATAAAAACCTTCCTTGACTTGCTAATCATTTAGACATGCACTAAAAATGCTTATTCATTTAAGCATCTTGCTAGTTTCCTGAATGGTTAACAAAATAGATAGATAAATGGTTATGATTGGTTGTTGTTCTGTGTATATATATGCATATATATATATGTGTGTGTGTGTGCATATATATATATATATATATATATATATATGCACACACACATACACACGCAAAATAAACCAATACAATTTCTTTTGATTCTGATTAAATCACAAACCTACCAGAATCCAACACAGTATGACCAGTAGGACTAGTGGATACAATACCACAAGAGACCACTTTGTGAGATGAAGCTTTTGAAATACAGGTTTTGTCCAACTTATGCAACCATCACATTGTTGTGTCAAATAACTAGGAACACAAGCTATGTGACCTTATGAGTTAAGCCTTGCAGATCAAATGCTCAGGTTTTTTTAAGTGCATCCATCTAAATTTAATGCAGGTTTTGTTCTGCTGTTACTACTATCTGCTGTTACTACTATCTGAATATTAGTCAATCATTAAATAATAAATACATGTAGGTAGTGACAATTAGTTATAAATTTGCAAATCAGGCAGTGACTCAATCCTACAACATTTCATGTAACTGCCACCATATAAAACTAAAACAAAGTCCAGAAGATGAAACTGCATTGTCCACGGAGAGCAGAAAAATTTAATAATCTGAAAAATAAAAACTGATGTGCAGATGAAGTTGTTTGGCACCTAAAATTATTTCTTAACCATTAGGAAGAGCCACCTATTTGTCTTGTGTTGCTGTTGGGCTAATGTCATCAACTAAAGTGTATGTCTTTGTAATAGAAATATGATAAGAAAAGTCTTCGTAAAGTGAGTAACTCATGTTCCACCTGTATTTTTGACTATGCTTGCAATGTAACATCATGACCAATTTTATATCTAAATGGTAATTACACTGAATTTCTCAAACTTCCAAATCCTACATTTCCTGTCATCTATTGACAGTAGATATCCTCTGTGAAGAAATGATTTTTGAACTGGCCTTGCACAGCACTCAAGCTGTATAAATTCTGTTGAGTTTTCATCTTCTCTAACTTGTTTTCTAGTAATTCCCTGTAGTTTTCCTTCAGCATTCTCAGGTGTTATATCTAAGGGCTGGATGCTTATGTCTGAAATGAAGTAGACCCAATGCCTAATCATCACTGTGGGTATATTTACCTGCCTGTACCCACCTAAGAGTATTCCTTAGCAATAAGTACATGCTGAAGTCCAAGACTGAGCACAGAAGAAAGCCCTACAAGAGCAGTTATTGTTGTCCTCATTCCCGTTATTGAAGACTGTGTCATGGTAGGTTCACACTCATCAACAGTGTTCTCAAAACCTGTGTCTGTTCACAGCCTTCATGAACAAAGTTCGCAACAATGGTGTGATATTTGACAGAATATTTCACATTGTAAGATTTCAGTTACTTCAGAGGGCTATTTATATATTATTTTTTTAAAATCACAAATCTGAGAGAAGTGATTAGCTTCTCCTTCCTCAAATTGCCACCATGAAGACCAGAACCACTCTCTCCATATCCTTAAACTAATAAGCTACTAATTACTGTCTATGTATGGGAAAGGTCAGTTGGAAAACAAGGTCACCAGAACAGAAAAGCCAAAATTATTAGGCTAGCTACACATTCTGTAATATAAAATATCCTGAAGAAGTTGATTGTGCCATTGATAAAAAAAAAATCCTTGTTTTTGTACTGTCTTTTAGCCAGTTTTTTTAGAGAATCTCCATTATGAGGGGTAGCATAAAGTCATGATTAACAGAAGAACAAATAAACCCCCAGTGAGATTGCTAAACATTAGGAAGAATTACAAAAGACAAACCATTTTCTTTTGAAGCAGCTCTCATCTTCTATTTCATAAAGAGAAAACCAATATGGGTAATATTAGTGCACTGAGCATGGAAAACACAACCATTTCAGTGAAAGTCAATTCTTGGCATAGCTGCTGCTTGCTATCATAAAAGACCTACATAACTTACAAGTCCCTCCATGAGCACATCTACTGATAGAGGAACACTTCGTGTATATATTTCAAGTTGGATTAGATTAGGAGTCTGCAGGAAGTCTTCTAAGCCTGCTTGAGAGCGAATGTACTCCTTCATATTGCATTCTACTATGTTAAAACCCCCGGAGACAGGGCAGGACACTGTAGGAATATGTTTGATATATAGTTGGATTAAATAACAACCTAATATATCAAACATATCACACAGAGTCCTGCAGAAAAAGACATCCAGATTTGATTCATCTTGGGGAAAAAAAGGACAAACTGCTGAAAGCTAACAGCAGGGAACTCTTATTGACTGCTAAAGACACTTATGTTTGAAGGCACGTGCCTGCAAAGAAGCACGAAGAACATACCAACAGAATAGTGCGGGTACAGCAATGCTCTCTGTTGCTGTACTTCATCTACAGCACCATTTTCCTTAAAGTGTTCTTTCCAGTATTACTGAAACATGTAGTTTTTATTAGCTAAACTGATTTTCTTGTTCAAAAATGAATTTGGGAGGTTGTTATTTAACAGCCAGTGGCATATTTACAGAACAAGGGTCAACAGGTGGCTGCGCTGCAAGACACAACTGCCCAGAGAAGGGAAACAAAAAAATTCCAAGCTCCAAAAAAAAAAAAAAAAAGCAACTATTTAAAGGAAATACGACAGCCAAAACTTGCTTAATAAAAAATAAAGATCTCATTGCTTCACAGATGATTCCCCGCCTTCAACACCGCAATGAAAATACTTATCAGGTTTACAGTTTTCGTGTTACGGGGAGGAATAGCAAAGCCTATTTAGGAAAGTCCTCAAAGCGCTTGCAAGATACAAGCTCAGAAGACAGATATTAACAGGATATCGCTGGGGCAATGAAGTAGCAGCAGTCTAAACATCTTAGGATGTTTAGATATTCACCTGCAGCCAAACTACCAGGCTGCAAAGCCAACAGAACATGCACACACCATACAATAAAATCTGGGCAGCAGTTAGCAGGGCCGTGTCTTACTAGAGACTGTTCTTCTAAAGAAAGAATTATTCTCCAGTAGTGAAAAGTGAAAAAGCCTCATACTATTGCTCTTAGACTATGACATTATGAGGATATGATGACTGCAAAAATATGAAGAGAAAACAAGCAAAATGAATTAAGAAGTAGAAAAGGACCAAAAATAATCAGATGGAACAAATGAGAAACAACCCTACCTTCAACGATTGATTTTTTCTTTAGAGGTAACAGACAAACTGGAAAACAAAGATGAAAATTTCAAGTCTAAAAAAGGCTCACCCAGAAACAGTGAATCAGCCACCAATTAATAAGGAAGAAGATAGTGGTTTCTTACAGGCAAATTATGCTAAAATTAACAGAGAATTTATCTGCAGGCTCACTTAATGATGATTACTATTAACTGAAGCAAGATACTGGTGTAGCTGGACCAGCAGTCTGTTCCATTGTAACAAATCACTACTATTGGTGCATTTTGTAGACTAAGCATAAGAAAAATCAACTGTATCAACCCTGTTACCTAGCTGAGGCATTCACTCTGCAACACCATGTATGTTGTCAAAGACTTGAGCATCAGAAAGTCAGAGCCTGTTAAATGCAGGGAATCCTACTCTGGGAAGACACTAGTGAACACCAGTCTTGTCCAAGCTCTTCAAGAGAAAAAACAGTATCTGAATCACTCTGTGATCTTCCCTGTATCTTTGATGTGCATTACTATCTGTACTGTGAAAGGGATTAAACATCTAAAGAAAAAGTTGTAAGGGCTGTTTAATTCCCAAATTAAACAGAGTTGATTATGAATTTTACTTCCAGAAAATGACAAATAAGCAGACCAATAAATCACACACAGACTGGATACTCAAATTAACATGTTAAATGAGGAGCAGGTGTGGGATCTGTATTCACTAGAAAATTACAATGACCCTGGAGTGGCTTCGATGTTGGAAGGAAACTGCTCTGCAGTTACTAGGCAACACACATACGTTATTGTGCAATGATTGTATAGAAAAGGTGATGGAGGACTCTTCCTCTCCTCCAACCCAGCCTGTGTCCTCTGCTCTGTAGAATCTCATTATAAGGGAACATTTTTTCTTTATAAACAAAACGGATGCACTTGTTAAAAAAAAAAAAACAAAAACACAGTACAAAGAGCATTTCTTTTCCATGAGCTAATTTATTCCTGTCACCAAAGGGGGAAAAAAGTCCTGAAACTGTGAAGTTACCAAGAACTATTTTGTCTGATACTCCTGAATGGCAGAATATCACTCTGCACTGAAAACAAGAATCCAACACTGAATGTTCTTGAGGCCCTGCTTTTTGGAAAGACTTTTCATGAGCTTTACTGTTAGCTTTAGTTAGAAAACAATTCTGTACCTACAAAGCAGCTTAAGCAAGGAAAGAGATACATAGTCCTTCCTGAATTCAATTACAAAGCTAAAGCGCAAGTTCGTTTTGAAGAGATAGAATTGTAGGCAGCATGGTAATTTCTTCTAAAACCTGTTATTCCACACTAGGCAAAAGGTAGCAATTCTGGGTGAACCAGTCATGCATACAGCCAGAAGTAACAGCAGTGTTATGCATTCCCTCCATATCACTCATGAAAATAGTTGGTTTTATTTTATATAACATATTCAGACACATTTGAAATGACCTGGCAACATACAGCACTACCTGCTTTCACAGTGAACTGTAATTTGTTTTCCTTCAGGAAAATCGAAGAAGAAGGGTTATACCACATATCTGATCTGGTACCAAAGTAGTTACTCTTTTATCATAGAATAAAATATCATGGATTTTATCTCATAAAATCCTGAAGGTCTTTCGCATTCTGCTCAATCTTTTCTGTTTTGCTGCTGCTTCCTCCCACTATACTACACACATTGAGATGAGAACAAAGGGTCTTCAAAGAAGAGCAAGTAAGAATGACTTTTCACATCAATAAAGTATGTTTGGAAACAGAAAGGTACATAACCAACAGTAATGATACCTTGACACAAGCATTTCTAACATTAGGCTTTTCTTCCTTTGCTTGCTCATGACTTGTGCTTGACTTGCTCCCTGAAAAGCATCTTTTTAACCTCTACCTTCAGGGGTGAGTCCCACCCAGTGCAGCATCTAGTGGCACTGAGACTGATGCAAATGTTTGATTGTTTATACCATTAACATGGATGGTAACAAACACTAAGCCAACATATGGGCTATTTGCATCATCTGCTTTATTCAAAGAAACAATTGGGATAGACACTCACCTTTGGCTTGGCTCTTGGTTTCAGCTGCTCTAACTTCTTTGCTGCAGCCTCAATTGATGCTGCAGCCCCTAGTAGCTCTGTCTCTGCAATGACCGTTGGATCTTCTGGATCCACCCACTCTGTCCCTGAAATTAACAGAGACGAAGACAATAACTTCAGTGCCACTGCAAGCTGCCATTCAAACAGGGTGATTTACAATCACACTTGAAGTGTCAAATACAAAATACAGCATGTGCGTTGAAAAAAAAAAAAAAAAAAAAAAAAAAAGATAATTTTAGTAACATAATACTGCCAGTGAGAGCAAAATAATAATAATAATAAAAGTATTCAGCAGGCAAATCTGTTATGAAAGTAACTTAATTAAGAATTGCACAATTAAAGCAGCTTCAAAGAGGAACACTGTCCACACTGGGAACAAAACTAGCTCTCACTCAACTTTGTTATCTGGGCTCTTACTAAAACCTTGATCAAATTGTAAGGTACAGTGAGAAATCTAACATTGCTAAAGATGACAAGTTAGAGACAACAGATAATCCTCCACAGCATGCTTTTCAGAGTCTCTGGCACTGGTTAGAGATGAAGCTAGCACTGAATGAAGAAAGCATAGTTTTCAGCAATGTGTTTCTAATGCATTTTTAGAAAAGGCCAATAGCAGTTTCTGTAACATATCCAAAGGTCAGTTTTTTTGTTGAGTTTTTGGCATTTTGGCTCAAAGAAATGTTGTAGGTCCACGAAGTGAATACTTGGCTAGAGATCATCTCCGATTTGTTAAGTTCATAGTGCATCCTTATTTTCATTTTCATAACATTATTCTCTGGGTGACAAGATTTAGAAACCATCCATGTTTAGAACTGAGGGAAGCAATGAAACAGAAAAGAAAAATCAGCTTCTGGGAAGAGAAGGAAAGGAAAAAGGAAACTTCTGAGCTCATAAAAGGCAAAGGGAGAAAGTAGCATCACAGATGGAAACAGAAAAGGATGGGAAGCAATGTACACTGACAAAGAAAGACTAAGTTAAAATTAAAAAATAAAGAAAACAATCTCTTTGGGCCTTGTTAAATTTAGTGAGACTTGATTAGGAAGTTTATGTAAACTTAATAAAATATCAACATTAATCCTTATTAAGGACAAAGGGGTAGAAGGATACTGGCATTTTGTATCAAGAGTAGTATAACCCATTTCTGATTCATCAAACACCAAACAAAAGAACCTTGAATGCTTATGGATTCACACCAGCTACAGAATGATGCACTTTCTGCTATGGATGACCAAATCATAGGAGAATACAAAATGACTTGCGCCAGGGGGAGTTTTAGGTTAGATGTTAGGAAGAACTTCTTTACTGAAAGGGTTGTTAGGCACTGGAACAGGCTGCCCAGGGAGGTGGTGGAGTCACCATCCTTGGAAGTCTTCAAAAGACGTTTAGATGTAGAGCTTAGGGATATGGTTTAGTGGGGACTGTTAGTGTTAGGTTAGAGGTTGGACTCGATGATCTTGAGGTCTCTTCCAACCTAGAAATTCTGTGATTCTGTGACTTGCTCGTATTTATGATGTGCTGGAAAAAAGCAGTTCATTGGTATTGTAATCCTAGTGAGGTACATCTCATACAAACTTTTATATAAAAGACCAAAATATTACTAGGAACAATTTCTCAGCCTAGTTGGTGTACAAGACAAAGGAATTCTTTATTAAACACTAACCTTGTCCAGATAAACAAGGAAAAAATAATGGCATTTTTGTTAGAGGCAGCATACAGAAACACAATCAAATCCAAACCTCTAAAATGTAGGATTTCCTCTTCAAAAAACAAAAAAGGCATTTTACAAAGGTGAAAACATTCGCAATCTAAATCAGTTAGGAGACAGAATTTTACCATGTATCAATAAAAGATAACTGTAAATGGTTAAAAAAATTACTTCGCACAAAGAAACTTCTAAAGTGAAGAAAAAAATGCTGGCAGGCAGTAAGTAAAAAAGGAATTCAAAAAGGAAAAAGTGAAAATTAATTGTAACGTATATGAATTAAAATCCTGAAATTGCTGAAAGTAAATGTCTCTGAAGACGAAGATAGCAACAAGATTTTTTAAAAAGCATTTAGGGAATACGAAATCTCTGATATTGGCTTGGCTTCTTAGTAAATGAAATGAGAAATTTCAAAACATCCTAAAGACTGCAGAAAAGGCTAGAGTATTCAATTTATTTTCCTGGAGAGGAACATTTGTTCTTTGCTACACATGTACAAAAAAGCAAAGAGTTACTGCCATCTAAGTGTAAGCTTACTTACATGGAAGTGTCATGACTAAGATCATGACAATGGCATTACTAACTTGTACACAAGTGAGTGCTGGGAGAGAAATTAAAGGTATTAAATTAGATGGTATCAAGATGCCTAGAATGTAGTAAAATGGTCTTTGTTAGTTTTTGTTTAAAGTACAAAAGTCATGGATCACTGTCTCTAAAAACCACACCAGTAACCAGGCTACCCAACTCACCTTTCATTGCTTCTGCTGATTGGATGAGCTCTGTAACAGCACCAGCAACCCGCTTGGAGAAAGCTGACAACTGATGCTTCAGCTCTGGAGTCGGTTTTTGAAGGATCTAGAAAAAAGTAAAATTGTCGATGAATCACTAGGAGCAAGGCTTATACTGTGATGGCTGGTGCATACTAGGAAGGAGGCAGGGCTGGCCATTTCTACAGGAACTGCCAATGTTGTCTGGAAGTTCTCAATACTAAAACTAGGGCAAAATCCTTCAAATCTGAGGCACGTGGGAGTATGTGGGAGGAATGCACAGCTTGGGCACTCCATTCTCAGATATTACAGTCATTACATTAAGGCATCAAGCTTAGTCTTTCTAAACTGTGGGAGAAGAGACCACTTGCTGGTGTTATCAACTTGGCTGAACACTTTAAGTTCCTTTCTTAGAAACAGAGTTGTGCAAACTTGTGCTAGCTGCCTTTCCTGGAAAGAGTCAACAATTGTGCCTGTCCTGGAAAAAGTCAGCAATGGTAAACAATAGAAATGCCAACCCTGACAAGACCCTTAAACTGATGGGAAAGAAAGAAACCTCTGAAATGAATTTGCATCAAGTACTACACTGTCCTTTTAATGGAAAACAATCCATAGACAGTGAATTTGACTTCTAACGATGTCTGGCTTCCTCTAAACAGAAAAAAACATTTGCATTTTTAATTACCACATTGTAAGGAAAAAGAAGATTAAGTTCTGGAAATTAATTTATACGTAACAACTGCTTCTGAGAATGACAGATACATGGAGAGATTTAGGAGCAAAACAGGATACTGAGTCTCCGAAGTCACATTCAGTTCTGTGTTTTCTTAACATTTGCAACCCCTCCCCCCCCCCCCCCCCCCCCCAGCAGCTTGGAAAACTAGACACACAGTGAAAATACATTTGTACATTTTATGTTTTTGTAAGCCAGTTTGTCATTTTGCAGTGAAATGCCTAGCCCCTTACTCCGAAAGAATAAACTAAACCTAATTGTTTCCTTAATTTTGCCTGATGAAAATTCTGACACATGAGGAATTTGATCTCTTTGGAACCGCTGTGTCAACATATGGGCACGCTGGTCTGCTTCCTCAGGATGATCCTTAGTCAACTAGTTTCCACAGTAAACAGAAGCACGTGAATCCTCAATAGCTAAACAATCTGCAGTATTATCAAAATGAATGCCTCCTGTAACAACAAGGTTATAACTAGGATTTATTCATTGCATAATTCTTTAGAACAGCAGAAATTGAGCATCTCAGAAGTAATCTTTTCAAACACGCAAATATGTCAAAAAATGCTTAAGTGCAGTCAGGCTCCATAGCAAGGAAAGGAATAACATTTTCTGCTCCAGCAACTGTGAAACTAGTGCCACCTATATGATTGCTGGGACAGTGTTGGAATTTTTAGGTCAGCACCCTTACTACCTCCATATCTGCTCTAGAATGCAATCCAATTTAGCTACTTCCAGTCTTCCTTATGTCCTGCAGTTTGAGATGAAGTACTCAGTTTGCTCTAACTTTTTTTTCCTGAATAACAAAACTGCTCATAAAGCATGTCACTAACAGCCACTATTATAAAAAGTTCAGAGATGTAATTTCCATCAGAAGGGACCCAGCACATGCATGGAGACCACTGCTTACCAGAAGAACGTGTTCCAGGAGTTCCAGATATCCCAGCGTACATTCTGTTCCAAAGCGCAGGGCTCTCTCTCGAACTTCTTCACTCACCTCTTGGTGATACGATGCTTGCTGCGGAAGTAAAACAACATTAGTACCCCCCACTGCTCCCAGTTGAGGAGGTCAATGCAAGGAGGACAGAGGAAGGAGAGGGGAAGAGATTTCTTGTAAAAGACAAAAAACGTTAGAGCTTGAGAGCCAGCTATTTCTATTGTAAAATACGTGAGCAAACTGAGCTTCAAAAGTAGCAGGGTTCCAGTTTTCAGAAAAGCATTAATACATTTCCTTTTACTAGCACATCTTCCTTTCTGGCTGTCCTTCATCAGTCTTTCTCAGCGTCCTTCCTTAGGTATTGTCAGCAGTAGTACTACTTTCTAACAGTTAAAGCCAAATACAGAAACCCCTGAAGAACGCTCTGAAAATAGAGGTATATTTATGATTTCTTTTAATGAAAATGTATCACTTTGAAAACATCTTGGGGCTGGAATTGGCTCTTGGGTTGCACACAATGTTCCACAGTGCAAGGTTTATGCCACTGTGGCTCTTCCTGTTTACTAGTATCAACAAAAATAAAAATTGTAAGAGTAGTTTTGCAACCCAAAAATGGGTATATACATGTTTCAGGTCACAGAAGTGCTAAAACCCTATTTTATAGTAAGCCTGAGCAGTCAGTCTTGAAGGAATCAATAAAGAAATGGTCATCTGGTTTAGAAGCCAAAGTCTGGACACAGAAAGCACTGTACCAGAGTTCAAGCACCATCCTAGTGCTCTTCCTTTTCTCACTTTCCCTTCTCCCTTTCATAAAACAAAGACAAGGGTTTGTTCCTCGTAGAAAGCTTTGCAAATGGCAGATGAAAAGTGCGCTAGAAGCACCACAATGTTATTCTACTGAGAGGAGAAAAAAAGCAAACCAACCAACACCAAAAAACACTTAGCTGCTTTTTGTTACCTTAAGACATTCTAAGTAAAAACTTACTCATGGCTTCAGCTTGAAATAGGGATTTCATATAGCAATACACAGCATGAGAACCATCTCTTTAAATACAGACAAGCAGCAGCAGCTTTTGACTTCTTAAGGATTTCCACTGAGTATAATGTCTAACAGAAGCCTGAATAATTCAATCATTTAATCAAAATAAAAAATGAAAACTGCAGCCTATTCGAGTCTTGTACTTTCTAAAATAGATGTCTGTTTCATTGGGACCTTCTAAATTGAACCTAAGTGCTGGTTGCAGACATGTAAAAGTTAAAAAAAAAAGAAAAAAAAAACAAAAAAACAACAGCATTTTCTCTCACTGAACAGCCCCATTCACCGCTGCAGCCTCCTGCCTTCGATTAGGACTGGAGATTATCGCTACACGTGTATTTGACGTGCTCCCCGCAACCCTCCACACCCAGAGCAAGTGCTGTTGTCAGCTGGGCCTGGAGCTGGTCTACGGGCTCCCTCTGCTGGTACACTCAGGATCAGCAGAGCACAGAAACCATCTAACCCTTCATTTTACAATAAATAAATAATCTGAAGGGAAATTAGAAATTAGAAACAAGATAGGTTTTTCCCCACCTTCAGCGTACTTCACATAAGTTCTAGAGGTCCTGAAAATGCAGTACTGCTTATTTTCCTTTTTCAAATCGAGCAGAAGGCTTCCCCAGTGTTCCATATGAATATTGCGTAATACTCTAAAATGCCTCTTGTGTACTTAAGTATTATTTTTATACATGCAATTAGAACAAATATCTGTGGGAGAGAAATATAAATTTCCTCTGTGCTTTGCACACATGACCAAGACTGATATCTAAATACTTACGAAGTATTTCTGAGGTTTGCTAAATCTTAAACTATTTATTTCACAGCAGACTAAAGAAGTGATAAACTTCTTTAACTTCTGGTAAACTTCTTTAAAAAGACATTTTTGTAATCTAGAAATATACTAAAATAAATCTCACTACATCAGTTAGGACTTGTAACAGAAATTTTTACCTTCCCTGATGTGCAAACAAAGCCTGACAAAGTTTCTCAAACAAACATGTTTCCAAAGAACCAGAATAGACATTTCCTCACACCAAGGCTTCTCTTTGATATCAATCCTCATTTTCATTCTGTGCTTTAAAAAGCATTTAGGCAGCACTACCTGACTTTCACTCTACAAATCCTAACCTGTCAGCACATGTGGGCATTAAATATATCAAAACAGTCTTAGAACCAAAAAAATAATAATAATAATCACTGCTGTTTGAAGGAACCTTCAGAATTCATGTAGTCCAACCTCCTGCTTAAAGCAGGTTCAACATTACTTTCAGACCAGATAGCTTAGGTCTTCGTGCAGTTGGGTCTTGAAAATCTCCAAAGATGGAAATTTCATATTCTTCTTTGGTCTCTGCCCCAAGGTTTAATCATCCCCAGAGTGAAACACACATGGAATTTCCAATGTTTCCATCTTGGACTGTTGTGTTCTGTTCTTGTGCCATGTACCTCAAGCAAACAGCCTGACTCCGTCTCTTCTCAGTACTTTCCCACCAGGTTTCAGAGGGCTGTCATTGGGTCCTGCCAAAGCCATCTCTTCTCCAGGCTGAACAAGCCCCAGCTCTTCAGCTTCTCCTCACAGGACCTGTGCTCCAGCCCCAGCTGTCTGTGTGGCTTCTGATGAACTTGCTCCAGTGTAATCAATGCCCTTCTTGTCCTGGGGAGCCCACAACCATACTTATAGATGCAGTCTAATGAGTGCTGAGGGAAGTGAATAACCCTCTCCTTCAATCTCCTGGCTAAGTAACAATCTAAGTGATTGATTACTTCCATTATTTACTATGCTTTTGACATACCTTTCGTGTTTTTTTTTCTTGTTGTTGTTTTTTATTTTTTTCTCCCCCAAAAGCAACCATAAGAATATTGATATTGTACACTGGTTATTTACTGCAGTCATCATTTTATACCAGACAAAAAAATATTAACAAGCATAAACATATATAAATATAGCTACTAAGAAGTCAAATCCCTTATACTATTTGGTTAAGGCAACTGACAATGAAATAGATCTTGAAATTAAATTAAATTACTGACGCTGGTGAAGTCTGTGCAATGTTTTACGGTTCTATAACTCACATACATGCACGTTTGTTGTAGCCCAAAGAACCTCAAATACTTTTCAGTGGTTATTTTACAGATGAGCTATATCATTCCGAAAAAGGAAACAGTATTTTTCAAGAATCAGAAAGAATAGGTTGAACATCACTGCATAGTTCCCACTCTAAAAACTCAAGGAATATCACTTATCATGGAAATGCCATGTACAGTTTGTAAAAATTAATGGCGTAAGGTATCTAAATCTCTGAGCAAAAATTTTAGAAATGGGATTTTCTAAATCAAGTCTGATATAAGCTGTTTATTTAAAAGCTTTGTTAAATGACGTGACAATTTTGTCCCACATTTTAGGTTTTTCATCAAATAAGCACTCCTGTGGACTCATTCCTGTTTCCCAATAATCTCTCTCGATTTTATGAAAGCTAGACAAGATAAAACTAGATTATTAGCCCTTACCTTAACTGTTCTAAACTATACTACAGCTAGTTGGTTATTAGTTTGAATTTTTCTTACTAAGTTAGGGAGCCTAATTCAAAGAATTCAAAATTGGCTGAGAAGGCCCCCATGTCAGTGTATTATTGCAGCTAAGGAAAATGATTTCCAGACATTTTCCTTCTGCATATTGCTTGCTTTGTGAAGCTAATTCCATGAGAAGTCGTGAGCACTTCTCTGGCATTCCTTAGTACATTATTCAATTTGCAGAAAATTTCATCTGGTAGGCCACCAGCTACAAACTACAAAATCATTAATTTAACTGGGAGCAAAAATGAACATGAGAAGATAAATACTTTCAAAGCAAATGTTCAAAACTACATACCAAGCTTTGCACTGTGCATATAATATTTTTAGAAACAGATGACTCTTCCTGAGAATTTGTTGCTTGTTTGGAGAGAGAACCAAACAAAAATGTGTCTACACTAGCCAATTCCAAATGACAAAGGATGATTAGTGAACTTAATTATCTGAATTAATGCCTTTTGTCATAACATTGTGCAATTACAAATTGTTCTACCCTCTCCTAGAAGTTTCAATTAACTGGATTCTGCCTAAGACATGATATGGAATAGTTCTTGTGTAATTATCATGGTTGCTTAGTTTTCCTGTGCAAATTATACCTGTTTCATTTTTTTATGCTTCTGAGATTAGCAAGTAGAGAGAGTAGAATCAAAATGTGAAGTATGCAAAGTATTTAAGAACTGTCAGACACTAAAAACCCTCTCAGAAAATGAAGTCAAAATAAAAAGTTTAATTCAACAGTTTGTATGAATCCAGCTTTATGCTATATTAGACCTTCCACTTTGTTTTTTAACATTAATCAAAAATTATCCCTCCAGTTTGGCTAGTATTAAGCTAAAAGTAATCTGGGACAGACTTTGGCAGGAATGCTACGAAATAATGCAATTCACAAGTCACAGAGAACACCATTTTCCTGTCATCTTCCACGCATGTAAAGACATAATAAAAACAATTTATATACAAAGACCAACAAGAATGAGTTAGTTCATATGGTCTTTATAATCCCATCATTTTTATTTATGCCTAGATCCTTTTTATCATCAGAAAAGAGACAAATGATTCTTGAGTCACTTATACAACATACACATGTCTGCCCCAAGTTTTGTACATCTGCTTTTAAAAGTTGTCTAGCTCAAGTTAATTTAGAAAAGAGGGTATCAATATTTTTAGTGCAAATATCAAACATTTTTGTAAAGCAAAAAACCTGATCAAACAAACACCTTTGGCTAGGGAAAAAAGGACTACTAAAATAGACCTAAATTACTACCTTAAACATGAAAATTAGGTCAATTAAAACTTCATTTTCACAAAAATAAAATAGTGAGCATTACTGTTGGTTTGGGTTTTTGTTTATTTAGCACTGAAAATTCTGATAGGGATGTTACTACATTACCTTAGAATTATTATAACCATTAACTTCCTCATCTGAAAAGTAAAACATTAATAAAAAGAAAACTGAACAGAATCTATAACATTCAAGGGATTTAGAGAGAGAGGAAAAAATCAGTCTTAGGCAAGGAAGTGAATCTTTACCTTACAAGCTGTTAGCATGTCAGCTACTGCTTTGCGGCTCAGATTTGCTGTAGCAATCACATCCTCCTGTCTGCATGAGTTCCCAGCTGCAACAGCTTTGGCTGTTGCCATGGTGATTCCTTTCGTCATCCGGATTGATTCTTCAGGTGATGATGTCTTTTCTGGAACCTCATTTGATTGAAACACCTGTAAGTGGAAACAGAAGGAAAGCCTGACGCCCTTCAAGTCAAACCAGAACAATTTATACCACGAAAAAGAGACAACAACTGGAAGCAGCCTTCAAACAGCTGGAAATTAGAAACATATTCAGAGTACTTCAATATCATTCTCATTGGTCATCAGTCTGGTTCTGATAAGCCCGCTCACCTAAGACAGAGAGAAACAATAAGCTGGAGAAAGGATACAAGATAAGCTTAACCCACTTGTCTCAAAGGACAACTCTGACATCTAAGTACCTAGATCACAGTTTTACAGATAGTTGTTGAGAGTGTTACAATATCAAAAGAATTAATATTCTTTCAGTTACATGTATTTTTTCATCCTGACTGCTGCCTACGCTGCTCTACTCAAATGAGGAGATCCTTCCTTCGCAAAGGCTGTGGGCTACCAAGTCCTTGCTGCCAAAACCAGCACCATGCAGGTGCTGAGAACATCACCAAAATATTCAAATGATTCTAAAAAAAAAAAAAAAAAAAGTAGACCATTTTCTCTTTCTCTACACTTGGTGTCCCTTAAAAGTCTGAAGATATAATTTTCCATGGAGAATTGTCTGAAAACAGTTCAAACTGTCTGACGGTACATACCACTTATGGATAGAGGAATACATTAACTGTTGTAAGAGATAGGTAAGAGCTGGGTTATTTTAGATTTAGCTCATATTTCCTGTTCTCAAGCTTTAATCTATTTGCTTGCCAATCTTTTACTCTGCAGTAGCAATTCCAAGTGTACAATTAATCAGTTTTCTCTGATACACACAGTGCAAGCAATGCTTTGGGAGTATTTCAATCTTACGCATGCTGATGGTTACAGAATCCAAATGTCTTGACAAACATTAGCCTGGTTTATCCCATGCTCCTAGTTCATCAGTTTTTTTTTTTTTTTGTTTTGTTTTTTTTAAACTTGCTCTCTCCAGAAATGGAACTGATGTTAAAAATCAAGTATGCGAACAACATTCCTTTGGAGTTCCAGGTCAAGTTTGAAACATTTTCCTGAGCACATACGTGCCATTCTTGATTCCTCTCTGTGCCCTCTCAGCACTCTGCTTTTCTTCCCACATCCTCCTAAAACTCCAATTTTCTCCCCATGAAAAAAAAATGACATCACCACCACAGGCCTCTTCCTTACCAAGTCCCATCACTAAACTACGTCCCTTAGTGCCATGTCCACGTTTCTTGAACATCTCCAACTTTCCAGCCACTCTTCCCAAGTTTATACCACTGCATGGGGTTGTTATGAGCCAAGTGTGGTGCTTGGTGTATGTGACGTGACTGGACTTGTCCCATTGATCCCTCTGCAAAGCCTTCCTAACTTCAACCAGACTGACTGTTTCGCCTAACTTGGTGTTGTCTGCAGACTTACTGAGGGTGCACTCAAGTCCCTTATCTGGATTATTGATAAATAATGTTAAACAAAACTGGCCCCAGTACTGAACCTCGGGGAACACCCCTGGAGACCAGCCACCAACTGGATTTAACTCTATTCACTAGGACTCTTTGAGCCGAGCCATCCACCCAGCAACCTAGAGACCTGCCCATGCAATGAGCAGCCAGCCAGTTTCTCCAGAATACTGTGGGAAACAGCAAACAATTCATTAAAATACTATGAAGTATTTTTTGAAGAAAACGCCTATATTTTTCAAAAATGGATTTTAACCAAAAAGGGAACAAAACAGGCTTCTTCACAAACACACAAGTATTGATTAATGTCACTGACCAGTCTACTAGTAAAAGAGTAACTGAAAGGTGCAGTTGTAGGTAATACTATTATATCTTAAAGAGGAAGAAAAACAACTGTCATAGTCTAACACCTAATTTGGGAGAAAATTCTATTCTATTGTTAATTCCTACTTAGACAAAATATTGGATACCAGGCTATTTAGCGTTTCTAATATCATATCATAATAAGGAAAAAAGATACTAGATTAAACTATTATTGTAATACAGCTTTGATAGTAAAGAGACATTTTGAAAGCTAGGGTCAATAAAAAAGCAAAGAGCATTTGACTCAAAATAATATCTGCAGTGAACGCTTTGTGTCTAAAGAACAAAGAACCAGTTGCTTTCAGATTTTTACATGACAGTAGCATCTCAAATCCTGCCGTGGGGACCGGTAACATCTGAAAGTACATAGGCTAAAGTGGTATGCAATTGTACTTTCAAAGATGATTTATAACAGATGGAGGGAACCAAATTGCATCTAACTCATTGCAGGGCAGGTAAAGTATAGCTTGAGCAGTCCCTGGGCTGCCTGGATTGACGTTACAAGTTTATTTACAGAAGCTGTCATATATGGGCTATTCTATTCTTTACCGTGAGTTCCTGTTTGATATACTCAATTGTGGCCTCAAGAGCTCTTGTCCCTCGAGTAGCTTCATCTTCTACTGCTTTAACTGTCTTCAAAAGCGATGTGACATTTGTTACCATCACCTGAAAAAGAGAGAGGTAGAGAGAAAGATGCATGATTCCTCCTTTGCATTTTTCAGAGCATGGTATGATTAGATTGATCGAAGTACTCTTATTATTTCTAATAGGGCCTAAAAACCTTCATGAACTGTATTTGTTACTGGAACAAATATCAACTCTCCTGTTTTCCAGCTTGTAAGTGTTCCCTGTAAGCTGCAGAAGCATAGCACAACTTACTGCACTGATACTGCAGTTACTGTTCCCATTACAAACCTAACAGTTCTAATGCAGCATAACCTGTCATTATTTTTCCTATACCCCAGTGCGTTGACATACAAACAATACCTAGTCACACTTGAAGTCTTGCAAATTAAGAGACAGAAAGGCCAGCTTGTTGACACTTTAGGAATTACAACACAGATAGCTCTTCAGAGCAGAAAGCACCAAGAAACCACTTTTCTTGGCTAGATGGGTCATTTTAAAGTAGTGCCTCTAGAGTATGCCATTCTCATCTGCTCTGAAAGGAACAGAGGTGCAGGTCTTACAGGTAAGGAAGAGACACAAGTAAGAACTTGTAGACAAAAAGCTATCATTACACTCTCATAATGTGATAGCAGAAGTAATACTGCCTAAGTCTCCACATCTAGAAATATTTTGTAGACATAAAGTTTAAAGATCTTTCTGAGCCACTGTCATAATACATTGCAGGTGCAAGGAAAATATAGCACAAATACAGCATAGATATGGTGGAATCTACATGACTTTTGAGCTTTGACTCTTATGTACTACTTCCTGGAAACATCTCGGAGAAAAGGACTGGATTATGGAGTTCTTGGTGGTATCGTTCCCCCCCAGCCTGCAAGGTCTAAATGAGAATACCATGCTCACCTTGAGCATTATTCAGATTCCAGGATGTAGGTAACATTTTTTTTATAGGATACAATTTAGTCTATAACATTATTAGATGACAACTTGCCCTCAGACATGCAAAAGATGCAAGTTTGTCTTTAGAAAGATTACAGTTCTTCCATCAAAAACACAAAAGTTACCGGACAGCCTACAAACACTGATAGCTTCAGGGAAACCCAATAGTATCTTACTATTTTCCTGTATCACCCCGGAATGCTAATGAAACAAAGGAAGAGATGATATCTCAGTGAACCAGACACTGCTGAAATCTGAGCTTCAGCTGCCTAGGAAGCATGATTGTACCTGATACTTTCAGATAAAAAATAAGAATAAGCTTTCACCTTGGCAGCCCCCTTCAGCTGGTACATGGATGGGTCATCTGCTGGTTTGCTGGCAGCTCCTTTGGTAGCACCAATGAGATCAGAAAGGGCCTTTGCAACATCCTTGATAGCATTAATCAGGACAACCTATAGGAATGTGCAATAGCCATGAGTCTCAGCCAAGAAATGTCAGCCTGGATGAAAGCATGAGTTTTAGAGAACTGCTAAACAAAGCCTAGTAGTGATAGGTAAAGACACAAACATACACAAATATAACCACCCTCCCTCTCTCCACCCCAATAAAACATGTAACATTCTAGAAAAGGAAAAACTGTGTTTATAGCTACAGTATCTCATACAACCAGACAGTTTATCAAAATGACTATTTCCTGTGAAGAAACTGAAACACTGATTTCAAGTAGGCTGTTTTTCCTTTCAACTTCTGTAAGAGGTTTACTTTTCCCCATGTTCTTGTTGATGTTCTTCAGATGAGAGCAATTAAACAGACTGATTATATGCTTACAAACTACCACTACATACCAACTGTGAAATTAGCTACTAAAAAAGCAAGTGTACTTGCTTCAGCTGGATATTAGAGGGAGACATTACTTTTGGGAAAAGGATGTTGAGTCTCCTTAAGTGGCCTTACAGAATTAAGTGGCATATAACTTAGCTGTCCATTAAGGTCAGGAAAAGTCAAATCTCGAGATACTGCTTCCTAAAACCAAGCTCAAGTAGAGAACTCCCAGACAATATACAGACACTACAAGAAGTTATATATAGACAATATACAGACACTAAAGCCTTGCTAGATACTATAAGGTACTATTGAAATAACTTCTCCAAAGCCTTCTCTCCTGTGCTTTCCACTTACAGAAAACGTGCTAGGTGTTTTTCCTAGGTTTCAGAGCATTTGTTTATCTTAAGAAAAAATATTAACACATGCAAGAAAAATAAAGCTCAGGCGAAAAAAAAAAAAGGTACAGTCAGTTCTCAATAACTGCATTTCTATAGCATTATGTAACAGCAGCTTCCTTCCAAAGCTGCGATTCTATAAATGCTAGTGTGCCCAGCATCTGAAATGCAACATGTAGATGTTGAGCTTAGTGACAAGGTTTAATGGTGGGCTTGGCCATACTAGGTTACAGGTAGTACCAGATAATCTTAGAGGTCGTTTCCAACCTAAATGATTCTATGATCTTTTATGCCTGTTTTTAGTTTACCGTAACTTTTATAGAGGTGAAATCCTTGCCACTGTAAGACATTTGAATCTCTTATCACATCAGTTAAAGTCAGTTTTGCTTACACAGAAAAATGCTGTGATGGTATTGTGTGATAAAGCTATTAGAAATTTTCCATTTAGGACAAATGATGCACTTAAAATTTTCAACTGGCAATGTAAATTTGCTCCCTCAAATACCTACTTTTGTACAATAGCTTTTATTCTAGATACTACATTCTCATTTTACATAGAGAGTAAACCAATGATAAATCTTTTAAATTTGCAGATATGTTACTAGTTAAGGAAATGTTAAAAACAGGAAAATATTTCCAACAGTTTTTTTTCCAGAGAGGAACATCTTAGAAGTTTACTCCATCACGGAAATCATGCAAAAGCAGAACACACATCCCTTTCAGAACCCTAAGCAAACAAGCAGACTTTTTCAAACCAATTGGCCACCACAGGCACATCTGCAACACTTGTCAACCTCCATTTCACCAAGATTCCAAGAAACAACTTAAGAAATATTTGAGATAACCTACACTGAAAGCTTAAGTGGCTGCATTAAATTGAAAAATTCAGATATAGCTATAGAATGCTGAGAATTTAGCCTATGCAAGTAACACAGTGCCTAGCTCAGCTCAATAAATAGCTTTAAGTGATGCAATGTATTTACAACAAAGTGATAACTCAGGAGTCCCATCATAACTTAGCAAAAACAATACTTTGCCAAAAGCATCCAAGCCGTAACACACCTGTGAAATAAAACCAAAAGTCTTCTATAAAGACTTGCCTATTTCCACTCAGTGTTCTAGACTCATGATTGTATTTTTAAAAATGAGCAATGTCTGACCCAAAAGAGTCCCCAGAGTGATAAATCCTACTGTCTTGCTTTAAAATATAAGGCCTATAAGGTCTTACCAAACAAAAAATTCCTTTAGTCTCTTTTTCAACTTCTGTAAACCCCTTTGGTCTATTTCACAGTACCAGAAAAACCTTAAGACATCTCACCTGCGTTTCAGGATCATCTGATCCCAAGCTAGCTGCTCCCAATTTTACAACCTCTGCAAGCTGAGTGATGGTGTTAGCTGATGACTGAGCTGCTTGAGCCAATTTGTCCTGACTTGAGGCAGCACCAGAAACCAACAATTTTGTATCTTCAACTAGGGCTTTTGCTGTTTTCAGAATATTTTCCCTGAAGGAAAAAAAAAACAAACAAAAAAAAAAGCAGGGAAGTGAGTAAAAAGGAGAAGAGGAAAAAAACGTGATTTTCAATTGCTGACTAACATCTTCAAAAAAGAGCTGATATAAGTCATCATACCAGTCATGACCATGTATCACAAGCCAGGCTGCAATTTAAAAACAAATAAAATAACAAGAAAATTAAAATTATATTTATATAATATAAATATAATGCTGCCATATATATAACTTATACAATTCAGTTCACTGAAGTTACCCTGTCTTGAAAAGAAATGAGATAGGGAAATCCTGGAACAAAACATTGCATTTTAACACTGAGGAAAATCAAGCCATACTGTGAACAAACTAACACGTGTCAAACTTCCACCTTAACCAGCATACCATAGGGAAACGAAAACAATCATTTTGACAGAGGGAGGCAGCAGCAAGTCTGGCTAAAAGAAAAAACAATGTGACCTTATCAGGGCTCCCCTTCACCACAACCTAGGTTTTGGCACATCAGGCATACCCACACCAACATTCAGATTAAAAAAAAAAAAAAAAAAGAAACCATTTTGAGTATACACTTCACAAATGGCACAAGTTAACAGAGAACTATAATTGTAGCCATATAAAATGTCTGCCTGGAAATTATTGGCACCCACAGGAAAAACCAACAACTTATTTTCTAACTCACTCAGTGTAACAAAAGGAAAGACTCTCATTCTAGGGTTGTGCTTCAGGTAAGCTTTAAGTTCCAATATCTGCACCAGAAGTAACGCACATTAAGAAACTAAAAGACTGGTATAATACAACCATTTAGCCTTAGTTTAGATTACTGTAAGTAAATTAACAAATATCCTTATAATTCATCGCTTTAAGGGGAAAACTGTTTGAGGCCAGTCTTTGATATCTACCCATAAAGCAACAAAGAAAATATTAGCCTGGTGAAGTTAAAGACAACAAACACCAACTTTCACTCTGTTGAACAGCAACAACTTACACACCATTACATCTTGCCTCTTTCTTGAGCAGCTGGTAACAAGTTGAGAAATAAATGAAGGCTATCCAACTGCTGTGTTGGCCAGCTAGGTTGCTAAGCAAAAATTCAGTATTGTGTCTGTGAAGCTCTGAGTTTTACTGCAAAGGTAGTCAGTCAGATGGCATAAATCTCTTAATGTGTTGAAAAACACTAAGACTGTTATATCCCAGATGCTACTAGAAGGAAAAACTGGCTTCTCTCCCAAAGGAGAAAACGTGGCATAGCTGTGCCATTTGTTTAACTGCTGCTTGCTCTTGGCAGATGTTCTCCAGCTGTTAAAAATACTGTCCTCACAGAAATAACCGAAGTGAGGTTTGCTGTCCTCTACCCATAACCTTATTTTCCTATTACTCTTCTCACTCCGCTGCTTCATTTGACTGCAATCCTGGGAATCTAGAAAGGTAGAAAATTTATCTGCACGTGCCTTTTGCTTCTGCCAGTTCCATTGTTCCCCTGTGCTTGCACTCTTCTGTCTTTTTCAGTTACACTGACCTGTGGTCTGCAAATGATTCGTTGTTTTCAGCATTAAGGGTTCCAGCAGTAGCAAACATGATAGTCGTGTCTAGATCTGCAATTATCCCAGACACAGCACTGGCTGCAGTAATACAGGCTTGTGTGCCTTTGTTTCCTGCTTGAAGGGCAGACAAAACTAAGGAGACCTGGAAATGACAATAAAGGAACAAGGTGGTCAATGAAACGAACCTTTTTTGTCTGGTAGGAGTTAACAACCCTTTTTGTCTGATAGGAGTTAATTTTGCTCTTTAAAATGACTGCAATCAACATTTGAAACTGATCCTGCACAGTTATTTTGTGAACTTTAACCAAACTTTCCTTTTCCTTTCTTGCTTTATGTGTGCATTAGTCACATAGGTTATGTTTTCCACCATAGGAAGCCTGTTACTAGCCTTTGTCATTCATGCTAAGACAGGCTGTCTCTTGATCAGGCATAATAAGCAATAAATGAGCAGATCATGAAGGTCTTATCTACATCTGCTTTGCGTATAAACAATGGCATTTGGCTATCAATACTATAAGCAGTCATCTTCCTTATTATCTAAAAGAAAAGAAAAGCTGCCCCACCACAATAAATAAGAATTCCAATTATCTTGCAATACTTTGTACTGCCAATAAAGGGCCTGGCTACATTTACTTCAGGGTCACTTCCATCTCTGGCACTGCTTGGTAATATGATCACGAGGATAAAAAATTCTCATTGCGATTCAATGTTGTCATACAGACAATAGTAAAGGAGGTGAATTTCTGCTGGCTGATGTTACACAACTGCTGCTGAGCTGAGATCTCTCCTATCCCTTTTTGGTAAATAAACACTTGGCAGAAAAACTGTGAAGACAATAATGGCTCCATGTCTTGTACTGTAGTCACAGTGCAGTCCTACAGTGCTAAGACATCACTGCCACTCCAGTTCAGTCACTTGAAAACAATCACCATTTGGTAACAAACATCTACATCCAAACGATACTTCAGTCCAAACAACTGCAACCTACATGTGCAAGCTATATGCAAGGCATGTGCAGCAAGTATTTCCAAAGACCAAGAGAACACAGGCAGGCTGAAAATGCTAAGTGCATGAGAACAGCCCAGTTTTAAAACTAGAGAACACTGATGAACAAAGAACACATCCTCAATCAACCTCACCATAACAACTGTTGCCACCTATACGGACCTACTGTTTCCAGGCAAGTATCTTGTAAGACAAGTGGCATCTCATGTCTTGGGGACCAGATTTGGACCACACTCCCTCTGGTATGAGAATAATGTTTTATTATAAGTGAGAAACAGGACTGAGACTTATCTAGTACATGAACTGTACCGAACACTTGAAAGAAAAGAAGAAAAGTAAGAACCTCCAGTAATTCAGTCAATATCATAGTATAATGGGAAGTTAAAAAAAAATATTTCCTGAATATACACACAATTTGACTGAATTACTCCCTGGTGAAGTCTAGTAGACAAACTCTGTGGGGCAATACAGATGGATGCCTTACCTTTTCAGTCACAGCACGAGCACATTCTATCAGCTCCCTTTTGGTGTAACTGTCTGTAGGGCAAATCTGGAGAGCACCAGCTTTTTGCACAAGAAAAATACAGCCATGACCAAGTTCTTGCACCCGAGTCTTGATCTGGAACCCTATCTACATGATAAAGGAGGTACAGGGTAGAAGGGAGCAAGAGCAAAGTAAGTAAATGTCATGCTGGTACACTGTGTCAACACAAATGGAAACATGTTCATTCTGGTGATTCCTTATTATCAAACTTCTGCCCATCACTATATTTTTGGCAGAGATTGGACTGATTTATTGTCATCTACTCACATAGCCCCTAAAAAAGTCTTACTAATAAAACTGGAGGGCTAGTGAACCAGACCCTGGGACAGAGAACACATCCGTAAGTCTAAATTGGTTAGCATAAGGCATTTATCCAAGCCAAGAGTATTTAACTCAAGCACACAAAACTTCACCAAAAAGGCTGCATGAATTTGAATAATGCTATTTAATCACCCAGAATCAAAAAGCAAAAAGAAATTGCTGCCAGCAGGAGCTGTCTTAAACATATTTATGATGGGTAAAAAGTAAACATTTGCTCTACACTGTTGAAATTGGGTTGAAGAATACAGGACTTTTTTCATTTGTTTTTGAATCTTGCACAGATTCTTATCTCTCCAGAAGTAACTACTTCCATATGCGATATTGAAAACTGAGCTACTTCTGATTTATTAATAATTATATAGCATAAGGTGTGTCCCTGACTGGAAATGTGTGCTAATTCTACTACCTGCATGTACTGAGGCATATAATTTTGTATTTGGATTAATATGTAAGCAGGACTCACAGCCATTAGTATCACAAATTAAATTATTTCTACTTCAGGCAAAAAGTAACGTGCAATGGTCATTCAATTTAAAAATATAAAGCTGAACGCAAGACATTGCTTTTCATTTAGCCACTGATCATGAAGCACTCAAGTAGTCTATCCGTGATGAAACCTAATTACAAAGTCAAAATCTCTGTGGAGATCTTTTATCTAGATAACCTGATAAATCTCATGATGCTAAGATACCCTCTTACCCCATCTCAACCAAGTGCTTCTATGCTCCATAACCAGAGGAATTCAATGAAAAGAAGAGAAAAAATTATTTTTGCTCATGGAATACGCAGTACCTACTACACTGGTTAATCCAATTGAGGCAAATAGTAAGCATGAGGAGCTTAATACCATGTAAGGAAGCCATTCCTCCAACACTGTTTTCTGATTCTAAGGTACGAAAGATGCCTGGCAGTAAAATACAACTGTGCTCCCACTGTGCCCACATCCTGCTGTCAGGAAGCTATACTTGTAAATAAGTACAGGAAGTACTTTTTTTTTCCCCCCCCAAGTATAACAGGAAATTATTTTTGAAATCTCTTACAGGCAAGATAGATAAACATATTTGAAATTCATCAGATCCTATGAGATAAAGAAAAACTGTATAGTAAATAAGAGTTTTCTCCGTGTTTGCAAGTTGTCTGTAAGTGATATCCTCAAATGATTTGGAGGATTCTGACCTGATCTACAGGATTGTTAACTATCATCACAAGCTGTTGATTTTTGAAGCTGGATAGAGGTTTTCACTGAAGATTTCTATTCTTTGATCTTACACCACTTTCTTACAACAAACTGAAGTATTATTCCTTTTGCATAATCCCTAATGCTTGTTAAAAATCTGCTGATTCATAGCTCTACTAATAGAAAACTTATTCCCTACAGTAAAAGAATACCCATTTGACGCCACCGTGTGCACAGAATAAAGAGGTCTAAAAGCTGCAGACCTCCTCTGGTTCAGCTGTAGCTGCAGCCATTCGGCCCTGGAGAGCCAAATGCCCATAGTCATTGGTCATTTGTGATGCAAGTCCTCCCAACTCTTCGGGGTTAGTAACCGACTTAGTCATCTGAAAAAAGAACACAAGCAAGAGAGAAAGAAAAATGACAGGCATGAGAATAATTTGTTAATACACTCCAGTTTAGAAGCACACTCCTTTGTTTGGCCACACTGGTGAAACAGGGAAAAATGCTTGAAGTATAAGGGAGTTGTCTTCCAGCAATAATTCTGTGAGGAAACCCAAGCGAGCATGCTTTATTAGAGTCACAGTAACCAGGCACTCGCAGAACATCCGGAGTAATCAAAGAGCAGCCGTTAGATCTGGTAATTCACCCCTTGGCATAGCAGGGCAATAGGCCAGCTACACAGTTATTCACACTGAATAGTGATGTGGGTTTTGCCTTTCAGAGCCACCTTATGTTGGCAAAAGTGAAGTAGCCTATATCAGCCTCAGCCCGTGTGGCATAGGAGCATAAAAATGGAGAAAGTCCCAGGATCAATGCAAACGTGTCTAAGATAGGAGAAAGAGTACAAAGAAATAGCCACATATGCAGAATGCCGTGGTACAGCATCAGTATAAAAGACGGAGCATCTCTCTAGAAAAAACCTACCTTATAATAAAACTATTTCTTCTTTCTCCAACTTATGTTAGCAAAAGCCATGAAATTCCATCCTTGGGGCAAAACTTGTTTTAGACAAATTTCTACTGTTAACAAATATGCTGTCATGTCATAGCAGTAATATCAACATTTCTGGACTGCAAAACTAAACAATTTCTTAAAAATCATCTCCACAGGAAATTCTTGCATCAAACATACACAAATAATCCGCCATCTCTCTTAAAAATAAACTAGGTATTCTTCAAAACTTAAAACACTTTATCATAAACAGTATAGTGAAACAAACAGTTTCAAATAAAGTTTCTTTTGTTCTGTTTTTAAACGCAGATAAATCTCACAAATAAATGAAAAAAACAATTTAACATCTTGAACTGCATTCATAAGTATTACAGTGATCTGAAAAAACTGATGTTATTTCAGGGGCTAAGTTAAATTACGGCACACACTGTGAAAGGGCAACCTGCAGTCATCAATAAACCTAGGGCATTATTTCAGTAACAAATAAGCAGACTGACTAAAAATAATATAAAAATATTTCCCCTGTATTTCTAATAGAAAACAAACTAAATAGAAATATCTTTGTACAACAGCTGCAACACAATACAGAGACCCAACAGTCCTCTTCTAAAGAGCAACCTTATCAGCACACCAGTAAGGTACGCAAGTGGATTTAACAAAATCATAGCTTCTTTTATAGAATTACTGTTAAATAGGCAAGATTATTGGAAAACAGCATTACACGGAGTTACTCAACAGTACGTAAAGAGTTACGTGATGCTTACGGTACACAAAAGAGTTTTTACTGAGGTCTAGCCAAAATTCTTACCATTTCCTGTGCTGTAACAGCAATGGCTTTAGAGTATTTCACCACAGTGGTCTGATAATCAACAAATGTTCCCTTGGGATCCGCAGGTGTGCCTTCATCCAGCTGCAGGAATGTGGGAAAGTTATGGAAAAAGTAAAAACCTCATAACAGATAGCAACTTCCCACATAATATTGAAATTATCTATGTATTTTTAATAATCTCACTCCTTCCAAATCTGCAAATAAAGACAATGCACCAGGGATATATATATATACATGGAAATTCAAAAAATGTTTCATCGTATTTTGTGAAAATGAAATAAAGCCTGGTTAAAGGCGTTTTCAGGTGGAAGGCCAACTTTCCATGCAAGTTCATACCAATTTTTGTTGTTCTCCACTAATGCAGAAATGAATGTGTAAAGGCTAGATTTATTCATGAGAAAAAATTACTTTAGATTCCCAGCTCTGCACTCCTTTAGACCAAAAAAAAAAAATAATTAAAATAAAAAGCTCATTTTTTTGGTTCAGCTTATTTACATGTTACAATTGCAATGTAACACATGACACCTTTCAAAAGACAGCAAGACACCAGAAATACAGCTGACCTATATTTATGATGTTTTTTTTCCCCACTATCAGCATGGTGCTAGACAAAAGCATTACAAAATAATTCTAGTCATCAATTACTACCTAGTTCAGTAACGTCAACACCATCCCACATCTCAGTTTGAAAAATAGCACGTATTGTGAAGTCAAACAACCACTGTCTGTTGTTGCATATCAGTTACCACATAACACTGAGATGAATTAGCAGTAACTTCTCCAAAATCCTACATTGCGGATCTGCTTTAAGTGCCAGGAAAAAAGGGTGCTCTTCACTTCTCTCCTCACCTTGCTCATTGCCTCTGCTATTGAGTCTACCATGCCTCCAACCATGCCTACTTCACTAGCAGCTTCATTTAAGGTAACCATGATATCATCCACAGCCTCTTTCATCAGCTGAGCTGCCTCAGTGATTGCATCATGTGTATGTGATGCCTGAAACAAAGAGGACAAGATAAAAATCAACATTGTATAAGAGAAAGACAACACAAAAGCCTGTATGATTTAAAAATAAACAAAACTTAAAATATGTGAAAATCTTATCTTAATACAAAGACTCTCTAATAAAATAAGTTGGTAGAACCTGTTGTGTAAGAGTCGCACTGATCACACCAGGTGTCTTGGAGACACATGCTCTACTGGGGGAATGTGCCCACTTTATAAAAGGTGGGCTGCACATACTATATGTCTTGGAAGCACACACTACACCTAATTTGTAAGTATGTAAGGCGTGTATAGTTTATTAGTATCATAAGGCACACTGCTTGTGGCTGCTCTATCAGGAAATGCATGCAGTGCTCACAGTATCTTGGATGCACCTGCTGAGCCTGTTGTATTAGAGGCATGCGCAGGGCACCCAGTCTCTTGAGGCACAGTGTGCACACCCACTCTATTAGGGGCATACACAGTGCCCTGGAGGTGGTGTGCTGCACCCACTCTAACAGAGGCATGTGCAATGCACCCGTTGTCCTGGAGTCATGGGCTGCACCCATTTCGGAAGGGGTGGGTGCAGCATGCCCACTGTCTGCCCCCAATAAAGCAGGCATATGTGGCCCTTACAATTCAGGCACATGTATGCCTAAAGACACTGGACACTCTTCACATGCCCCTTACAGAGTAGGTGCACACACCCATCTCAAGGACACTGGCCTGCTGCGCACACCCCTAATACAGTAGATGTGCTGTGCCCACCCCTTACTGAGCAGGTGCACAAGTGCCTCAAGACACAGGGCACACTGTGCTTGACCCTTAGTGAGCAGGTGCACACTTGCATCAAAGCACTTGGTGGGCAGATCTTCCCATTTATCCCATCTCTGTCCAAATGTATTCCAAACCCCGTTTTTAACATCCCTACCATCAATGACTGTACCACAGCCTACGTCTCCTTACAAGTATTACAGAACCAACTTATTGACAATTTCACCTTGTCACGCACACTTCTTTGGCTACATCACTGCAGCATTCATTTCACCCTTCCTCCTCTCGTGATTTGCTTGTTACACACAGTGACTATACCTTGGGATTTCCTCCTCCTTCTTTAGCTGCGTACAACATCTGTAAGGCAGACTCTGCAAGTGTCTTGCTCTGGTCCAACACTGTCATCTGTTGCTGATGATCTAGAGTTTTGGATGCCACACCAACTGCAGCTAAAACCAGGGGTTCGAAGTAACTTGCCAGCTGTGTAACCTAGGAAAGCCAAAATAATCTTTTAACTCCATTTCAGAACTAAGATGAAGAATGGTACTCTTTAACTACCATACATTTATAAAATGTAGGACTGTACCTTGTGCCCAAGCTGAGCTGCTTCTCCCCGTGCTGCAGTAGCTATGGGATCAATTAGGTGGCCAATTTCCTGAACTACTGATGTTAGCTGCTCCTGTAGAGCCTAATAAAAAGAGAAGTTGTCAGTTACTGTTACAGCTGTTCACTTATCAAGTCATACTGTACCATAACAATCAGACTGACCAACTTAAATATTTCCAACTGTTAAATGACCAACTACACCACAACACAAAAATCCACGCTGTCCATTTGATTTCCACGATCATTTCTTCTCCTTTATCCTTCAAAATATGAAAACACAGATAGGCTCTGCTGCTCTTTAGATTGCTATGGCAGGTCTAGGGAGGGAAGGGAATGATGGCTGTCTCCTACTCCAGCTGATAGTAGCAAAATAGCTGCCATTTTATCATTGCAATGTGACACCCCCCACCCCCAAACAAGCAATAAAAGCAAACCAATAAAACACCTATTGCTTGTCCTGCAAAGGATTAATACTTCTGCAGAAATCAGGAAAAAACAGCAGGAGCTCCCATTTAAACATAGATATATTTTTCAAAGCAAACAATACAGCACAAGAACTCTGCTGTAGACTTTGAAACCAACAGCGGAAATTCATCAGTAGTGAAAGACAAAGATGACATCTCAGAGATGTGGACTGACCCCCGAATACACTCTGTGGAACAGAATTCTAAGCAAGTACTAGTCGGCTCCCTAAGACAAACACTTGCTTTCAAAGTTTTGTGTCAGACGCCAGAAGCCACAGAAACATTAACTAGCAGTCATGTCACCAAAGGAAACCAAAACAAGACACAGGTGGTTCTTAAAAATAACTACTTTGACCAGTACTGATGATTCTGTTACCTTCCCAGAAGCAAAGCACTTCAGCTATCAAGTGATTTTACCTAGAAAGATTCTGCTAAGAAAAATTCTTCCCTCAGGCATAGATTGTGCTGAGTGCTCAGCTTTACACGTTCAAATGCAAAGGAAAGCAGCAGTGTGAGTGAGGCTGCTCAGAGCTCCTCTGTTACTGTGCCATCTCCCTTACCTCCACTGATATGTCATCTCTGGTGGCCAGACTCTGGCTGACAGCTGCAAGTGAGGCCTGCTCAATGTCTCTGATGCACCTGTTGATCCCATCAATAGAGTAATCACATTCGCGCTGGCCTGGGGCCTTATCCCTGAAAGACAGCAATAGTAATTTGAGCATGATGGGAAGGAGGCAGGCTCTACCCTGAATGCACACCAGCAAACTTCATTAACTGATGATACATAAAGCACAGGGGAGGAGGACAACAAGGGCCTAAGTGAGCTTTGTGGTAGTGACAAAATTTGATTTATGTACCAAGTACTCCAAACACTTTGCAAAAATTAGTACAAGGGCTGGAGACAAAAGGGAGCATGGAAGGAAATATTCCCCATTACAGAGAAATAAATGAGTTGCCTCAGAAGAGAAGGGAAACCACAACCTCCTCACTATGATCAGAGGATTAGCCCAATCAGGTCAACATGAAAATGCAACAGACACTTGAAAACAGGCAAATGGAAAAAATATTACAATTTCTGCACAGTGCAACTATCTCAGAAAATAATTCCTTGGTCATTATCTTTTAAAGTCAGTCCCAAGTATCTCTTAACGAAAAATAGTTTTGAAGTACTTTGTCCTGATGAACAGTTTGCTATATCAGTATAATCATTACCAGAAAATCACACAACTGTAACACTCCCTAGTGCACTACGTTCATACAATTTAGACTTCATTGATATTGAGAGGTTGAGGACAGAGTACACTCCTAATGAGTTCAAAATTTGTCTGCAATAAATGGATAGAGAGGTTTAGTGAAAATATTAAAAAATGTTCACACTTGGCAATGACATTCTTACAAATAAACCAAAAAGAATATAGTAAAGAACAGATAGAAGAGAATTTATTTACTATCTGACCTGCCCACAAAAACTACAGTTTTCCACACAGCCCGTGTAGGTAAGCAGTCTGGATGGAAATAATACTAGCTAAATTTGTTACTCCACAGCATTTCCTCTTACATCTGATTTACACTGAATCAGAGCTGAAACTGGAGAAGGACAACAGAGTAGAAACAAAAAATCAACCCCGTGCTGCACAGTGCTGCAGTCATCAGTTAGGATTAAACAGCCAGCATGACTAGAGATCTCATGCATCAGAGAACAAGTAATTTACATTAGTGAAGAATACCATGACACCATGGGCTGTACAGTGTTAGTTTATTTTCCCTTTATTGGAACAGCAGAATTAGCACAGATATGGAAACAAATGTACTTACTACAGAAGACATACCTGATAGAAGTGATAAGACTCTTAATAGAATCTGAGACAGTATGGGAATGACCAGCTAGTACAGACCATGTAGGGGGGTCTTTTGGATTGATAGCTAAAGAACGAGCAGTCTTGATCAATAAAGATGAGCTCTCCAACATCGTTTTAGCAGAAATTAGAATTGGCTCCTGTGCCCTTGATCCCTGTGGTCAGAAAAGTGCAAGATAAAGAACATTTATATTGCTAATTTGAGTTTGTACACGCATTCTGCTGCTAAAAATAGGTTTAATTAAAAGCAGTGAAATGGCATTATTGTTTCTTGTATAGTACTACAATATTTACTAGTAAGCAATATGCAAATTGTAGTAAAGTCACTGCTGTCAAATTGTTTTCTCTGTAATATATTTCAGAAAACAGTGTTTAAGTTTGTAAAGGCACCATCTGGCTGATAAACAGGACAAAACAGAGACACTTGTAAACTAGAGATATTTAACAAAGCTTTTGTCACAAAAAGTGTAAGATCCAAGCAAGTATGCTCTTTTCAAAGGAATTACTCTGACTACAATGCTTACTGGATCATCATTTTCATATCTGTTTTAACTCCAGTAAGCTGGTAAACCCAAGGACCACAGACCTGGGAGGCAGGCTTAGATTTCAGTTACAGCCCCACAATTTTGAAGATGCAACAGTTACTGCATCATCTAATATTGCCAGCTAGAACTGAGGTTGCCAAAAGCAGGAAGAAGCAGTTGTAAAGGCAGTAACAATATTGACCTCTACACTTCTAAGCTTTTATGAAGCTAGAAGGATTTTTTCCCCCCTTAAAGACTTGTATTAGTTACTTTAAATAATAATCTGTTGTAGTTACAGGGATTGACGACAAAACTCTGGGGAAAAATACAGATGACCTGTGAAAAGTTATTCTTTGCGAAGAAATTGCTTCTTGTCATTGTAACTCTGCATCATGTTTGGAAGGGAGAAAGCACAGTGACATCCATTCAGTCCTTTTCAGGACTAATTAGACTCTGTGTGTTAAAGCTGTTCTTGAGGGGAAAAGGGACATTTATCACTTTATCACATGCAAGAATCCAGCTAACAAGATAAGCAAGTCACTTGTACTGTATAACTTTACTAACAGATGGCCAGTGCTTGCTGGAGCATAACTAGTTTTATCTCACTGGTGGAAAAGTCAAGATCAGAGGATAAGTAAAAGACTGCAGAATGTCTTATGAACACTCAGGAGCACAGCCACATTCCATGGCCAAGTCTCTACACCCGCTTCATGTCTCCCACCAGAGGATTAATTCAACGTTTTCAACTTTTTCAGGACTGAAGTGCGAAATCCTGCCTACCTCCGTGCTGATCTGTGCTGGTATGCTGACAAATTCTGGATTTGAAGCAAACGCAGTCAGATTTTCCACAGCTTCTATCAAAGGTGCAGTAGCAATTCTGCACTTGTTGCGATTCTCTTCAGAGAAATCACCATCCAGGGCCTGAAAATTAAATCACAATTGAGCTCTATGTGAAAGGGTTTCCTTGTGAAATTCAATGAAGATGGTTTAATTCCTCATAGGTTTAAACTGTTGTGTTTGTGTCATCTGAAAATTGAAACTTCTTCCAGAAACAACACCGAGGCAAAGAATGTGATTCTTTAAACTTTTTTTTTTTTTTTTTTTCAAACTTAGCTGATTATTGACCCTAAACTTGACACAGCTGCTTTACTTCACAAGACTGAATAAATGGTTTAAATCATTGCAGTCAGATGACTCTCATAAATCATGTCTCAGTACATCTCCTGATCCAACAGGTAGAAATGGCTAACAAGTTAGTACTCATACAGCTTTTCTTTTTTAAAATAAACTATGAATTTATTGCTCTCATTTTCACACGAACTAACCTCTTTCATAATCGCACAGAAATATTTCAAAATGAAGGACCTTCTGTGTAACTTTCCAGTCTTAAGAGGATAGCTATTTTAAAAAGAATTTCAGTAGTGTATCAGCTAATGGCTTCCAGAAGAAGGACTAAAATTCATTAGTCCTCTATGCCATAACAACTATTATTTTTGCTTATAAGAAGTAAAGCTACTCCCTGCTAAAACACAGGCAACTATCTGCAAAACACATTATTACCATTAACAGAAGACTTTTAAATGGGAGCAATATTAACTGCTTCTGTTCGGTTCCAAGTACTACTATTATTTTACTTTTTGTTTAATTAATGATACAGCTGTCAAAGACCTCCAAATAGCTCTGGATATTGACTAATTTAACACCATAAAAAACCTTCACATTCACTTGTTCCCAAACTATTCTGATGGTGCAAGCTCATTCGGCATATCAATACATAGGCACCACATCTCATAATGAATGGGCCAGCCGCCTTTTCTAACATTAACATCGTCTAGATCTATCTATTTTGACTACGGCACAGTTATACCACTGGTCATATTTTGCAGGCCAGACCTTCAAAAATATAATTAATAATTTCTTAAAACATACATATCACAGAAGTTGAAGTGATACAGCTGTTCTGATTCAGGGGGAAAAATGCAGCATGATTAAGCAGCACGTGTACCTTTATTGTCTTAACCAGGTTAGCTGTGCTGTTTGCAACTTCCTTGGCAGACTGCACAAAGTGTCTCTTGGCAACAGGATTTGCTGTCTTTGATGAAGCGATGCGACAGGCATTGCACAGAGCAGAAGTATGTTTAGCCACAATTGTGGCAGCTGACAATACCTGTAAAAACAGACAGCACAAAATAAGGAGACTGTCAGAGCACCAGGACAGTTACTACATTCTAGTTCTGCAAAGTTGTGGTCAAAGCCAGGCAACAGTTTTAAAACAGAACTCCTTTGCTTGGTCACAAACAAATTGAAGTCATATGTCCTAGCAATGCTAGGCTCAATGCAATCCTTCAGTTACCTGTGATGGGCTGCTTGCTGGATCAACCAAGTTCTGGCAAGCCATCTGGATTGCTTGATTGGCTCTGGCAAACTGAATTGGGTCAACAAGACCCTGCTGACCTGCCTGACTGTTGGGATCTGAAATGCCAACCAAGTAAGCAGCCTAGAAATGGAGAAAGGAAGACAAAAATGATGAAACAATGCTAAATCCACCTTGTTCTTTTCTGATAAGCTTGACAAATGTCATTGCACTTGGTAGTCAGTAATCATCTAGAAATCATACTGTGAAGTACTAGTAACATTATTGTTAGTAATACATCTCCATAAACCTCTGAAACCAAGACACCTCAGCCATTGCACTTCTGAAATTTAATTAGGCAAAACAAAATCATCCCGTTTGCTTAGGCAACTAGTCTTCCTGTAAAGCAAACAAACGCCTCTCCCAACTCCTCCTTACTGACATCAGATCACCTCAGCAAATCGACTACTACTACTGACCATCACATCTGCAGGTGAGCATCCTGAGCTGCAGGGAGACCATCATATCTGCAGGTCATGGTCTCACTGCAGCTCAAGATGTCTTCTGGCCAAACTTATTTTCTTTCTTCCTCAATATAAGATTGTTTCAGGCCTCTGAACAAAGACCTTTTGTCTGGACTGGCAAAACAGCGTTGGAAGTCTGCTTGATGAATTTCCGTTACAGATACAGTATTTGTCAGCTCCACATGCTGGTAAGGCAACCCAGGGTTAGATTTGGAAAAGATTAAGTTCAGAATGAGATTGTGTACTGGGGAACTCAAAAAGCAGTTTCCAGATGCAAAGCATAATCTTCCACAGCCAGACGCTTCACTGAAAAGGCTGTATGGGCTTGAAGCACAAGTGAGAGAATCTCATGAGTACAAGTCAGCCAGTTACCAGATCAAACCACAGTGACTTTGTCTTAACTCTAGTTGTTGTGATACCTTAAGATATTTGATTATTCAGGAAGTGAAGAGCTGGAAGGCTTATAATCTGAAATGCAGTCTCAAATTAGGAGTGCAAACTAAACCAAAACTGTATCATTTATTTTTACTACAGCTTGATTTTGTGTGCTTCTCTATGACGTAATATGAGCTGCAAACATGAATTCTATAGACTGCAGCTCTGACATTTGCTTTATCCTCAGGAAAACTTACCTTCCTGATGTCACTTCCTTTCTTTATAAAAATTTGCATGTTATTGTACTCTGTTACTCCTGCAACATACAGCAGCATATTCACGATTTATGTGTATCCTACGCAGAGCACGCTGCGAAGTACAAGGTCATTATTTGGCCAATATTTGGCCAAAATGAAAAAAATCTCAGAATTACACATGCATAGGAATTTTTTTTTTTAAATACATACATTTGCTTCACAGACTTCAATAGCTTACCTGAGCTGCTGCCTCTGTGAGGCCACAAAGAGCCTTGGATGCAACACCAACACATTCTCCAAAGACTAAAAGATCACCGGTTTTTGCATTCTGGGAAATGCCTGCCATTGATTCTCCAAGAACCTCAGAAATTAAAAAAAAAAAAAAAAAAAAAAAAAAGTAAACTTCCAATATGCTTCCCTACCACTAAAAGGCAGTAAAAGTGATTCCTGGCCATAAACCTGTTGAGGCTCACGAAAATGCTTGACCTGGCTTCCAGAAATTTTAGCTTGTTAACAAGCTCGTAGATTTGAGCACATGCCTTTGTGTGGCATGAGGGATAAGACATACAGATCAGCACTGGATTTACAGGGCCAAGAACTAACACTATTATAGCTCAATTGAATATGAGGGTACAGAAATAACACGCATTACTTTTTCTACCATACAGTATTTGTCACAGGTAGCCCGGCTGTACGTATGTTTCACGAATTTCAGAACATGGCAACCAAACCAGCAACTGCTTTCATACATCCTGGATCTTCTTTGCCCCCACACTCACTGAAATTCACTGGAGATCAAGGTGTGTCTAATCTGCTGGAACCATCCGGACATCAGAATGCACATTAACTCCCAAAGCATCTCTCAATAAATTCAGTTTATGTTCTTTTTAAAATTCAAAGTAAGGTCTGACTACAGTAGAGCACCAGAACAAGATGACATGCATATTGCCAACCCCTTAAGCATTCTGTTTTTCTTTTACTGAGCAAAGAATTTGAGACAATCCCAACACATCAAGCAATAAGGACATCAAAAGCAAAACTTCAAAGCAAGATGTATGACATGGTATGCTCAAAAATAACTTCAGAGATTTCATACAGATCTTCTGGTGTGCTGGAATATCTGGACTGCTCAGACATTTCACTAAGCTGTTTCACACAGAACAATACCATGGTATTTCATTGCCAAGGCTCCCATTTACACTTGGGGCATTTCTAACATAGCTGCAGTCAAAACATATCATTGTGTATGATAGACATCCTGTAAATTGTCTAATAAACTGGAGGAGAAGGGAGAGAAGTGAAAGCTTAACTAGCATTGCATGCCATAATAAAAAATACTACCAATGCAAAAAAAAAAAAAAAAAGAAAAAAGACTTCAAAGTGACCAAAAAATGCACTGACCTCTAAGAGACTGATCTCAGGCTAAGTTTTACCACGGAATGCAACAGCAACACACACTTTAGAAATATTGTGCTGTGTTTCTAACATGTTTGATACACATGTGGAAATGTATGATAACCAAAATATACTTCACAATTGGCACAGAGGTAGCAAAAGGAAGTTACCTTTGAGTTTTCCATTACGCCCTCAATGCAATCAAAATATGAGAGGTCGCTCACAGGCTCATTGGGGTTATCCAGCATTCCCTTAACTGTCTGAAAGAAGGAAAGAAACTTGGCTTACTGACAGAGCCAAAGACTGAGCTGAGAAAAATGTACACTACCACAACTGTTCTGCTTACCCCAACGTAGTTTTAACTGTCTCCAGCCAGCACAGAAAACTACACTCACTGAGGGTTCACATACAGATATGTGCACTACACATGAAATGCTACCCCACATCAACTGAACTACAGTAGCTATTCATTTTTGCACTACCCATCTGTTGGAAGTACATGTTAATGTGGTTTACCCTGCACTTGTTATGGCTGGCCTATGGTCAGTTAGTAATGCTTGGCTCACATGAGGCAACCTGTTTTAGCATCAGTTCTGAGTAGTCTAACATGTTTTCAGTAATATTTTAACATTTTAAAACTGGAATTAAAAGACTAAGTGATAGGAGAACAAGCTACCATTTAAGTAATGTCTAGAGATAAAAAGGGCTACCAAACTAAATGCTAGTATCCATCTGCTTGCTTCCTCCTACCGTCAACAGAGCCCACCAATACACCTCCCTCTGCTAAAAAACTACAAGCACAAATGGGATTTAATTTTTTGAGTGAAACTGATTCCTGGAAATGAAGAAGTTCATCAGATATTCATTTAGACAATTTAATGCATTTAGATGAAGAAACTTTTAACAAGCTGCAAAATACTGTAGACAATAATTATCTGATGCTTAAAATATTTGTAAGGTGCCTTTTTCCAAGTTTGGAAGAACCACCTCACTAAGCATCAGGCAGGAAAGACTTGAACTTTCTGAAAAAAAACTAGGTAAGTACTGAAAGATACTAGTATCTTTATCTGACCTGTACCTTGCACCTGAAGGAAGTCTGGGAGTCTGGGCATGAATGTAAACTATTAGACTTGTTACAAAAATAAACTCCTAATATAAAGGCATACCTACAATATTTGTAAAAGCTTTTTTTTTTTTTTTTTTTTTTTTTTTTTTTAAATCTTTTACATCCTTACAGCAATTAAGAAACTGTGAGAACAATGCGATGTGAGGGAAAGGCTGTATTTAGAACAATTTCCAGTGGCTTCCCATCTCTTTCCCAGTTCTCACAGCAATTGCAGCAATTCCTCATTGTTATGCTTGATCCTTAAATAACACCCTTGTAAAATAAGCCATGTTCCTGAAATGTTTATACTACTATGGAGACAGAAGTCCTTAGAATATAAAGAAACAACAGCAGAACGCAAGCCAGCACAACTTCATACTAACAGCTAACATGTATTTGCTATTGTTATAACATCTTTGTGTATTCTATAACCCTTTCAGCTGAAATTCTGTGAAAGTTTAGCTGTCTCTCTGGAGGCCATACAGGAAGGTCCTCCCAAAACACAGTCATCCAGAATCTCCAGGAAAGACTACAGAGCATCCTAACAAAGTCCTGACTAAAACACACTAAGTGTTTAAGTAACACCATAAATAACAACCTTCTAAGAACAGAAAATCAAGGAATTACTACTCCCTTCAGTACCCTGCTGGCACTGGGAATGTCCAGCCCACTGAGACTCCTTTTTAATTCACAGCAATTATGAATAATAATGACTGAACTGTACTTCATGGGGAGAAAGGAAGAGAATGGGACAGTAGGGCAAATTTCACTCTGGCCAAAACTATGAGATGTCCAGAGAGGTTCTGTGCTTACCTGGTATGCAAGTAAAACCCCTGTCATATATCTAAGTGAGAAGACAGTGACAGCAGCTAATCAAAGGAAAAGGAAAAACAAACATTTTGGGCCCAGTGCTCTTCAAAAGAGCTTTCTGGATTGCAGTAATACCTCCAGTTCTCTGAGTGCATTGTCACATTCCTTCTGCCCGGGAGCTTGCTGGGTGCACAGTGTGATGAGCTGGTTTATACTTTCAGTCACAGCTCTAGGAAAAGTAGAAGAAACAAGGTATATTTTTAACTTGAACTACTCATTTTGTTAATGCTTCTGTTTCACTAAGTGCATACTATCAAGTTTTCAAGCTTTGATGTTCTATTATTTTTCTTTCCACTGTTTGGGGAATAACTCTGCTGTGAAGTAATTGGCCTTTCCTTAATAAGCTTCCTAGAATCAGAAAAAAAATAAAGCATTTAATAGTGATCAACATCAGAGACAACTGCAAACAATTAAGAAGTTAGTCCACAGGCAACAGCTTTATTTCACAGTGACACGTGCATTAGGTGTGCATGGCAAGGTATTGGCAGGGAAGGCTGCAGGGGTGGTCTCTGAGTTCAAGGCCAGGGGCTGCCCTGTGCTGGGTGCAGCTGGTTCCAGCTGACTCCACAATGGACCTACCACAGGACACAGCTGAGCCCAGCAAACAAGCGAGAGGTGCCTCTAGGAATGCACCGTGCAAAAAGGGCACATGGACTCCTCACCACATGGCAGTGAAGACTGGGAGGAAAAGGTGCAACAACCCTGCAAACACCGGTGCCAGAAGAAGGATGGGAAGGTGCTGGAGCAGAGGTTCCTCTGCAGCCCGTTGGAGAGACCGTGCTAGAGCAGATATCCGACACTGCAGCAAGTGGACATTCCTGGAAGGAAACTACAGCCTGTGGAGGTCCCACAATGGAGCTGGTTTATCCTGTCACAACCAGTCTGTGAAGGACACACTCTGGAGCAGCTGGTCCTGATACAGACTGTGCTTCCTGGAGAACCCATGCTGGGGCAGGCTTATTCTGAAGGACTGTGGTTTGCAGAGAGAATCCATGCTAGAGCAGTCTGTGAAGGACTGCAGCCCATTCCAAGAACTCACACTGTAGCAGGGGAAAATGTGAGGAGGAAGAAGCAGCAGAGGAGCTGTCATAGACCAACTGCAACACCCCCATTCCTCAATCCCCTGTACTGCTCAGGGCAGAGGAGGAGGCAGAGTAGTCAGTAATTGAGTGAAATTGAGTCTAGAAAAAAAATGGAGTAGGTCTGAGGGGAAGATGGTTTAAATTGGTCTTAGTTTCTCACCATCTATACTTTAATTAGCTATACATTTTTCTCACTTTTTTTTTTTTTTAAACTGTGATTGTAATCAGTCTTCTCATGTCAACCCATGAGCTTTTTCATGTTATTTTCTTCTGTTGAGGAGGGGTGTGAGAGCAGCTGTCTGGGCATGAGGCAGCCAGCCGAAGTCAACCCACTACACTAGCACAATGACATAACTCAGTTGCTTAAAGGCATTTATGACATTACCAATATCTTTTCCTGGTTTGATATTAGCTGAAGAATTTCTGAACTAGCACCCCAGACATCTTAAAATACACAGAAACAAGTGGCCATTATGTCTAAAATGTTTACCTGTAGAGGAGTACTACCCCTTTTGCTAGCAGTCATCCATCCTGACATACTGTATTACACACACACACGTGGTCCTGCTATATACAGTCAGTTATCTTTTTTCTTTAGCTGATCATTGATATTTTGAGTTAACATATCTCACTTAAGTTAGAGTCAGCAGAGATCAAGGTATTCATTGCACTGAGTTTCTCCGAGAGTTCACAGCACTTGTGCTGTTGAACACAGCCTGTGTCTGACATATGATCTAGTCACTATTTGTGCTTCCACTGCAATATTCATTATCCCTAGCAACACACAAGATTAGTGGCTAATTAGTCAGGGAAGCAGCTTCTAGAAGAGGCTTTGCAGAAGTCCGCCTTTCATTGTTACTAGTCAAAAAATCATTTTCTATAGCTAGGCATGCTAGGCAACTTGCAAAACCTTGACTTATGTTGTGACACAGGGGAATGCAAGTTCACATTGTAGCACATGGCAAATTAGAAAAAGGGTGAAGGAAGACTGCATGGTGAACATGCTTTCCTCTGGCCTTGAAAAAACTACATGGCATATGGGTAGTTTTCTCTTCAGAATACTGACACTGGATAAAAATGACTTACAATATCAATAGCATGATTATCTAGACGGATGCTATCATATTGTTACAAAGGAAAGAGAACCTACTTTAAAAATAAAACTGACATATTATATTTCAGGGCAACAAGAATTGAAACAAAGAAGGTTGAAGGGTAAACTTGTTCTCTACAGCTTCCCAAGGAGGGGAAGTAGAGAGCGAAGTGCTCATCCTTTCTCCCTAGTAACTAATAACAGGATGCATGGGAATCGCTCAAAGCCGCATCAGCGGAGGCTCAAACCACACAGTAGGAAGAACTTATTTATCAAGAGAATAGACACTGGAACAAGCTTCCTAAAGGGTGGTTGATAGACCATGCTTAAGAGGCATTTGGATAGAGTTCTTAATGATATGTGTTAACTTTCAGTCACCCCCAAAATAGTCTGAAAGTTAAACTCAATGATACTTGCTGGTCCCTTCCAGCTGGAACTGCTCTATATCTATTTGTTTAATTGAGAAACCTACCCTTTTTGGTAGGCTTTGGTGTCCTTGTGGAGTCATTTTTCCAGGCTTGACCAATATACCATCAATAAAGTGGATTCTGTCTTAAAACCTCTTGAATGTCACAATGATGTCTACAAATCGGAAAAACTTCTTTGCATTCAGACATATAAGCAGATGACAAAGAAGAATGGTTCTATTAACTCACAGAGAAACTTCATATACAAATATTCCCTTCTCTGTTGATTGTAACCTAAGGGAGATGAGCTGACTTGGAGAATACCAAAGATTAAAGAAAAAACTTGATAGCAGACTCATAGTTTGCTTTGTAGAGAATGCAGTGTGGTCTCACTAACATTAATACTACACACCACAGAAGGAAAATACAAGATGAATCATAGAACCATAAAAGATGAGAGAAAAAATAAGAAGGTAAGCCAGTGAGAAGCAATGAAGTTGTGCCTTTTTTTCCTCATTTCCTCAGAGAAGATAAAGTAGAAATATTTGACCTGACCACATCATAGCAGCAAAGCAAACTAAGCCCTGGCAAGCTTGTCAGAACAACTGCATTTGCAAAGCCACAGGGGATTAAAGAAGGGAAATATGATGGTCCTTTGTGTCTCAAACACAAACCTAGAATTGATGAAATATTTACTTTTTGTTGCTATCTAACGTCTACTCACAGTCTCAGTCATGCAGACATGCCTTCACACAAACACCACGGCAAAACAGACCATTTTTGATGACTCTATACTTTATATGCTGCTTGTGTCTTCCTTTTTATTAAATGTTTCTACAGAGAGAATACCAGCCTGGAAGAAACAACCAACCAACCGGCTTTCACTGGAGATATTAACTTGCTCTACACTCTAAGGAAAACAGCAACGTTCCAAGTCTAAAGCAGAAATCCATAGCAGTCTGGTGCTGTGGCAGTAACACAAACACATGTGACTCCTTCATTTGTATTCAGTATACGTTTGATTATCTACAACTTCTCTACAAGTCTACATATTTCTGAGGAGACAAGGTAAATGTCAGAGTATTTTTGTAAAGAACATAACAAAAAGTAGCATACCTTACTTCTTTAAGTAGTCCTTTATTAAGACTGGATTTTACTTTTTTAAATTAAGTTATTTGACATTAAAGGAGTGATGATTCCAGGGTCCAGGACAAACATCAACTGTGTTATCCTCAAAGAAGTAAGTCTTAAATTACTCAATTGCTCTCCAGGCTAATCTTTGTGGGAGTAAACATTTTGGAAGACAGTATTGAGAGTGACATCCGAACTTTATTTCAGATTTTCACGTGATAATATTGACATTTCTAGGTCTGAGTGCCTAGCTGTCCTTCAGCAGTCCCCTTCCAGTCTGATAGTTGAACATTCAATTTAAAGACATAAATAAGTTCAGTTGAGAAAAACAAAACAACAAAAAAAAAATTTGAAAAGGGTTTGGGAAAATGAACAAAAGGTGATTATCCAAACACCGAAAGGTGTGTATTTTTCAAATAAACATGGCATTGAGGCTGAGAAACAGAGTCCAAACACTGAAATTCAGGGTGTGGTTAAAAATCCTTAAAGTAAGAGAGTATCTTCCATCAAATAATCATACCCTATCAGGTAACCCTTTAAAGTTTTCTTGATCGTACACGCTTTTGTTGATAGGTAGCCACAACACGATTATTACAAACAGCCTATATAAGAACATTATTCAATTTCTTGTCTTTGTTAAGGATTAAGACTTACTATTACCTAACAACTTGTCAGAAAATAGATGGAAAGAGAAGCAGGTAGAGCACACTAGTCCCTTTCAAAAAACAGGCCAACTAGTAGTTCATATTTCAACCAAGGGTAACGAGTTATGTCAGATAAAGGGCTACCCTGAAATAAGCAATTTGCCTTGGACCTACATTAATTTAAACAGAACTGTAGTTTCCAACCACTCAGTTAACTACATCTGTAAGAATACCTAAGCACATTTTAAGTAGTGCTGAGGAAAGCAAACACATTAAGTAAAACAAAATAAGCAATACATTCTTACCTTGCTGCTGCTGCTAACAGATTTTTGGCATTAGGAGCTCCGGGATCAACAGACAGAGACTTGGCAGCCAGTAACAGTTTGCTTGAAGCCATAGAGATGCTCTTGAGGTTACCTATTACTTGAATCTGGTCTTCTTTAGTCTGAAAGACCACACCCACATAACATTAAGCACCTAGTTTGCAATAAAGTGTGTGCTAAAACAGCATCTGGAAACCCAGTCTGCTATCCACCTGAAACCACTGGCATGCAAGGGAATTCAGTCCAAAGGAGGACAGGGACCAAAGCCTCTGTTCACCCAGACAGGTGCCTCTAGCTCCATTCACATAACAGAACAAGAAACCCATATAACACATAGCTTTATTTCTAACAATGGCAGTATTCATAAACAAGCAAGGGAGAAACTTTACTACTTGTTGAACAATGCTTTCATTGTCAAGATTCTCATACGTCTCTGCCTGGCACAACTGATCCTCATTACTCCATCAGTGTGTACTGTCTGTATTCTATCATCCTGCATAACCCACAAGCTCTCTTGCATTTAACCGGGATTACTCCCACAAAGATAGCTCCAGAAAGTCCTCTGCCTCAAGAAAATAAATTTTTATAATCTTACTTCAGAACATCCAAGTCAGAATGCTTACTATTCTTCACTAACTTTAAACCATTGCTTGAAAAGGATAACCTTCATGTGTGCACAATTACAGGGAAGCACTGCAAATAGCTAGAACAGTATTCTTCTTTCAGTCATTGGTAGAAGTTAATTTGTTCCTTCTAATAGTCTGTTTAGGGTTTTAAATTTAGAGGTTGTATATTACTTAGACGATATGAATAGCTTTTAATCTGTATTTACATTCTGCTCTCCTCCCTACCCTCTTCTGCCCGTTCGCAAAGCATCCAAAGTATCTGGTATGGCTTCTGTTTAGGCCAAATAACTAGACACAGACAAAAGGCATTCTCTATTGAAATATGAGCCAGTATTACCTAAGATGGTTTTAATTCACTATGACAGCAGGAGAAGCAAATCTTCGCAGTCCATAAGGTCATCAGCACCTGGAATTCTCTTTTCAATTAACTGTTTTCACCAGCTCATATAATTTCTACCCTTGCCTGCACTCAACTGTTTTATTCAGATTGTTTTATTCAAATAAAATATTTTACAAGTTAATGAAGCCCATGGCTGAAGAGATAGATATCAAACTCCTATTTCTATTTAATTCCAGAGAATCAGCTGATATTTGGTGTCTACTTCACTTCATGGATCTGAACCTGAATGATTAAAGTTTAATGAAGAATAACCAACAGTTATTGCCTGATCTCTCTGTTCTGCATTATCTACAAAGCATTTGCTTTATAGAGACAGTTCATAAGTGACTTTGAAGGACTAGTGTACTCCTTAGATTTCCTTCCTATTTCTTCTGGCAGCAATTGTTAGGTTTAAAAGTTCCTTTTACTAAGACAATACAGTCCAAAAATTCTTTTTTCTCCATCCTCCTGGCTCACCTAGTATGTGACCCTTCTTTCTATGCTGGCATTTGCTATGTTAAATCATCTTTAATTGACCCACTTCCTAAAATCTGTACACCTAAACCCAGTAAGATAATGAATGAAATAGCTCCAACTTGAAATGAGCACCCAGACTACTAGGAATAAACTAGGTAATGTGACAACACTCTTGAATGTTACTGAGTTTGTCAGAATAGACCTAGAATAGATGGTAAATCACCAAACAGACTTGCAAGTGCTACTGAAATAGAAGCAACTCTTGCTATAACCTGTGAGAGGTTCAGCAGGCCTTTGTACTTTCAGATATACAGCTTATATATTAGTTAGCTAACAGCCCAAACCAGACGGAGCATGAAATCACATTTTTGACTGGCCACAGAAACGAAGACACAAATGCTAAGCTCACTTCAGTCCAGATGACTGCTTCATAACATACATCCCCTGCTATATTTGGATACACTTACACTAGTATATTATACTGTATTCCCAAATTAACCTTGGTCCCAGTTAGCAACGTAAAAAAAAAAGCACACACGCTTACTTGGGCTTGACCAGCCATTTCAATCCCTGCATCAAGAAATTCATCAAAATCATCACTAAATTTTCCAGATGCTGCAGCCAGTTCCCCACTTTGCCCCCGTGTAGCATGAACAACTTCTCCTGCTGACTGGTTCAGATCTGCTGCTGCCTGGTTCAGTTCGCTCTGAGCTTCTTGAAATGACTTTGAACTTGGAGGTAGCTGTAAGAGATGAATAACTATTTTATTGTCTACCATGTCACACCAAACCTTTGTGATGACAGAGTCCAACACAATTCAAGAACACTAAATTCAAGACAGCAATAGGCCCCCCATACAAGCTAAAATGGAGTACTGCATCTGAACTGCTAGTTAATCAGTCCTAAAAAGCTGAATAGTCCAATTACGGGATAGTTATCAACCAGAAATCTACACAGCAAGCTTTGTCTTGTTTCTTTCAATGGACAGACAATCAAGCAAGCCTTTCTAGGGACAGAGAAGATAACAGCTATTTTGTAGTCCAACTATGAAACTCAAAGTGATGAACTCAGTGGAGAAAGTGGGAGAAATTTATCCTTCAAGTCATCGTTCACTTCTACAATCAAGCCTTCCAGAACAACCTAGAAGTATCGGTAGTTCTTCAATGACTAAATTTAGTCCTGACCTGGTTCAACCAAGCAGCATTGCACTAATATTAAAATATAATCCCGCCTTCATTCACAGGGTAGCAGGATCACCAGTAGATGAGACAGAGTTGTTCAAGTCATGCAACATTCAAGCAAGTTAGCAGTGCTCACAGTTGTTTTCTTGTCCCCCCTCCACCCTTCCCTAACATGGATGCAGATAAATATAACAATTCATCTCTTCACACTAAACGGTTGAAGATGCACTAAAACTTCTTAAAGGACCATTCTCCTTCAACTGAATTGGTCACCTAGGTGTGAAATGGATTATAATTCATAATTCTCATTTTCATATTCAATTTGTGAAGTTACAGTTAGCATTCTCAAAAACAAAACTAAACCCTAATGGTGATGTAAGACAGCAATTTTAATACTGCCTTCATAAGCCCTAGATACATTTCAACTTTCCCATGAACTAGAAAAACAGTATTTTAGCCAAGTAATTAATCTCTTAAACCTGCAAAACAAATAAGACATACTTGAAGTATACTTCATGCACACTTGCTACATAATTTGATATGTGGAAAACCCTGATCAGCTCTTCAATTCTCTCAATTTATTTGTATGGTAAAAAACATCTCACCAAATCAACGAGGAGCTTCTTGCTAGACTCTCCAATACTCTTCAAAGCCACATCGACATCCTTTTGTCCAGGTAGACAATTCACACAGTTATTCAGCGAGTGAGACACTGCTTTTGCCACCTACGACACAGAAGTAAACACACAGAAACTGAGAAAGACTTAAGCATTTAGCTGACAAACAGGAGGAACAGTCTAGAGCCATCAATCTAGAAGCCATTTTTACAATTCTGACTCCAACAAAACCATATTTGAAGCTTGGAATAAAGGTTGTACTACCCTAGCTATGGAAATGCACCAGAAGTTGACTGTATGCTAAACAGAAAAATCCTTTGTGTGCCACTTATTTCAGATAAAGCCCAGATACTTATTTAAATCATATCTCACCTCCTAAGAAATTATTTGAAATACAGGCCAATTAAAGATCTCTTCAAACCAGTTAAAGAACCTATTACTCCTTAAAATCTTCAAAAGCAGTTGTGCTACTCATGTAGAAAAAAGTGTGCTCACTTTTTGAAGATAACATGAGTATTAAGCCTTCTTTTGGCAATGAGTTTAACAGGTGTTTCATCTTGCAATCAAGCAGCCCACTCTAAATATGTTGTGGGAAAAAGTATCTAATTTCATCTTTGCATAAGTTGATTTCTTTGAAAGATGATTAAAATGCACTAAGCGCCATCTACATTCTTTGACATAAGCATAATGTTACTATTTGAGAGCTACTGGCAGTAATAGGCAGCTCTCTGACATTTCTTGAGGCCTGATCTGTTGTATTCTTTTCCTGTTTAGGGCTGTGTTTTACGCAATTTTAGTGGGTTTTCCATAATTCACATCGCCACAACTTACCTGGGCTAATCTCTGCTGACTGTCCGCATCCCCCGGTGCAGCCAGGGCCTGCTTTGCCTCCTGAATAAGCATAGCAGAGCCTTCCATGACATCCCTTGCTGAATCCAACATTGCATGCGCTGCTACAGGGTCAGTAGTTGATGCTGCAACCCCTCGTGCTGCCTGAGCCAAAGTCTTCAAAGCCTGAGCAGTTTCTCTTGCAGCAACTCCTATGTTCAGATTTCATCAAGGAATTTATTAGCACTCTTAAAGAATTTTTTTGTATTTTATGACAGCTGAATTTGCAGGTTGTGATCACATTGCAACACAACATTTCAAATGCAGTTTAAAAGATAACCTTCAAACATGACCACATTTGAAATACACAGCATCATTTGCCAAGAGAAATGCCTGTAGTGAAGCCATAAAGTAAATCTTATACCCCTAAGAGGACATTCCAGAGCAGCTATAGATCAATGCCTAAATAAGTGAAGCAGGGGTAAAGAAGGAAAGCTAAAAATTGGAAATAAGAAAAAAATTGCAGGAAAAAGTGATTGTCTCCAAGAACTGTGTACATGACTTCAAAGGGGGGAAGTGATTATCTGCAAGAACTGGGTATATGATTTCAGAGCCAGAGCATCTGTCATTTCTGAAAACGTGGCTTTGTGATTTTATAGAATCAACAGAGAAATAGCTTAAGTTCAAGCAATTAAAAATTAAATAAAAAGAAAACATCAAGGATGAGGTAACTTGACGTAACTTAACCCCACTGTGAGTACAAGCAGATAAAAATAAAGTGGGAGAACGTCATGAAATTGCTTTTAAATACATAGTGAAAAGAAACTTACTATTTCAGCTTCAGACAAGAGGGAATGATTAATTAGTGAAGATAAGTTGTAAAGACTTTTCGTCACTAAGAACAGCAGAATATGCCACAATACCTGCAAACACTCAGCACTTGCTCAAGCAAAAAAAAATCTTGCATAACAAAATACCATGATAGAAAATAGCTACATGAGCTCTGAAAAGGAACTCATTGCAAAACTTCCCAACTGAACAGCTTTTATAGCTTGATGTTAAGAGAACTAGATTATTAGATATCAGCTGCAAGTACCTGTATTCCTTCACCAGATATCCAGTGCTAACTTCTGCATAACTATGTAATAGAAACACAAGCCTTATTAATCCAATTACATCTGCTTCAAATGAAAGCAACTGTAAGTTACTCAGCCATGATGCAGTTATATCTAATGAAGTGGTAATTGCCGTAACAGATTTTATCACTAATATAATGAAAATTCTACTGTAGCGTTTGCATCAACAGCTTTCATTTTTTACATAAAGGAGTGAATGGAACATTTTATCATTTGTATGTAAACCTTCCCCAGCAACCCCCTGCAAGGAGCTTTCTCCTTATAAAGTGCTTCAGTCCCTAAAAGCACAGGTATAAAAACTGGGGCAATGTATAAAAAGAACTGATCACAGAATCCGCATGACAACATTCCCTGTTGGCTTTACCCCAAACTATGCAAATGTGATTAATGAGCCGGAGAAGATAGCTGCGTTATACATGGGAAATGGTGAAACATCTAGTAAGAGATGCAATGTTTTAAACATTACCAAATCATCCCAAGTATGTTTGCATCTTGTGTTGCAAAACATATCCAAAGACCCTTTCAGGACTTGTGAAAGGACACAGCAACATTTCAGTGGCACTGGCCTTTAAATTGCTTTACATTTTAGTTCTGTCCAGAAAGAGTTTGTGATACTTTCATAAACAGCAGATGTCTCAATCTGGTTATGTACATACAACAGATTGGAACACTACTCTTTTATGAAGCACATTATTTACATTAGCAATTCCTACTAACTTGCCAAAATTCACTGTCAGCATAGAAATAAAGAAGTGAACAACTACTTGACTTCAGCACTCTGTGATAAGAGAGCCTTCTAACAAACATCATTTGGGAAGCAGACATGATGAATAAAATGGCACCTGTGTAGTGTTCTACACAGACATTCTCACAGACATTATGAATAAAGTGGTACCTGTGTAGTGCTCATTGCCTTGAGCAGCGCAAGTTAGCAACTGGGCCATTGATGAACCAACTGCTTTGGAGGTACTTCCCAGATCCTGAGCACATTTCTCAAGCTGTGAAAAGGTGCAAAGGACAGAATTCTTTGCTTAAACTTTACTAAAACACACTTGCCTTTTAAACAGTATTAAGAAATTTCCTCTCCTACGAAAAACAAGCTTCTATCTCAGCAACTGAACACAGAGTTTCTCTGAAGCCTTATTAGCATGTTTTCCCTGCCCAAGTTGAAATAAATTTATATATTAGGTCGTAAGAACAACAAAATTAGAATTGCAACATTTAATAATCAGCAATGGAAATCACTACCTTTAACTGTGGTGAGAAAACAGTTTTTACCGAATAAAATATTTCAGTTTCTAAGAATACCAACTTCTGAGTTCTCATCGTTGCCCTCTATGAAAAGCATTATCTTTTTGGAAAGACTGAAACATTACTACTACTAAATAATATTTTGTTCAATATAGGAGGCGGCCCTACAGTCCTGTGAGCACTTCTGCTAAAAAAAAAAAAAAATAACATTCCTCTGGTGTAGCAGGAACATAGAATCTTTTCAAGAGAATCAGTGCAAAATCCCACCAGAATGATAATTATCCAAAGCCTCACGATTTATTTTGCCTCAAACACTTAATTTTTTAACAGATAAGTTTGTTTATAAATGAAGGACACCCTTCATTAATTACAGTTTCTCCTGGGAGAGGTTTTAGCTGTCCATCCACAGCTGCCATCTTTGCATCTTGCAGTTCATTTTTGAGTGTCTGGACTGTATTCAAAGCAGAATCAATCTCCATTGGGCCACACGCTTCATGAGCCTATTCAGAAATCAGATCAGTAACACTGTTAGCACCTATAAGACACTATTAGAAACAGTAAACGCTTCAGATACAATCCCTCCAAAATATCTATTCGTCTCATGACTTCAGCGGCCCCTGTGGACACTCTACATATCATGGCTTCCAAGCTGCTGGACAATACTCTTAGCTTGTGAATAGAATAACACTGGTAAGAGCCACCACAGGAATGAGATGCACTTACCTTATGTATACACATCTTCACATTAGGTAGTCCAGGTACTGAGAAAGTAACTCCTGCAGTTTGGACTTCACCTTTGACAAATAGTGTAACATATTTCAAGTCACATTTGAACTCTCTAATCTGGCAGCCCACAATAATCAGTAACTTGGCTGAAAATTTTGCAGATTGCTGAGGTGTAATTTGAGGTGTAATTTTTGCTACAATCCTGTTTTGGGGCTTCAGCATTCACAAGATAAGGCTTTCCACTACGACTTTTTTTTTTTTTAAACAAACAAACAAAGAAACAAACATCAAGTTTAGAAGTCTGTGTGTCAAAGACACCCTCTACCCCTTATATTTAAAGGGAACAGTTCCAGGCTAACTCTGTGCATACCTCCCTGCCATGTTTCTGGTATGTCAGTAGTACCACAAGCTTTTCAGTTTTCTTCTCAGTTTTTCTTCCCCTGTCCATTACAACACAGAAGCCACATGGGACTGAGCAAACCATGCATGAAGGCAACACTGAAGCAAACACTGCCTGAGCATGAACCATTCCCTTTGGGTGGAAGGGGGAGAAGACAGTAGAGGCAAGGAGTGAACCTGTGACAACCATTGGGGCCATCTTGCTTTAGCTAATTAAAACTACTATCCTACCTTCTGAGAGGCAGTTCGTAGCTCAGCTAAGCTGGTTGCAAGGTTCTTCGCGCACTGACTTAGCTGCATTGCTGCTGCTTGATCAGTCACAGTGGGTACTGCAGCTTTAGCAGATGCCACCATCTTACTTCCAGGCTGTCCAAAGAAGAACCCAGAACACAATTTTATGAGTTCATTTTCTTCAAATAAGACAGGATTTTTTGCTGGTTCCACCATTCACACATTTTTTTGCTGGTTCCCCCATGCACACAACCATGAGCTTTTTACATCTATAATGACCACTTCATGCACTTGCCTGCTCCTTATCCATGAACCTCCTAGACAGCAATCTTTTTATTCACATGCTACACCCGAACATAATTCCAAATTGCAGTGTTGTCTGCAGCAGAAAACATTTGTTATTTACTAGTATACTAGTCACTTTGTAGGCAACAATGGAAGCTAAGAGGCCTTCAAGTATTTGTACAGACTGCTTAAAAGCTATTTCTTCTGCTATTCTAGGTGGTATGATCAGGTCTAGATGGTATCAATGGGAAATTTCTTTCAGCATTTCCAAATACTAAATTCTTTCAAAATGTACACTAAAAAAATTAATACAAGCAATGACTCTTCACAGGGTTGGTTTCCTGCTAATGCAGTTAAGCTGCTTTCCTGATTCACACCACCACTTTGGTACATACAGACAGCCAGAGAGGAGGCAGATCATTTTAATGACTACAGAGGGAATCATACAGCAAAATAGTGACAGAACTGTATGTGATGCTTCTAGTACATGACCATAAAGAACCTGCTAACAGTATCTAATGAAAGAGTTCACTTCCACTTCATATTGAAGGCATAACTGATGCTTATTAATGATAGTGTCATGATAGTGTCATTACACAATTAATTTCCTCAGTTTGTTTCTTGTCAAGAGTAAACCCAATAGCATTATCAACCCTCTTGACTTTGTCTTTTTTCCCTTTTTTTTTTTTTGGGGGGGGGGGAGTAGAGGGGAGATGTTTTGGAAGAAGCAGAGTCAAGATTTGTTTTGAACGGAAGCCAAATCAAGATCTATAACATCTGTAGGTTAATATCTAAAAATCATCGTAATGTTCCCTTTGTGAAAAATTCTCAAGATTGTTGCTGCAGCACTGCGACTCTGCCTTCACTACAGATGGTTACAACATCATCTCTTATATTCAAGATCCCCATTTAGAAAGATGCTGAATTGTCACTACCTTGATCATAAAACTCTTTCCAAGAAAGCAAATGCCACTGCAACAAATGTTTTTTTCTTCATAAATTCCAGTTTTTCTGTTTCTTATATCCAGAAGTTTGGCAGTTCTCACTCTCCACAGGTTCAACATGTTTCAGCCACCTGACCTGAGGAGCTAAATCGTCCTTAGCCATGACAAAATCCCCCTGCAATGAACTTCTTTACATTGTCTGTAACAATTTACTGTTTATTTGTCACAAACAAAACCATAATTAAGAAGTGCCTTTTCTTCTCATGGAGTCTACTACAATGATTGATTTACTTCACCTGAAGGAAGTTTTGGCTGGAATTTATTAGAGCAAGCTGAGCACTGAGGTCTTCTGCCTGAGCTTGACTTCCTCGTACACCCTGCACCAACTGAGGAATGTGGTCTGCAACATTCTATAGTAAACAAAAGGAGAAGTTTCCAGCATAAAAATATGAACCCTCTAACATTAAAATAAGCCCTTTCCCTGTCCCTCTCAAATACAACTGGTAAAACTCAGAGGTATTTATATATATATGACTTCAAAGAATTTGTTTAGGAGTCCATGAAACTCAATTAATACGTGATTGGACTTCTCAGAGACATTCTGTTTTTACTTAGAAATGTTTATTTCCATCACTCATTAGTTGAAAGATCCTACTAAACAATCAAGATTCTTGTGAAAAAAAAGGTATTTATACAGCATTTTGAATGACTTCCTTTGTATGCATACATGCCAGTAGCGGAGATAAGTGACAAATTTTCAAGAGTCCCGTTTTGAGAAAAGCAAAATAGAGTACCTCATGCTGCTTTTCTTTGACATCTAATACTAAGTTTATAGGATAACTATAGAATTCTGAAGTGTAGATTATCAAAACAATATTCTTGAGCTGCCCAAATTCAAGCTCATATAACTCTTTCACTTCACATTAATCTTATCTCAGCAGTGCAATACTGCTTTCAATCCCCAAAGTACAAAAATAGGTATTGATCTTCTCTACTATCTAATAAACCATCAAGATCAAATGAGAACGGACTGTAATGTATGCCGCAGATCAGCTTTTTATTATTATTATTCACGCTAAAACAGCAGCTGTCTACAGTACAATCCTGGTACATACTGCATTATTTATTTCCCAAATTTCATAGGAATACCACCATAACAAGAAATAATTGCTGCATATTAATGTGGTTTTTAAAAGATGCTTTCTTTCATGGTTTGGTTTTCATTCCCTGCATAACTGTTCTCTCTGCAGGAATACGCTTTTGCCTTCTATTATCCTTTTATTTTTTTTTAATGTAATTTCTTTTAGAATTGTGAAGAAGCAACTGTCCAACATTTGTTAGAAATTAAGCTGTCAAATGTAGCTCAAGAGCAAAGCAGAACAGCTTTTCACCACAGGAACTCTTAATTCTAGCTTGGAACTATGAAAACATACTTGACTTTAGGCATACCTTGAAATCTGTGAGCTTGGAATTTAAGCTGCTAGGACAAGAATCATGTAAACCAAAATTATGGTCTACACCTTAGTTCTGAGTGACATTTAAGGCCCCAGCTGCTTGTAGACTGAAGAGCAGAATAGGATGATCAGTGTTGTTAAATATATAACCAATACATTAAATAAAGATTTCACTGCATTATCCTATAAGTCACTATTTCTACTCTATCCTTTGTTTTTGGAAAATTCAAAAGCTACTTTTATTCCACAGCAGACTTCGGTACCATTTCACTGCTTTCATCATTCAGCAGCCTGTTTTTATGACCACTGAGCTACTCAGTTGCCAAAGAGCATAACCGTGCACTGAACTGATGGCCAAGACTTCTTGCCAGTGTACAAATTTGAGCAACCAGACTCATATGCACAGTGCTTTCAGCATAGCTCTGCATGCACACTACTGCTGACTGTTTTGCAGTAAACTTCCACTTAAAACGCTTGCTTAAGGTGACTTGTTTATTACTCGGATACATGCTGAGGTATATAAACCTGCAATCCTTTCTAGTAAGATGTTTTCAGGAATACTGTAGGAAGCAATTCTTTGCGCTTACAGTAGCTCAGCTTTCTAAGGCTCTCCATATATTAAAACATATAAACCAGGGGAAAAGACAACAAATGATGGTTCTGCCAAATCCATATTGATTAATGTGGGGATATATATGTTTAATTTTTCAATCTCCATTGAGGTTAAAACAATACGACTAGAGAGGTTTGTCTTCATCTCCCCATAAAACTGGGTTTGAGAGAGTTATTTGTCAATAGGTAGTGATAGGTTTTACCTTACAGCTCTGCACAAGTTGCTGGTGGGCTGCAGTGTTCTTATTTGAAACAGCTGCATTCTGAGAAGCTGCAATAGTCTGAGTAGCAGCAGCTGCAGCTTGTTTAGCTGCAATCTTAGGAGAAAAAGAAATAGATAAAAACAATGATTATAGTAATTCAGAGGATGAAATACATACTCTAAGTAACTTTAAAGCTAACAACTTAGGTAGATTAAGACACTATCCCTTGATTAATTTGATTTGCCTTAAAGGAACTAGGTCTCATGATGAAGATGAGCTGAACACTGTTATACAGATGTTTACCCAATTTGTTATTCGATTTGAAGGTCCCTTCCGACCCAAACCATTCAGCATGTATGATCCATCTTGCCAAAAAAGCAAATGGTGAAAACAAGCTCCTGCCTTGGGTGAAAGGGTGGTTGTGAGCTCCTGCCATTTGTATCTTAGGTTGCAGTATTACCAAAAGATCTCACAAAAAACAGAAATGCTCTAATCAGTTAGCTGCTTAGAAAGAAAGCCAGAGAAAACAAGCAAGGTAGATGGAATACTGCTACATTAACATCTCTGACCAAAGACTGAAGGGAACCCATGCTTTCTTCTACTGAGATGGCTCTTTGGCAGAAGTGAAGACACTGAACTAATGCAGAGGTACAAATTGTTCTGGTATTAATGAGTCTAGATGCACTGAGGTCTTCCTCAAATATTTAGGACTTCCATTATTTATTCTATTATTCTCCCTCTCGCAAAATTAAAAATTCAACAATTTATCCAAGACATTCTGAAATGTTGTGCAATGCTCTTCGTTAACCGGCCCACTAAACACAACCAAGCATAAAGTTCATCCTCATCATTACACACTTCATCCCTTTAAGGCATTATGCATTATCAGAGCAGCATAAAATAAACATTTTTTCTATAAAGTTTTCCTGCATTCTGTTAGAAAACTGAGACATGATTAATTTCCTAAAATACGCCTAATTTTTGTTCTATGCAGACAGAGGAGCTTAAATGAACTTCTGGAATATGGTTATTGACTAAGGTCTTCCTGTTTGTCTAATCTAATTGTACCTGAAACATTTTCAGATGACCAAAAATAATATTTGGAAACCTGAGATTAGTGAGATTAGGGGTTTTTTTGTTTGTTTTGTTTTTTAATGTTTCTACATTCTAGCTGAAAACAGGAAGATTGAACCCTGCCTGCACAACAAACTTCAGATAAATTTCACCTTCAGTGCACAGTGAACTTGTAGTTCAATGTGTTCTGAATCAAATGCTTACACCAGTTGACTACATTAGTGATAGAAGTTACTCAAATTTCCTGTAGCTGACAACTATGGTATCCTATGCTACCATTGTGAATTTCAAGCCCTGTACTCTGGAACTGATCTTACAGCACTTAGAACTCCTCCTGAAGTATGCATTTCTAATTGTTTCAGCTAGAGATTTATCAAAATATAGTGAACTGAAAATTAAACAGTATCTGGTTCCAACCTCTAATCTGTTGACGATTTTCTTCTTGATGGCATTCTGTGCAGCAGCATTTGTAGCAACACGCAATCCCTCTGCTGCTTCTCGCAGACGCTGTTGTTGATCCTCATTTTCAGGATTGGCTGCAGCTCCCTGCACAAAATTTCAGAGCAAAAACCATCAGCCTCAGAAGCTGTTCCTGGAGAGAATGTAGATGAATATCAAACCTTTAGTTACAGACAGTCTGCTACATCAGCCTTTATTTTCTACATATTACCTTAGCCAAAGTTAGAAGAACATTTGACTGCTAGAAGAATATTAAACCATTAAAAGCATATGCAGAAAACTTAATGCTAGTGCAAGATTGTTTCTGTTCTTGCTGATTGTAAGATTGTTTCTGTTCTTACTGATTGTAAAGTTCTTTCAGGAAAGATTTCATTTATTTGTATACAATTTTTTGCTTTACATACTAGTTTAGCTGTTTGGAGAGTAAATTGTTTTGTTAAATGTTTCTGTTGTGATCTGTGGAAATATATTTTGATTATATGGATACTGATTTTGGAAAAAAAACACATTTCAAAATTCCTAATTCAGTATGCATTTCAGTAACTGTAGTCCAAACACTCAGATTTCACAGAATCACAGAATTTCTAGGTTGGAAGAGACCTCAAGATCATCGAGTCCAACCTCTCACCTAACACTAACAGTCCCCACTAAACCATATCCCTAAGCTCTACATCTAAACGTCTTTTGAAGACTTCCAGGGATGGTGACTCCACCACCTCCCTGGGCAGCCCGTTCCAGTGCCTAACAACCCTTTCAGTAAAGAAATTCTTCCTAACATCTAACCTAAAACTCCCCTGGCGTAACTTTAGCCCATTCCCCCTCGTCCTGTCACCAGGCACATGGGAGAACAGGCCAACCCCCACCTCGCTACAGCCTCCTTTAATGTACTTATACAGAGCAATAAGGTCGCCCCTGAGCCTCCTCTTCTCTAGGCTGAACAAGCCCAGCTCCTTCAGCCGCTCCTCATAGGACTTGCTCTCCAGGCCTCTCACCAGCTTCGTCGCCCTTCTCTGGACCCGCTCAAGCACCTCGATGTCCTTCTTGTAGCGAGAGGCCCAAAACTGAACACAGTACTCGAGGTGCGGCCTCACCAGAGCCGAGTACAGGGGGACGATCACCTCCCTAGCCCTGCTGGTCACAGTGTTTCTGATACAAGCCAGGATGCCGTTGGCCTTCTTGGCCACCTGAGCACACTGCTGGCTCATATTCAGCCGACTGTCCACCATCACTCCCAGGTCCTTCTCTGCCTGGCAGCTCTCCAACCATTCCTCTCCCAGCCTGTATTTAATGTATTTAATACAGTTTTTTCCATTTGAAGTCTCAGAAAGCTGAGAAAGCACTGGAAAGTCAAGAATATGCTTGTAGCCAGGGACATGGGTCTTTTAGAGGCCTAGGACAACTGCTGGCCGTGATCTATAAAAGTATTTTTGAATACAAGATCTGTGACTCAACTCAAAGAATCTAGGCCTAACTTAGTGGATTTAAATACTTTTCCAGCACAGAAAGGAAAGAGAAGTTCGGATATTTGCCTGTTGCGAGAACAAACATGAAGCAGAAAGGTGGGGAGGTGTACATGGTATACAACACACCAAACATTCCTCAACTCTAGGAAACTGTCCCCAAAAGAAACAGAGGCAGAGCAGATTAAGTCATTACAGTCAAAACACTTAGGGGACAAGAAAAACGGTCTACTGTCAGCCGAATCTAATCTATAATATACCACATATTATCTATATTATCTCTACTTTATGTGCAACTACACAATTTTAAGTGGACAGTTACTTCAATTACCCAGTACCTTTGCAGCTTCAACCATGCGGGCTGTAGAATCTGCTAGAAGCTTTGCAGCAGCTAGGAGCTTCTTTGAGTTGTCCATATCAATTTCTGCTTCAGCATCCGACCTCATAGCATTGACAAGATCTGAGGTAGCTTGAGCCAGTACCCTGGCCTGCCGTACCATTTCACCTATGATATACAATTATGTTTTTACTGTCCCCATCTTTACATTTCAGCTTTGATTTAAAAAGTCAACAAGATAAAAATAAAGTCATGTTTGCTGTAGTACTCATTTTATTTGACAAGGATATATAAGTAGTTCATAGCACAGTAGCTTCACAAAGTCTCGGATGACAATAATAAATGGAAAATAAATGTCATCCAAGATTATCTTTTACTAAATCCTTCTGTACAGAAGCCAAATGATTTATAATTGACAGTCGAACACAGGACTTAATAGACTTAATATACACATACACACTAATTAAACCGCTTTGAGTAGCAAAGTATTAGCTTTTTTTTTTTTTTTTGGCAGCTTTCATCTGGAAAATTTAGAAGGGTTTAGCAAACAATGTCCCTGTATGTCTTTTAAATATCTTGATCTTTCATTTCTCAGAGCAGCTGCTTTTAGGGCCAAAATACCCCAAGAATTCATATTACTTCCCCACACAAGTTCCTCTAGAAGAGCACTGCACAGCTGAAATGACAGTTCCTTGAAAAAAAAAAATCTGAAAGAATCTGAATCTACAAGAAAAGATTACTTGGTTTATATTGGCTGTACTGTGAATAAAACTGTGACAGTGATATATTTAATTTCCTGTTCTTGTGTTCAAATAACACAAAAGAGAGAGGAGATGAAAACCATATAATCCCCAAGAGGTACCATAACCACTTTTTTAAAGTTGTGTTATTTTAAAACTTTATATGAATTATCTTGTTATCAAATAGACACTGCCTCTTTATGCGGTTGATAATTCATCCCATTTTTAACCATTGAAATATCACTGCTCTATTTAATTTCCTGTGGGGTTTTGGTTTATTTTGTTTCTGAAAGTTCATATTGGGTCATTTCACAATATTAAGTATCTCAAGTCTGCATGGTTCTAGAATTTGCACATTTTAGAAACATCACAAGCAGCAACATAATTTTTAAAACCTACAACCAAATCTAAGCACAAAGACATCCATCACTGGCAAGTGTTCACTTAGGTACGTGTCCTCCTATTCAGAGATGAGGGCTTACTGCCCAGTTTTGTGAAGTGAAGCAGTAGAAGAAGAAAGACAGAATACTACAGTGATCCTTTAGCATGGTATTCATTGTTTTCATACAATATTCATTCTATCTAGCACGCAGCTATGTACATTTCACTGATTTAACATTATGGGTTGAATGACCCATTAGAGTGCTAGCAGAGCTTTTAAACTTTATTTATTTGAAATGTACAAATCTCCAAATCAGGAAAAGCTATTATCCATTAGAGAGACTTACCAGCATCCCCCATTGAACTGAAAATACTCTCTGTGACACACATGATGGTATCTGTGGCCTGATCATAGCGACCAATAGGTTCTCCCCTGCTTGCAAACTGGCGGACATGCTGCAAGAGGTCATTCAGGGCTTGGCTGACAATGCTGGCAGCTGCACCAACCTGCTTCAGTAACTCAGTATCATCTGTGGCAGCCTGGCAGGCCCTCACGCAGTTCTCCACTGAACGGTCCACCAGTTTCCCTGCCTCAATCAGCTGTTCCTGGCACACCGGGGAGCTGATGGTGGGACTCACAACCTGCATGGGGAACACAGACAAAACATTCAGAAAATGGCTTATTTGCAAATTTTCCAATTACTAGTAATCAACACATCTGCTGTATTAGAGTTTTTAATCCTTAACATATCTGTTTTCCCTAGACAGAAAGCCCTGTAGTAAGTATTTAGATACGTAGCTTCACAGATTTAATTTAGGAATCTGGGCTGTGGATGTCATTAATCTTCACTTAGATACAAGAACACAAGCCACCACCTTCATGCTTGTTTCATGCTTCTTCTGCAGCTGCTGACCTGAGCAATCACTTAACAGTGGTTCTGGAAGACAGGCATTCACCAAACTCCTCAACAAAAAACCCACTAAGTACACTTAACACACTTGAGTACTCTAGAGTTCCAAGTAAAATTAAATCTTAATTGGAATTGGTATTTTGTATAGCCTTCTCATACCAGCCTTCTGTTTGTTTGTTTAAATAAATTACTTTTCAAAAGCCATACAACACTATTTCTGAAGCTACAAGTAATAAACTCAGTAATTAGAAACAACCCTTCCCCATTTTGCTCAGGCCTATCCAGACAGTTTTTAGCAATGGGAAAACTGTGCATATCTTAAAAGGAAAAAAAGGATGCCACTGGTCATCTAATTCCGTACTGAAGAAAGTCACAGGCAGTAAGAACATCAAGATAATGAAAATTCATACATATTCATTACAAAAAGCCCTTACAGCCAAAGATATAAGGTGAAAATACTCAAAATGTAATAGCTAAAATTGGCTATTAGTTTTATTCTAAGCCTCCTGGATGTTTCTGAATAGTTGAATACACATTTTCCAATCACAAGTAACCTTATGAAAACTGAATCTGCAGACTTTGAAAGCAGTTTCCGAAGTCAGTAGTGTGAATTGCTTTCATTAAAAATCAAAAAAAGGCTACAGACAATGCAATGTTGCAAGTGTAGACTTGAGAACTTGGGATCTGATCGACTCTTTTGTATTTATACTGAGAAACAATACTTGGCCAAAAGCAATGGACTCTATTAAAACAATTGGGCTACTGTGAAACAAAGCAAATATATTTATTATCAATGATAACTAACTTAATATTCATGCTAAAGTTAAAATCAACTTAATTATTTGAATTTTAGATTAGGTGAATTCAGTGTCATTCTAGTCTTCATCAGAAAACTTGCACAGTTCCCCAGACATGCTGTATTTCTAGGGCTTTTTTTTTCTTAAAGTTACTATTTTGATTATTATCATCAGATGATCTATATTTTCTACGGAATCTCCCATGGGGATTACAGCAGTACCTCACATCCTCTGGGCCGATATTCGATTGCCACTCTTATGGGTGACAATTTATTAGTCATCAAGTTTGATATTGCACAAGCCTCCAACTATGATATTATGACAGTATATTGCCTGAGCTACTGGAAACATACAGAAGCAATCTCATGAACACTGCTAGTCTCACCTTGGCACAAGCCACGAGCTGGGAAGTAGAGAGTGCACATTGTGTAGCAGCAGCAATGACCCTGTTCTGCAGGACTGTATCCTCAGCGACCTGTGCTACGTTCTTGGCCTTCAGCACTAACATGGCAGCAGCATTTGCAACAGCTTTGGCCAGACTCATTAGAACATCCTGATAAAATAAAAAAAAAATAAATAAGTATTATAAGCAAATAGTATATACTTTGTTTATACAAGATCAAGTCTTCTCAAGGTAATTATATATAGGCTCTGAGTGAAAAAGATGCATTTATAACAGAGCATTTAAGGACAACAGTTTTAAACTGCTAATAGGTTATTAGATGATTAAGCCAAACAGGCGTTATCCTTTCGCATCTGGTAATACTTATCACCTAATCACCAAGAAGTTAGATTTGTAATATAAAAATTTTCTCCTCATCAGTTTGCCATAAAGTTTTTTACACATGCATACATATACACACAGTAAACACATACATTTAATGAAAAGAAATACTCATTGTTTATTCATCTTCATAAATACATAAATTCAATAGATTTAATAGTTTGGAAAAAACAGGGAAACACGAGGAAGGGCAAGAACTGAAGTTGCCTGCATGCAAGTGCAAATTTTAATCCCATAAAATCCCTGTGTTTTACAGAGCAAGCAAGGATCTGATTAGTATGTATATACTACGAGCCATGCATTCTCAACACAGGGGAGTATAGCACTAACAGCTTTCCAAGGAGCAAGAAACCATCTGTATAACAAAATCAGCATTCTATGATCATATAATTAAAATAATTTCACAATGGATTAACCTCAATTACCATTGAGCAAACATTTCCAAATTGCACTTGGCAAAGCCTGGTTTGATGCAATGGCCTCCTCATTATTAAGCTACACAGCTCTGGCAAAGACAAGCAACCCCCTTATTACCTGGAATCTTTCATCTGTTTCATTCTCGCCAATCTGTCTCAGTAGCTCCCCGCTTGCTTGCCCAATGCTTCCAGCTGCAGTCAAAACTGTCTGTCGAGGCTGGAAAAATAATTGTGGAAAATAAACTCAAAGACAACACACTTTATTTAAACATCGGATTTCTTCAAGGAGCCTCTACATTAGCATGCAGTCAATACGAACAAAAACTTAAACCAAAATGACTTCAGAAAAATCTTTTCTATATACACAGCTGGATTATTTTGCAAGTTTCATCTGCAGTGCTCCCTGAGAATGTGTGAAGAACTTTAAAGAATTTGAATAGACGTTATTGCAATAACTCCAAGGAAAATTAATGATGGACAGCCAATACGCCAACTTATCTGGAACAGCAGCAGATTTCAGTCGTCTTCAAAAGAAGTATCTCTTTTATGCTGAGACTTTTTTGCCTGTGGCAGTGATTTGTGAGTGAACTTCCTTGTCCTTCTCTCAACCCATGAACTTTTTTCCTTCATCATATTTTCTCAAAATGTCCTTTTGAGAAGAGGGAGTTAGACAGCAGCATGGTGGTGCTTAGCTGCCCATCACTGTTAAATCACCACACTCACCTCCCCTGAAGTAGGTTGCACAGCCTTCAGCAAGTCTGAGACAGCACTGGCTAATGTTCGAGCAGCTTTCAGGAGGTCCTCTCCACTTCCGACTTCATCATCCATGAGAGCAGCAAGCAGTTTTACACCTTTAGACATCTCAGTGAGGTTGGAGGAGATGGTTGTAATTGCACATCCTACAGCAGTGTAGTCCGTGTCAACTGGGTCACCTGCAGAATAAATGGTTTTTCATGAGCAGAATGCTTCAGTGGTTAAAAGGGAAAATGAGGCAGCCACCACAGACTACACTCTGGTGAGAGATAACAGATACATCTAAGGATGGCCAAGAAATGTCTACTAAGTAATTTCAGTGTCATTTAAAAATTAAGGTCAGCTATCACTTTTCCAGTCTCTACATTTCTCTTCTAATATAAATTTCTCTTCATCCAATGCAATTTGCTGACAAGTCCACAGTTTGAGCTATTTTCCCAGTTTCATCCTTGAAAGAACCCAAGCTCACACACTATTAACCCCTTTAGGTCACTCACAGCTCCTTCAACTTGTAATTTGCCAAAGCAAAACCACTGTCAATAAACATCTATAACCTCTAACAACTGTCTAACAATTAATGCTTTTCATAGTAACCTTGCAGAGACTGCTTAGTTCAATAAGCAAGCTATACTTTTCATCAACAGGAGTAACTTCAATGTTAGAGACGATAAATTGAATATAAGAAAATTGTGTTGAGAGGGACATAAAGCTTGTTTTGCATGTCAATGCACTTAACTATTGGACTATTTTGAAGAAAATTTCTCCCCAGCCCCCTCTTAGTCTGTCCCTATGATACTTGAATTAGACTGATAATTAGAAGACTGCAAGCGAGTCCTTCCTTTTGAAATTTACCTGCCGTAAGGTTAACAACAGATGCAGTTCCTGCAGTGATAGCATCAACCTGAGAGTGTATTTCATGTTTTGATTCATCAACCTTGTTCTGAACCCATACTCTTGATGCCTAAAGAGCAACAACAAAAACAAGAATGAAGGACTGCAGCAAAGTTCTGTAAGACGAAATCCTGTATTAATCTCTCATTCCTTCATCAATCTTTTAAAATGAAACAGAGGACAACTACTAAGCCTTTAGAGAGAAAAAAAAAATGAATCAAACATTCTCTTTTGCTGAATCTCTCGCTACAGAATAGCTGTTAGTCCAACAGCTGCCCTTTTAAGGTGAATACCATAACCAGTGCATCATCAAGGATGATGATTCTTGACTGGTAGTCCCACATGAACAGTAGTGTATTGATCTGTCCTCCTACTTCAGTCTGGATCAGATGTGACAGAATCATGTTTTGTTCTTTATTCATTTGTTCATATTTTTCAGGTGTCTGGGAGACAGTCACTCTCATCACAAATATTGCTTATAGTTTGTTTTTGCTTTTACATACGCACATGAAACAAATAGAATTATGGACAGTTATGCAAGGAAGTTTGCTATAACTAATCTCAGAAGATTGATGAAAGTGAGATGGAGCAGTGTACATGAATTCCTTATAGCAAGCACAAATGTTTTGTTTTGTTTTGTTTTTTTTAAATCTAATTTAGGAAGCTTTACAGATACCACTTCACCTCCACGGACAATAATTAAACTGATCTGCAAACACCCCAAAATATTAAGATTCATTTCTACGGGGACAAGAAAAACTCACCATGTCCTGCCCTAGAGGTGGAAGGTTATCAACTTCACTGAGGTCGGCTTGCGCTTGTTGAACAGCATGCATGCTTGTGTTAATAGTTCCCATCAAGGCCTGCTGAGCTGAGGTCTGAAAGTCAGAACAAGGAAATGGCTGTGTGTTGTGTTCCAGATGGCAACTCAAGCAGGTGTTGTTACTTAGGCATTAAAAGATTTTGAGTGACAACAATTACACCAGGCCATTTCAGACAAATAGCACTTCCCTCACGCAGTCAGGAAAGCAGCTTAAGCTCACTGGAACTCCTCTCTCATAGTCTCGATTCTGCCCATGCCACTTTACACTCCTCTATACTTGCACACATGCGTAAGATGCTGAACATTCACAGATCAAACAATGCCCAACAGACACTTACAAATCACTGAGCTGTCTTACTGACTTGCATGCTGCATACTGAACTGTACAGGACTGACTTCCTGGAACAGCCTACAGACGTTACAAAGAACAACTCTAAAACTAAATTACCATCAATATGCATAAGCTAATGAAAAATTGAAGAGTTTTAAATGAGACAGGATAGCCATCTCTATAGAGTGTCCATGGCAAGGTATTGGCAGGGAAGGCTGCAGGGGTGGTCTCTGAGTTCAAGGCCAGGGGCTGCCCTGTGCTGGGTGCAGCTGGTTCCAGCTGACTCCACAATGGACCTACCACAGGACACAGCTGAGCCCAGCAAACAAGCGAGAGGTGCCTCTGGGAATGCACCGTGCAAAAAGGGCACATGGACTCCTCACCACATGGCAGTGAAGACTGGGAGGGAAAGGTGCAACAACCCTGCAAACACCGGTGCCAGAAGAAGGATGGGAAGGTGCTGGAGCAGAGGTTCCTCTGCAGCCTGCGGGAGAGACCGTGCCAGAGCAGATATCCGACACTGCAGCAAGTGGACATTCCTGGAAGGAAACTACAGCCTGTGGAGAGCCCACAGTGGAGCAGGGTCTCCTGCCAGGAACTGCAGGGCGGTAGAAGTCCCATGATGGAGCACCTAGCTTTAGCTGGTGCCACCTTTAGCTGCAGCTAAAGGACTGTAGCCCATGACGGAAAACCCATGCTGTATCAGGTGGAAGATGTGAGAAAGAAGCAGCAGCAGAGAGGAATTGCTATCGAATGACCACTTGCGGGTGAGAGGAGGAGGTAGAGTAGTCAGGAATGAAGAAATAAAGTTGAGTTTGTGAGGAAAAAAAGGAGGTATCAGTGTGGTGAAGATGTTTTAGTTTTTGGTCTTCGTTTCTTAACATCCAACTCTATTTTAACCAGTAGTAAATTACTTTTCACCAAGTCAAGTCCATTTGCCCATGATAGTAAATTGTGATCTCTATGCTTTTATCTCAACCCATGTTGAAATAAAAAGCTTTTTCTTATTTTCTCCTCCTGTCTGGTTGAGGAGGGGTAATCAAAGAATCTGGCAGCCACTAAAGTCAACCCACTAGAAATACCACGCTTCTAATGATATTTCATGAGCTTAAGCACTGAGTACACTCTCTATAGCTCATTTAGGCCTTTTGGTAGTGTTAAATTTAAATGAGAAAACCATCTAGAAACATCTAAATTGTAGACTAGTGACAAGCTCAAGATGAGTTTTTCCCTAAAATTGCTTACTTTGCCAATCTTCAACGTGCTTTTTTCCTAACCCTTGAATACTGGTTTAGCTACTTAAAAGCAAAGTTGTTGTTAGGACAAATGAGCAAGTCATTGAAAATGTGGTAACTTAAGTATTTCAGGTCAAAACGTGTTCAGTAAGACAACCAGGACACCACACTCTACACTTAGCAACATGGAAAACATCCTGTTTCTGACAACTTGCAGCACCAACAAGTTTCAAATGCTACTACAAAACAAGGAGGTTCCTCACAAGCGGGGGCATATGTCCTCTGTGCATCTGACCAATGGTGACCTGTTGCTGGGGAGAAGGCATGATGCCGATGTTGAAAGTCTCTGGGCCACTGGACCCTGACCGCATAACAGCTGGTAGTGCCACAGAGCCATGCTCTACCTTCCCTGTTCGGTTGAACTGCTGCTGCAAGATGGTGGACCTAAAAAAAAAATATATATTTTTTATGTATATATAATTAAAATAGAAAACTGCAATACAAAATTAGTTATCTCCTGCAAGTCCTGTCAGATGTTCTTCCTTTAGGATTTTAAACTGCATTTCATAATATTTGGAGAAGATAGAGAAGTTTTAACAGTCTTTTCTACCAAGCATTTTCTGACATTTTAGAGAAAACATACGTGCCGCTTTTGACAGATCAAATATTAATAGCACTAATAGGCAGGCAGCAAGGAAAGAAAATACAGTTTTGGTATATGTGGTACAATAAATTTACCCCTCTAACATGCCTTACAGACAGAACAGGGTTTATGGCATAACAGACTGCTCTGTTTCAACTGTGATATAGGCTGATGAATAGAAAATAGAAGCACCAACCCTCTGAAGACATTTTTTGCAAGCAAGCCCAATGTTTGGGATAAAAACTAACATTTTTTCCCTCCTCTTTATATGCATATACACGCAAAATGCTTGCTAATAATCTGGAAGCCTGTAATATTATAGACTAGGAGGTAGGATGCTTTCAAGAATAATGAAGTTACTGTCATCCATGGTCACAATCCCCTTTGCCAGGTGTAACACTCATATTTAAACAGGATTCCAGCTTTAACAGCTAGAGGTATTGACAGGACTTTTAGCTTTAGCAGCAGCAATCTGCTGGAGGAAAAAAGTAGTTTTAATTATGGAAAATCTTGTAATCATTTATTAAAATCTTCGGGCTTTGCTGTACAGCACTTAACTAAGAGTATATTCTGGAAGTAACTTGGAAAGGGTGATGTTGAAAGCAAACATCTGAACATGTGTGTTTCATCAACAGTTGAAATTACACATAAGGCCAATGAAATATCTCACCAGTTGATATCCACTGAACCACATGTTGAACAATAAATCAGACTTTTACGTATATAATGCAGATGCTGTCATCCTTAAAGTACAAACACGAGACTTGAGGGGCTCATTACAGCTTAAAATGTCAAACCTGCTTCTATTTCTTCACAGCAAGGAAACACTGAATATTTGTTTCCAAGAGTATATCCATCTCTGCAGTTGTACTTTTTGCTATACTTAGTTACTTTCCCATCAGAACCATTGCCTGACCTACTAGAGCCAAAACCTTACCTTGAACCACACCACACATCTGACTGGTTTGGCTAAAGTGATTTGGTGTAATAAGCCAGCTCTGTTAATGACACAGTGTACAATTAAACTGCCAGGAGTCAAATTCTGCAGGAAACCATGGACCTAGAAAGACAAGTAACTAAGATCTTGCAAATCCTAGCTGTTTGTATGAAGATCAAAAAATTAATATGATATTTTCAGCTTTTTTTTTTTTTTTTTCAATCTTATTGACTTACAGCCTGAACTCCATTCTTAACGAGTCAAGTTACTACAAATTGCTACTACTGCTGGTTGCCCTTACCAGCGTTCTTAAGACAGAAAAGCCTGCTCTGCAATCCTAGGATGAAGCTGGAAGTCCACAGAATTGTCTCTTGAGATAGTGCTTCCTTCTGTTAAACTACCCTGTAGAAAATCATTTTTAAAAAGTAATAACTATACTTTTTATAATTATTACTATATATACAATAATAACTATACTACGAGGGATGAAAAAACTACCATAGCTAGAAGATTACTGTTAAATAAAAAGCATTTCCACTCACTTCTTTGGTGAAACAGATTCTTCCAACATCGTTGATTCCTCATCGCCTTCAAGACCAAATCTATCTTTACTTTGTTTCTAGAGAAAAAACAAACAAACAAACAAAGTTCTATATATTGCTTTTTGCTTTCCAGCATTTTCTTGCCATTTATCAGAAATCTAGTCAAAAAAAAGACTTGTCCAGTACTCAACGCTATGGATACTTTTTTTATTTTTATTTTTTTTGGAGGGATGGGGTTGTTAGAATGTAACAATACAATCTCAGCTGTGGAAGAGGAGTTGTTGCTCTTCAGCATCTAACAGACCAAGTTCTATGCCTTGGAAAATTCAGTGCATAAAGGAAAAAAGCCTATCACAACTGGCAATGAAAGCAAACTTGAGACTTTTTTGAACAAACGGGTATGAATAAAGTGCTGAGATTACTATCTTCACCTCTCTGAAAAAAACATTCTGGAGACAGTGATATGCAACAACAGTAAACTACAGCACAGACAGGCACATTTCCACCACTAAAACCCCTGCTTTTCTGACTCAGGAACAGCAGACTAACTCAGCCAACTCAAACACAGCTACAAGCCATCTTTAGCATCCTATAACATCACTATAAGGTGCTACCTACCTTTAGGAAACACATATCCATAAGAAAGAGAGTGTGTTTAACATGGTACAAAGCCATTTTACCACATATTTCATATATCTGGACAGTCTGGGCATCTGCCTTTGAGACTTTTTTTTTTTTTATAATGACATAAAAGAGGCAAATGTACACAAGGGAACTACAATATGAGAAATAACAGGAAACAACAAGCAGTTATAAAAACAGAGCCTTGTAAAAGCAGTCCATTGCCTCCAGTAACCAAGTGCAGTTTGCTTTCCACCTTGTTACAAGACTTGAATATTCAGCAGACAACAAGAGGGAAACAACCACTATGATCTTAGGGACATTTAACAGGAACTCTTCATGCATGTCCATACATACACGTACCCCAGCTTTCTCCCCAGAAGTTCTTACTGTAATAATTTGACTTTAAGCATGAAATGAAACCGCTTATTTCTAGTTAAGATTGTGTCTTACTTCCAGATCAGTGTGAAGTAAAAAATAAATAAATAACAAGTAAAAGCTACTCAGGTTGAGGATTCCCTGTCAACTGTTTAACAATGTCCTGGTTTCAGTTAGAACAGAGTTAATTTTCTTCCTAGTAGCTGGTAGAATGCTATGTTTTGTCTTGGGATGAGAGGAGTGCTGATAACACCCCGATGTTTTAATTGTTGCAGAGCAGTGCTTACACCAAGCCAAGGACATTTCAGCTTCTCGTTTTGTCCTGCCAACGGGCAGGCTGAGGGTGCAGCAAGAGCTGGGAGGGAACAGACCCAGGACAGGTGACCCAAACTGGCCAAAGGGGTATTCCATACCATCTGGGGTCATGATAAGCAATATATAGGGGTGGCTAGCCGGGGAAGGGAGGGCCAGACTGCTCGGGGTGAGGCTGGGCATTGGTCAGCGGGTGGTGAGCAATTGCATTGTGCATCACTTGTTTTGTACACATTATTATTAGTAGTACTATTATCATCGTTATTGTTGTTATTATTATTATCATTTTCCTGTCTTAATAAACTGTCTTTATCTCAACTCACAGGCTTCACTTTCCCTTTTCTCTCCCCCATCCCAGAGAGGGAGGGGGAAGGGTGAGCAAACAGCTGTGTGGTGTTCAGCTGCCGGCTGAGTTAAACCACAACAAACAACTTATTACTAAAGGTGCAGGACTGCAGGACAAGAGTTTGTGTGTGTGTTTTTTTGTTTTTTTTTTCCGTTTTTTTTTTTTTTTTATGCATGGGTGTGCGCTTTTTTAATTTAATACTGTAATAGTACTTAAGCATGGAAAAAAATGTGTCCCTAATCCACACTAGAGCAAATGAGTTAAAATAGTCCAAAACACATTAAAAATTAACATTATGCAACTGAGAGGGATGACCCATACTTTGAGTCATGCATCAGTGAGCAAAGTTGAGCTCAACAATTGGAAACTGTGTGCTTTTCACATGCGTCATGAAGCATCATGGGTGTTTATTGCTTAACCTGTTCCTATTTCATTCATTTTACAATCTGCTGACACAATCAGTTTAAAAGAAGAAATCAAAGGAACGGAAAGGGGTGGAAATATGCACATGTATTCTATCAGGGTGGAAAAGCTGCTTTTGTTTTGAATTAGAAAGCAAAGCTAATTGTGAAGCTTGAGAGCTAGAATCAAGTTTTAAACCATCTATAGAAGCCTATCATTTATTTAACACATTAAGTCTGAGATCAACAGCCTCAGAAAAAAAGGCAAGTACTTTGATGAATTCTGGCAATCCCCTTCAACCTCTGATTTCACAACAGTTGATGTTACATCCCACACTGTTTGCATGAACAAAGGCCAAAAATTCTCCTGAGCTGCTTAGCTTTCTGTCATTTCTTTAATAGTAAAGATCTGTTAGAACAAATTATTGAGATTCAAACAAACTGCATCAAGTAAAATCTTGTCAAGAAGCAAAAAGTGCTATTTGAAACACTTGGCTTTTGTACACAACATGCTCAGAATAAAATCTTTTAACTTCATATTTGTTGGCAAAATAGGTCTTTTTGCTGTTGTGTTTATTTACTTGTGAATATTTTTTTCTGTAGGTGCTTATCAGCCTCTACTCTCTTAACATTTTGTTAAAAAGTGTTTCTAATAGTCTGGTGCCTTCGCAAATACCAATTTCCTCCCTCTCTCTCTGCAGAAGTGAAATATAAATCTTTGCTTTCCTGACCACAGTATTTATTAAGCAATATGTCAAAAATGACTTTTTTCTGTACTTTTGCCAAAATACCACCTCGGCTTTGATGTAGTATATGCAAGAGACAGAAGACAACTACTATATAGTCTTTAATGTAGTTTTAAAGGCTGCTACCATGTGATCATTTCCTCCCATCTAACTCACCATTTTGATCCATAGCTTAAAGTCCACAGTTGACAAGACAACTTTTGTCTGTTCTATGGATATACACTCATAGCCAGCTGTTCATCTTCCAGATGGAAAAGCAAAGCCTAAGCATTTTGTATTGAGCCTAACTACTGTAGTTAACAGCTTCGATATTTTTCGGAAACAATTGCTGAGGTTGAACTGAAAGAGCTTATGATACTTAAAGATAAAATTAAATAACATCAAAACACTAGATCATACTGACTTCATGAGAGGAAAAAACTGCAGCTTGCACACATTCAAGCTTTTACACTGCTGTATAGTCATTTTACTGCATTTTACTAGATGTCATCCCAATATTATACCTTCTTCAGGATGATATCAATGTAACCTGCGATTAACTGAGAGATCTGTTCTCCTTCAGTGGTCTGTACTGAGTAATAGCTTTCCTGATATTCACCAAAATCCTGAAAGTAAAAAAAAAAAAGAAAAATTAACTCTTGGCAAATGAAAGATAAATAACCAGTGTCAAATGTGGGATTAATTCCCATTTTAAAGTTGTTTGTATAAGTGTATTTTTTATATCCAACAATAATTGAAACTACTCCAAGATTCAAAACCAGACCATATAGGGGAGTAAGGAAGGAGAGAGGAAGGATACTTTTTATGTCTGCTTCACAGAAGAATCACAAACTGAAATACCAGGGGACCAATAAATATTTAATCTAACTTCATCAACCTTAGTCACCAAATAATGGAGAAAATTCTAAAGAATTGTATTCTAAAGCATAATCAACTATGTCAGTGGAAATTAAATCCGTATTATTGAAGTGAATATCAGCTGCTAGTCACTGCCTCTTACTCTAGCACATTAAACGACCTTTTTATATCCAGAATACTCTTTTTGCAGTGGATTCCTATGGAACAATTAACAAAACACGTCATATTCATGAGAGTTCTTTAAATCCGTAATTATCAAAATGTTTTCATGACAACATAACGTTGCTTATGTTCATATCCTGCAAGTCACAACTTGCATTTTGAATGGAACCCAGTGATCGATTAAGCAGGTTTTAATGGTATTTTTCATAACAGCACTAGTTCTAAGTTACAGAAGGGATTTAAACACTGCTTTTGGGAAAATGGTCTGTCTAAAAATATCAGAATACAGACTGACCATAGACACCAAGATAAGCCAATTTAACAGTTTAGGACTTTGTAGCTCTACTTAATTCTAGAGATTTTCAGATAGAAGAGGTATTAAAAAAATGCTGAGATTGCAAGTTCATCTTCCTTTCTCCACATCACATGGATTGCCCTTCCTTCTCAAGATGTACAGAAAGATTACCAGGGTAAAGCTTTTAGGTGAGGCAGCCCAGCGTTTCACAGTTGTCAGTGGCCATTCTTGTAACACTTCCTTGGTCTTCTCATCCACACGCATCACTGAGTCTTTGGTGACCCCCAGCAAGCGAGGAACCAGCTTGTTTTTGCCTTTCATTTTTTCCTGTAACAGGGTGTGAAAGATTGTTTTTCATTAAAGCACATCATGCCAGAGGAGAAAGGGGAAAAGAAGTCATGATGGAATACACTGAAAAAGGGCAAAAATAGCATGCAGATGAGGACAATTTAAGCCTCGAGACTCAGTTTTTCTGGTCATATCAAGTCATTTTCAAGCAATGCATTAACATGAAGTTATTGTCTTTACATGATTTTTACTATGCAGTTCATAAGACACTCCCTTTTCTCCCTCCCCCAGCAAACAGGAGCATTTTAGGGAAAGAATTGTTGGAAGTAACTTTAAAAAATAAAAACACAAGATGACAGTCTTTCCAGAGACAAGCCTTTAAAGTAACACCATATTAGAGAAGCAGAACGGGAAATTGGCATCAGAAGGACTGAAAAGTTGCCATCAATTTTTGCACTCAGACTCACCACTTCTCAAAAAAAAATATCTGGAGAGGGAAAGAAAGAAAAGAAAGGACTGTTGGGGTTCACTTGGGCTGTAAATTAAGCAAGATCAGCCATAATTTGTCCCATATTCTGGATTTGAAAATTTAGTTATTTTCAATCCACAAGAGCAGTCTAATCAAGGGGAAAGGAGAGAGTCAGTCTGCATGCTGTGAACTGCTCTTTCATAATTTGTTGGGCATTCCACCTCTTCATTTATCTAAGGTTGTAGAGCACAAGCCCAAACTACTAATCTGCTACGTAAACTATTCTAAATAGAAATGAATCCACACCTCCCACTTCCCTCAATTTACGTACACCATAACAAATCAGTTCCTAGTTATAGTTGGCCATTTGATTGGCTTCAAAACAGACCGATTTGTCCTTTCAAAACAAGTTTCATTACAAATTACAAAATTACAAAATAATTGTTTCAGTTACTGCTTGCTTTAAGTTATGACCAAAAAAAGCAAGATTTTAATGAAAAATATAAAAATATAAAAATATAAAGATAGCTAGGTTACCTTTTACCATACATGCTGCCTAGATTGTGTTAACAAATCCCTCTGAATTAGTGGTTCTAAACATACATGCTTGTTAGTTTTAATATTTTAGTTACTGAAAACGGCACGCCATAACATTAGTATAGTTTCCAAGATGAAACTTAATGTATTAGCCTGACAACGTGAAGTTGAAGTGTTTATTCCTTATGATGCTTTATCTAATTCCAATTGTTTGCATTTTAAGGATTTATGCCCACAGCACATTTAAAAAAAAAAACACAGAATATTTAGCTTTGTATTCCTAAATAACTGGATTAGAAGCTGCATAATTCAGATGTAGTAATGACAACCAATAAGCTTTTTTGTAATTCTTTATTACACTAATTTAATGATTCATACTATTCCAAGATGCCTATGAGCTACATACATTCTGTACAGTTGACATGAGCCTGTAACACTGAAAATGAATGTAGCTCCAGATGAAGTTGAAAACATTTTTCTCAGTCAGGATGCTAGCTCAACAGCTCTTTTAGAGAGCTGAGACTGCTTTCTTCATTAAAGATGATAATAAAACATTTTTCCTTAAAAGAAGGAAAAATAAAAGGTAATTATTTCAGAGGCTACTGTATGAATAGTATTAAGCTCTGCATGTTGTTTTTTTTTTTTATTTTCACCTATCTGCTTCACTAGAATTTCTCAGTGACTAAGTACTTTAGGAAAAGGCAACCTATTGATAAACAAAATTCAGAACTGTAACTGTGGCAAACTAAGAATAAAAACCTCTGCCAAAATTTAGCCTTCTTTTAATTATATAGTAACTAAATACTGAGGCACTAGTGCTTCAGTCCAGTTTTCACAGCAAAACATCAGTGTCTTGGTATCAAATTGTTTCAACACCTTTAGATCACAGCCTTATTGTAAGGACTAAGAGAAATTAATCATGCAACTGATGAAGTTCTTGGTCAGATGCTGGCTTCAGCATGCAATTCATATTATCATTAAACTTTCAACAGAAGCAGCTTCAGAGCTTTTTTGTGAATATTTTTATGAAGAAAGTACTTCGATGGTAATCAAAATTTAAAAAGAGAAGTGTCAATTTAATGAAGTCAAATCAAGACTAAACTGTCTTTCTGGAATTCAGCCTGACTAGCATCAAAACTCAGATCACAATTCTCTCTTAGGTAGTCATTTCAACTGTTTTTCCTCCAGATGTTGCTTTCAGAAAAAAAAAAGCTTAAAAACACCTCTGACCTTTGATTAGTGGAAAACCTATGATAATACATAACCAACCATACAATGTGGTCAGCAAGATCTGCATTACCTTAACAAGGAAAAAGGACACACCATAGGTCCGCAGGGAGCGGGCTAACTTCACATATTTCACTTTGGCTTCTATTTCAGTCATCTCACCACAGTTTTTGTGCTCCTGTAATGAGAGTTCAGTATCACTTAGACAGAAGTAATACTCTTTCTGGAAACTAACAAAATGGGGTGTTAGCTGTTCTCTGTTTAAGAATGTTCAGTTAATAATCATTCCAATTAAGACATTTGAAACAATACTGTATAGAAATGTTAGTATGATGATTCCCTGTAATTCCTTATCAAAACATATAAGCAACATGTGGAAATGGAACATTTTTCTTTGACCATCATCCATCTATTTGTGCCTCAGTCAAGCAGATTTAAACCATTTATGAAACAGTTTTAAATTATTGGTATTGCTGCTATGTGACAGCATTATGTTTCATACAGTCAATGTCTACTTACTTGGCTTAAATAATTTAAAACTCTCAGTGCATACAATTTTTTCCAGCAGAAGAATAGTTCTGCTTTGTACCCTAAACCTCCAACTCACTAAAGCCTCATGCTTTGTAATTTACCATTTGTCATCTTTTAAATGGATTTCCTGTAGTTTGTTTATTATTTATCCAGTTGCACCTTTATCCACATTTTTGTCATAAGTTGACAAGAATTCTATAGGTGAGAAAGGAGCAATTATTTTTTTCTAGTAGTTCATTCTGAAATGTGCATCTAGGTGTATTAAAACTCCATTTTTATTATTTAAACAATTTACTCATTAGTAAATTTTCATACCTGTAACTAATGAGAATTACAAATATTACCTATTCAAACTTCATTTCAGCATCTGCTCTCCTACTCTGATGAAAACCCTGTCCTGAAGTCCTCCTGTTGAAATACTTTTTGTGGGTTTCTGTAGCACCCCCCATCTCTTTACCACTGTCCTCTGAATTGCTGGTTACCACCTCCTTCATGCTAATTGATGGCAGCAGGGGGAGCACCAGTAACATGGGAAACACTTGCCTACGCCAGTTCACTCTTGTCAACGCTTCACAGAGGAGCACTTGGAGAAGCAAGTGCAACTCCAAAAACCTTTTTGCATCTCAAGAACACAGACTGATTAGACCACTCAAATTCAGTACAGAACAGAGTCAGGATCGCTGAAGAGCAAGAAACCCAGTCATTGCAGATGGAATATTTGGAGAAAGTCATGTCAAAAACCCAAGAATTTTATAAAGAAAAGATTCACGTTTTTCAAAGCATCAGTTTGCATATTCTGCCTTGCTGTTGTGTTATCACCCATCATCTAGAGCCCTCAGTGATTAATTTCTCATCCATGCACTGAAGTATGTCAGGAACTGAAACTACTCAGATCATATTTGATGTAGGCAAATCATTTGCTATGAATCCCACAGAGAAATGAATGAATCTTTTTTTGCTAGAAGTGTAATATCACCGCCACCAACTAAAGGTATACACAGGGAAGTGTTACACATCCTCTTTCATAAGATGTATTACAAGCTCTGGATAGAATAGGATTTACTGAGCTACAGAATTCCTACATTAGGAATGTAACAGACATAGAAAAGGATGTGACTTCACATGATTTCAAAATCACAGGTCACTGGTATGTCTTTCCAGAAACTGTACTATTTCAGCTGTTTACCTCAGATTTTTTCAGTTTAGATTACATTGCCAAATACACATGTTAATCAGCACAGACATTTAGTGCATTTATACCACTTCAGCTTGGAGAACATTTCCAATAGGATCAGTACATTGGAGACTCAACTGCTTTACATCTTTTACAACTGCATGATTCTCAGGCACACCACTGAATTCAAGCATTCGCTAGCAGAACTACGTATTATTTGAAGCTCATGCCTGAATAATGAATGCATGGCAGGCTATGTGGAAGAAGTTTTAATGATTTTCCTAAATGTGCTTTTATTTTAGCACAAACACACATCCTTACATTTCAATGCAACTGAGAAAATGATCTTAAGAATATTAAATATTTTCTTTGTCCCCTTCAACAAAGTACACTGAAGAGTCATCAGTGAATAAAAGAGGATCAGGACAATAAATCTGCTGAAGAAGGGGGGACAAGAGGGGGAACAAGAGAGGGAACTGGCGGGGAGACAGGGGAAAAAGGGGAGGAAAAGGGGAGGAAAGGAAAAGTGAAAAGCTATCAGACTCTTCAAACCTGATTTTCTGGTAGTTATACAAGTCAAATATATAGAGGTCATACACCTGTGAAAGAGAGATCATTTTTGTTATAACAGAAATGAAGCTGCAGTAAGTTTTTCAGCCTCACAATTACCTGAAATATTCTCTTTTCAGCCCCTCTTTGTTTGGTATATTCTTTAGGTAGGAATTCTTTTAGGCTAGAAAAAAAAAAAAAAGAAGAATACCACAGGTTAGTGGTGTCTTCTTGAGGACAGACACTTTCCACACTTTATTGTTGGTATTATGTTCCACAACATTCCCAAAGTGGGCAAAAAATCTCTCTACAATCACTAAGTAGGGTAAGGTCAAGAGGATAATTGGCATAATAATAAAAACCACTTCAGCTATGTCCTGACATAACACCCTCTTCATGTTTAGAAAAGTCACAAGTAAACAAAGTTTGGACACTTTCTATTGTTCATCTATATAATGTCTATTATTATCTAGCTGCATTATAATATCTATTAGCAGCTCAAAGGAGTTCACATTTAATCCACATACACTTGCTATAATCTTGGAAACCAAAGCTTAGGCCACTTAGGTGTCTGAGTCCAGACACTACTATTACTGTCCTGAAGCACTTTGATTTACTGACCTGTGGGACACAGTTCTTCCTCTGCATGTTCCAAGACATGTTAAAACAAGTATTTTATTGAAAACCTGCAAAGCCATTAAGTGGACGCAATACCAGCCATTATCTCAAAAACAAGGTCACAAATAACTAGCCTTATTTTATTTATTTTTTGCAGTACTCAAATACTAAGGTTTCAGAATATAAAGTAAACAAAACAAGTTCAGCCTCCCTGGTAAGTTCAGTCAGAAAGAATCCTTGAACACCTCACAAGACTGTCTAGCTGTATGTACCTCCTTTTCTTTGCAATTAAATTAGACTTTTATCTCAGCCAAACATCAACCCAACTTGAAGACTTGTTAGCATCGTGCATTAAAAAATTGCAGTTCTTTTCTGGATTTTATCTTCCTATCTGCAACACTGAACTCTGATGAAATTATGCCATATATTCAGCAGTTCACCTTAAGTCTGAAGAAAATTCTGCCCTTCAAGAGAATTTTTGGGTTTCTAACCAAAGTTCAACATAAAAAAACAGCACTTCCACAGATAAAAAAAATAAAATAATAAAAAAGAGGTTTCTAAGAATCCAGTAGGACTTGAGGATTTTATTCTCATTTTGGTCTATTGAGTATACAAGCCCACTATTAACACAGAAACAACTAACATCATGAAAAGCTGCAGATTTTGAGAAGGATATCTAGCCAGATTTCCTAAAAAAGATTGGCAAAAAAAATTTCCCATCATTCCTCCCCCCCAACTCCCTTTAAAGGAAGCCTGCCACTGCAGACAACAAAGAGAAGAACTTCAAGACTGTGATGACTTTGTGCTCTCCTCGAAAACACTCTCTAGTAGTTAGAATTTTCATTGTTATTGCCATAAAGCTCTAGCAATTTCAATCCAAGTAAGAGCAACTGCGCTTGCTAATCTGCCTTCCACTGTTTCAGTAGTTGTGTCTCAACTGATTACATCTTAATTAAATCTCTTCTACAAAATGAACTCTATAGATAAGGTCTGAATACAGCTTATTATCCTAAAAAGCTAGTACATCTATTCTAAAAATAAAAAGCAAAACAAAAACTGAACAGTGCTTTTAACACAGAATTTCATACGTTCAAACCAGTTTGGTTACATTCACTTCTAAGAAAAACAAAAATAACCGAGTTGAATGCACTCTCATTCTAGCAATGGATTTATACAGAGAAGGGATAATCATGCACTTTCAGTTCTCATCTTTTATTAGCTAAGTTGATTTTCTCAACTATTCTTATGCCGACCAGCTATCAAGAACATCAGATTTTTAAGCATGTCTACTTATCTTGTTAGCTAACTAAGAAGCGATAGCTGAATAAACATTATTTGGAGCTTCTTGAGAAAAAGTTACGTCTGCCAAGTGCCCATTGGCACACTTGTACATGCAGCTGGCAGTTAGATATGAAGTTTTTCCTTGTATGATCTTCCATTTTTCGATCAATAGAGAAGCAATCACCTCAACTGAAAAGTTGAAATACTAGCTGCAGACAAATTATTTTGATGCTGCCCATAATACTTTCTTTATTTATGTTGCAACAAACCATGGCCTTACTTTATTTAACAGTTTGTGTAACGAGTTCACAAAACCACATGAAATATATTATTCATTTAGCCTTCTTTAAAATCTTTAATTACACATTGTTACAATGTACAATGAACTCGATTAATAAACATCTAATAGCAAGCCGTGTATATTTAACTTCATCTAATTAGAGTTACTTCTACAATTCTTCAAAAACAATTATACCAAGTGCCAGCATATTGTTTTTCATTAGCATAAAGGTATATTGGACCTTCTTGCAGAAGTTTTAGACAGTAAAATAGGCTATATTGTAGAAGTGAACTTAGTGGTCACCAAGCATGCTTAGAAATAAATGGCAGATGCTAGCAAGTTTTAGCTGCTCCTTTCTTACCTACATACAAATCATAAGATTTCTTTAATAGATAATCTCTCATCAAATTTAAACACGGGGTGCCTCTGGATGCAAAGCAGAACTTCAACTGCATGAGGAAGGGCTATTTGCAATTAGGTAGTTTTCACGATTTACTTTGGCATGAGCTCTAGGGAAATTCCAACAGTCAATATCAAAGGGTTAACAAGACACAGGCAGTAATCATCACCCGTGCCAAGAACGACTTATCAAAGGCAAAAAAAGGATAAAAAGTAGCTCTGCACACTGCATACTGCAGACATAGCAAAGTAAGCCAAGTTGCTTTAAAATAATACTGAAATATGCTAGTACTATCCTGCTACATGCTGTTTTCTATACAAGCAGAGACTTCCATTAAGGGAACCTGTAGGCATGTTCAGGGCCCAGCAGCGAATGAATAAACACTTCAACAACAAGAAGTGTTTCCTGAAATGACAGGAGATGCACTCTTCAGTCAGCATTCATCTATACTATTTTTATATATTGCTCATAACAAAATAGGAGAGCTTGGCTTGATTAGACTCAACACAGAAGTGTGAGATTTCACAAAAAGACTGTCATGAAGGCTTAGTACAGCCAAACATATGTAAAGCTAAATCATAAGCATCTATACTTTAAAACAAAAGACAGTGACTAGGACCTTATGGTTCTCAAGTAAGTTTATCCACAGAGAACAAAAAGGCAACAAGAATTACTTGTAAATCAGAAATGCTTAATTTCATGAAACTAGTTATACACCTGGACAGCAAGAGACTAGACTTGGTGGCCTGCAAGGCTCAATCCTCATACAGTCAAAACCCATTTAAATTAAAATTATACATTAAGTAGAAAAAACACACTGCAGGAAAAAAAGAAAAAAAAAAAGGAAAGCCAAGGTTTTAAAATTTGAAATTCCAGTTCTAGATTATTCCCACTGGAGTAATGTTCTCTCTTCTAACATGCAGTTTGGTTATTTACACTTTTCACTCACATTAGCATATAAAGATACTGCACTTTGTGTTAACATTTTATTCCGTTATGGACTTCCAACTAGCCAGCATTCTGTATAAAGCAGAAATGTCATCCAACCAGAAGTTCTTGTTGAACATAAAATACAGTTATGATAGAGGATTGTAAAAAATGACTTAAAATTTAGAAGATCAAGAAGAATGCCTAAATAATGCCTGTCATCCCTGTTCCACTGCAGGCCAAACAATCAAAATTTGTAGAGAAATGGAACCTCTAAAAGTCAGCCAAACTAAGTTTACCCATCTGACAACAGGAAAGTAAAGCATGACAATCAAGGTTAAAGGATGGGTCTCCAGGCCAGGACTTTGTATCCAAAGAGCACAATACTAGATCTCCATTCATACAATGCCATGAGAGGGTGAAACCACACAATTAATTAACATAATTAAAAGAGTTAGGAAAAATGAATATCTACACACAGCAGTATTAACTTCAGTAAAATGACTAAGTATCTTTTCATTCATGTGCTTTCATAACAAATCAAACGTGTGATATATATTAACATATACTTACTTCACAAATGGCATTACTAAATGCAGGCAGAAGATGACATCTGAGCAAGAACAAAACTCCAGTTCTCCCTAATTCAGTAACGCAGGCATAACAAAACTTCCAGTACGCTCAGTCTAATCAAGGATGCATATGACATGAGGATGGATACATTAAAGGAGAGGAGACTATTGGGTAACATGAACCTTGGCTTCCAGAGAAAGCAGAAGGGGCTTCCATGGACAACATTACCATGTGGTTGGAAAATCCAGCTGCATACCTAACTGGCATGCTGTGGGAAGCTGGCACCCTGTGTTGCCCAATAAGTCACTGCCAAATGTCCCCTTCACAGCAGCTGAAATTACTGATTTATGCAGCAAGGCTCCTGGTTGCAGAAAACACACAAGATCTGGCTACCACTAACTGGAGTACTAACATGCTTTTAAGCTATGAAAACCTAACAATAGTTACACTTTAGGTCACTTGAATTTATAAGTTAACGTAAGTATTTACTCTAAAAATCCAGGTTTGTGCTTGTGTTCTACATGAGGTCCAAACTGGATCTGTGCTTGAAAGCCTCCAAACTCACAAGCCTTCTCAAAGGAGACAGGATGGGAGCCATTCAGAATGTCATCACGAGCCTGTAAGAAGTAAGCAAAGACATATCAGGGACATCCAAAAGAATTACTCCATCTCTGAAATTCATCAAAAACTAAAACACAGGCCAAGAATCCAGCAACACACTTCTCTGTCTGAATGTCTTCATTATTCCATTGTGGATGTGTCTATGACTAATAAAATAAACAAAGGGATAGATTCTTCTCTGGTGAGTATCTACAGAGACATGCTAAAACCATGATTATAACAACTGTCATCAAAAAGACAATTTGATATATATTTCCTGTGGCACATATATATAAAATACAACTTATAAACATGTACACAGACACAAGTGTACGCATTCACACCCAACATAACTCTTATCTTGCCACCTTGTAATATCAGGGAAAATGATCTAACTTGCAAGTAAAAAACAAATTATTGTTACAGAAATAGGAAGAGGTGAAGGCAGACAGCATTTTCTTTCTTTTTGTTTACATTTTGAAGTCATAGAAGATGATGGATTTTATAGTTCTGGCATGGGAAGACTCGTCTATCCATACAGAAAACAAGATAGTATCAGTGCATGCTGTTGCAACAGTAACCTGGAAGAAGTATCTAATGGACATGAGAATAGCACAGCGTGATAATCTTTTAAAACTCCTGAAAATTTAGTGCAATCCCACAACCAATACCATCTTATAATCATCTTAAAACCATTTTATAATTTGCCTAAGAGCTTTAAAATGCAATTTAGAGCAATCCTACTTGAATCAGCTTCAAGTATAACAACTGAGCATCTCATTAAACATTCAATGGATTTTTTTTCAAGTAACAAAATCAACCCTAATGATTTCAAACTGAATTACAGCCAACTACACTGGAGACTACAGTTAGAAACTATCTTCAACAGAAAAACTCAAGCTTCCTAAGATATAAGCATCTCTAACAATTTGGGGAACCTGCCTGGGTGGGCTCCCACTGTGTTAAATGATATGGTCCACATTCAGAACAAGGAGTTTAGAAGATCGGAATACCTGAGCAACAAATAAGTTAGTTATTTAGCACTTGTTTTTGTAATATTTTTCTTCTAATTAACCTACACAGGTTTCCTCAGGCAAGCTAGAACTGGTACTCCAGGTTCACATACTGTACCTGAACATAAAGCAAATTCAGTTGAACAGGATCTCTTGAATCTACATTCTGGTCTGAATAGAAGAACTTTCGTCTCAACAGTAACGTTTCATTTTCATCAACTCCTTGTTCTCTAAATGTTCGGCTATGATCTAGCCAATTTACTGCAACAGAACCAGATAGACAAAATGTTTAATCTGCAGTGTTGCCAGTGTTAATAGCTGTTGAGAACATCATATGATAACTGGCCTTGCCATTGGAGGGGGACACCTAGCAAAAAAAGTTCCTTTTATTTATGTTTCTAGTCAGTGCTGATGGTTGCTACAAATGAGAATTCAGTAACAGAACAGCACTGCTGAAAAACAGGAATTTACCCCGTGGTATAAAACACCACAAATACCATTGAAGCAGCAACTACAGCAAAAGTAGTATTTCAATACTAGATTCAGACCTTCAAAGCTGCATTGCAGTATTACTTGAAAGATTACCAAAACACCACCACCAAAACCAATTGCTTTGCTCACTTTTTATCCCTTAATACATTTTAAAACATCTTCCTTCCAGTAAAAGTTCATCTTAGTCCCCTGATGTTAAAACAAAGTAATTTTCATCAGTTTGCATATAGAACGGATCAAATATTGTCTTAGTTCTTTGGCACACTCCATTTACACTTCAAAGACAAAACTAGACATAACTTTGGATGGCTTTCAGTAGGCATCAGTAGTTAAATATCCAACTTGAATGAAGGGATTAAAAAGGTCATTATGGAAGCAATCTTCCCTTCCCACTCTAAGTTATAACTCCACCACAAAAAAAAAAAAAGCAATAAAAACACTTCAAAAAGACATACTCTCTCTCATAGCTAGAGGCAACAATTTGTCTATTTAACTAAACTCAAAAATGCACAGTAGTAGATGACACCATATATGAACATATACAATACAGGTAGGGAACAAGTGAGTCATACTGAGGAAGCTAAAAATGCAGTCCTGTATGATTTTCTTGCCCTGTTCTGCAGAAAGGTAGTAGTGAAAGAATCATCCTGGAATTCACTACTCACAATCATCATCAGTATGAAGCTTTGCCTTCAATTTTTCCATTTTTCTTTCATCACGCAACAATGTCCTATCTTTCTTAAGTGTTCCTGTACTCTCTTCTTTCTTTTCTTCAATGCTCTCCTGGATTAAGGAATATTCCTCATAATTGGTTATTCCTGGAATTAGAAATAAATCCAGTGTTTGTAATAAAAAAAAATAATACATTTAAGACACAGATAAATTTTTTTTCCATGTATTAAAACACCAATGGTTCGTTACAAGTATAATGAAGATATTCCAGATGAAATGCAAACCAAAGCATGGGGAAGGGGATCCCAAGAATAATCTACAAGTTCTGCATTGAAGATGTTTCTCTAATGTTTGGCATTATTCTTCAAATATATCATATTTGGAGGTGCATTTCCCTTCGCAGATGCCTACAATTGTTTCCTGAGAAGTAGGTGATTTTAGCTTGTCCACAATGTGCAGAAGAAATGTGGCACAGAAGGCTGAGGAATAAAAAACACATGAGTAGAGTTCCAGAACTCAACTCTTCCCATGAATTTTCCATGAAACTGAATTGAAAAAAAAAATGAGTTCACAGCATTTAGTATATATGCTATGCTGTTCTCATTTCTCTCATCATCTTCCTCCACAGCATATTTATGTTATACAAGAAAGCAAATTAAATAAATGCTTGCATATATGACCACATTCATGAAAATTAGTCCAACTAATTTTTAGAGCAAATTAATTTCAGAACATTGGAATCCAGCATAGAAACACTCACACAATTAAAACACACATTTTAATCTACCTTGAAAGTGAATTAATCTAAATCTATCTCAGTCAAATTAAGATCATTAATTCTAAATGAGAATGAAGCAAGAGATTAAGATAATTTAAAGTAATCCATGTTGAATGCCTGCTTATAGGTAAATTTGAGTTAGTTTCCTAAAATGTCTTTATTTAGATAAATATAAAAACAGACTATAACCAAAATGATACATTTTAGGCCAGCTGCTCTGGATGGTTTCCACATGTAGTTACAGAAGTAACATGATATTGTAACTAAAGCTAAATCATAACATAGAAATGTAAGTTTAGGTGTATTTCAAGGTCAGCAACTTCTATGTCATTAATATTTAGCAAAAATTTAGTTCTATTTTTCTACCACCTAGCAGGAAAGCTTGTAGAAGTAACACACAATGAAGAAGTTAAAACAGTATTGTCAGATACCTGTGCCTTCAAATGTTAAATACTGAAGTTAAAGGATACAGCTAATTCTCTACTGACTTTCACAAGAAAGCATGGACAATAGCTTTGAAACAAATGTTTGATCAACATTAACTGATAACATAATTTCAACATTTGTCAACATGTGTCAACTTCTATCCAATAACACACATGGCATCCTAAATTTCAAGATGTCAATATGGGAATAAGCAAATAAATATTCTTGAATATGTAGGTCCCAAAATCTTACCTATCCTGCTGCAAATGGTAACCAGCAATTCACCAACTGTTTTAGAATCATCCACCATGACTGTTTTCACTGAACCATCCAACATACGTATTTTCTGAGGTCTTTGTTTCTTTTTGTACTCCAATATATCCTATGAAGTAAACAATATAGTTTCTAAACATTTAGGGAAAACACCACAAAAGCAATTCTATAGGGTAGATTCCTGAAGCAAGATGCTCCCCCCTCCCGTCTTTTTTTTTTTTTTTTTTTAAGGCATGTACGTGTGTTTGAAATGGATCACTTTCAAGAAAACACTTAAATTTCTCCTACCCCTCCAAACACTAAATATTGTTCTTGCTACTTGGGAAACAAGCTTTCTGAAAACATGTTGATGAACAAAGCAACAGATTTGTACCATACCCCATTTCTCAACATGTAATAATCCAGCGTTCTTCCAGCCTCCAACCATATACCTTTACGAGGATCTTCATCTGACAAGAACAATCCGTAGTCAGAGGCTGTGTAACAGAAAAGACAGTTCATTGAAAAATATAAAACCTCATCCAATCACCATTTTATTCAAGATTATTCAGGTTCATGGTAAAGCCTCCATTATGTTTACCCCCCATTCTTAATGAACTAGTACGCCTTTATTTTTTGCTGTGCTTCAGAGTAATATTTAATTTAGCAGCAGATAGCAGGGTATATCAGGCATTACAGAAGACTTGAACAAAAGCTTCACTAAATATGCGCATATTACATCCATTACGGATCATCTATATTATATTAGAGAGAACTTATTACAAATAAGACCTTTTTAAAATGCTCATAGGTCCTGCTTAAAGACCTATATCCTTAGAGATCCAAAAATACAAGCAGTTTGGATTTAATCATAGTATACCATATCAAGCAGTAGTTCTATTTCAAAACATTGTTTTCAATCCTTAACGTACTTAGCCTATGCTGAACATACAAATCTTTTTTTGGTAGATGTTTCAGGTTTATCAAGTGAAAAAGAGGTTTTCAGAATCATATTTGTGATAACAATCTCAGGAAAAAAAATCTGCAGATATTGAAGGCTAAGCACAAACCAATTGATTCTTTCACAAACACAAGTAAATGGTAAAACTCTCGTGGCAATGGAAGAACAAATTCAGGCTTAAGCTTCAAAGCCTAGACTCCAGGTACACAAAATGAATACCATGACTGTCAACTGAAAGACTACTAAAGTGTGAAGAATTGATACACAGCACATTCTTAGACAAATCCACTATCACAAACAGAAAAAGCTACTGTTCTTCGGTTGAGCCTGCTCTAACTCTTGTCCTAAAGTTGAAGCTAATGCTTATTTCCATAAAAGCTAGTCACCTGTGTGCACACAGTCTGTTACAACAGCCCCGTGAAGGGACAGCATACCTCTTAATTTCCAGCCATGTGATCACACCCACTGATTAGAACGTCAAGTAAACATAGCTACAACTTTGGGACAGTGTTTCATTTTTAAGTGTATTTTAAAGATACAATTCACATTTATTCAACAACATTTACATTAAACACAGTGTTACTTATGCAAAGATATAAAAACATAGCTGAAAGATACCAACTTCTAAAGGAAAAACCCAAGAAACTGAGTAAGAACAACTTCTCCTACAGACCATAATTAAAAGCTCCACTGAAAAGGCAAGTGATCCAAACAGAGATGTTTATGGACACAAATTCAGTACAGAATCAATTAAATGAAATTTTAGAATCTGTGCCTATAAATAGCTTGTGACATTTGCACACAAAGGGACTTTGCACTGAGAGCAGAATTACCAAGGAAGCGTTGGCTGCTCTACTTTTCACTTCTGGGGAGCGCACCCTAGTAATGAAACAGCAGTAGCTGTGCAGCTTGCACATGAGTATCACAGTCGCATCTGTTCCAGCATGTAAGCTTGTTGGAGAAGTGAAACTTACATAGTTGATAGTAGAACTACAAGACAATGTTTTCTATTGTGCAGGAACTGGTTAGATCACTCTGTACTATACCAGTATGAGTTTTCCTAACAAACAGGCAAACAAATGTTTTAACAGCCACAAAGAAGGGGAAAGGATATGTTGTTTTATATATATAGGTATATATATATATACACACACACACACATGTATATATTGTTATGCATTGCAACTTCAGAAAGATGTTTAAAGTTTGTAATTGCACTGCCATCGCAAAAAAAAATACAAATAAATCAAGAGAGTTCCCAGGCTTTTCTGAGGTTTATGATATTCAGGGCTATTTATTACTTGACTTCACTGAATACAACAGCTGTTCACAATAACTGCATTAGGATATCAGTATATCAGAAACGCACAGGTTATATCTGAAAAATAGAAGCTCTGTAACTAGACTTCCTAAGGGCTTCTGCAAAGGAGAAGCATTACTAAATAATACCAATTATCATACATGACTGGATTTTATTTTATTTTATTTTAACATTTAGACAAGGTTTTCAGAAGACCTCTAATACTGGAAAGCTGTGCAAAAAACTCAAACCGTTCTAACAATTACATTCTAGTGGCATTATACACAGCAGAGAACCAAATGATTCTGAAGAATCTGGATTTTTGAACAACTTTGACTAAATTTAAAACAGATTTTCTGCCTGAGTGAACAAATATTTCAGTGTTTTCACATCTAATTTGCTCAATATGTTCAGAAAGATTTGATTAATGAGTAACACCATTCTGAATATGGTGTGTTTTTTGTTTGTTTGTTTTGTTTTTGTGTTCTTGTTGTTTGTTTTTAAACTTAAACAGTTTAAAGCATTTCCTTTTCTGCATTTTGGAGATGTCCAACCTTCTTTGGTAATCCACGTTGTCCCTTTCTTTGGTGAGGCACCAAAAAAGTTTACCCAGACCTTCCTAGAAAGCGTAACCACAAGCTTTGCTTTAAGATGATACCACAAAATCTGTTCTCCAATAACTTGGCCTTTCAGAGAACAGAGCAAGATTCAAGAAGGCTGGTGAATGTGCGCACAAAGGGAAAGCGATCCTTCAGCCAAACAAGCAATTTACATAGAAAGTGAAAGTTTCACCAAAAAATGTTCCCATTGTAGAAAAAAATCTGTCTCACCACAAGAAGAAAGAATTCAGCTAACTTCAAGAATTCAGCTAACTTCAGCCACTTAAAATTCTGTTTCAACTCTTTTACTCCAGAGTCTTCTTTAAATTAAAATACAAACCCTACAACCATAAAGATAAATGAAGGAACACAACAGACAGTAAAAACAGTATGGGTCTGTTTATTTTCAATTCAGCCAGTGAATTAACTAAGGATAAATAAAGGAACTCACCTTGTCCCATTTGAGCCTCTGGAACTCGTTCACGAATAACTCTGCAGGCATCATACACTGCAGTGGATGGTTCAAACTGCATCGTCTTCACTACATTGCATTGGCGGACACAGATCTTCAAGGAAAGTGCTACCATGGTGTTCAAAATCTTGCAAGTTTCTACTGAATTGTCTGAAAAAGCAGTGATACGTTATTGCTCAGAATTTTCCACTTAACTCTTTCATATGCTCAAACTGTTCATAGAAAAAAAATTGAATGACTTCAAAAGAATGATACGTTTTCAATAGCTGCCTATACATGTACAGTCCCACTAGCATCCTCAAGCTAGAAACTGTCCCCAAACACATATTATTCTTGGCATACTGAAAATTCATTTTCAGAAGAGGTGCGTACACATTACTAAAGATTAATATTTTGTCTGAGATATGACAAAATGCTGCATAAGAAAACAATACATTCACTGGGTATATCACCAATAGTAAGTATTTAGTAGTAACAGAAAAGCAACTGCATAATTTCCATTAAATCCATTTTTCACTCTTCAATATGACAGATTTGATAACAAATACAAATTAGAGGTCAAATTTTCAACATGCAAAACTCAAATCAAAATGGTTATTTTTTCCTCCTCCTTTTTAGATCCCGACACATGGGAATCAGTGGGTGCAGGAAGGAGTAGGTTGCTTTCCAAAGACAAAGGCTACATATTTTCAGATGAAATTAACTGGTCCCCCTAACAATGAACATGACTCTCACCAGCACCTTTTGTTAGAACATTTAGATTGGCTGGTAATAAACTGCTTAGAAAAACTACATTAAACAACACAGATTCTGAAGTATGCAATACTGTGTGTTCTTTTCAAGACTGCATAAATCCACTAGATTTTTTTCTATCCTGTTATGTGCGACCCAGAGCTCCAAGAACAAGTTATTTTTCATTCCAGTTCTGTTTCAGAAAGGTTGTTGAATATGACAGCTATCGTCTACAAAAACAGGAAGATACAAATGATTTTTGTTTCATTTTGTAAATTGTCTGGGGTTTGTCTCAAGTGTCTTTCCTCACATTCCAAATCACACCTCCATCACTGGACTTTCCATAGGGATCTTCAAAAATTCTTCAGAACTAAAACCCTTTCTGCATAAATGCAGAATCAACAAAATCTTAAAATGCTTTCTGCATAAATGCATGTGCATGTTTTTAAATAGGAGGGTGTGAGATTCTAAGGACTCAAATTAGCTGCTGCTGATAATTTGACGACACATTCCACTAGATAAAAATTTAAAGGCCAGTTGTGCATCTTTTTACAGCTCAAATACTCAATTTGGCAAACTCACTTAAAGCAATAGGAAGGAACCACCATTTATATTTCAAGAGTGTTAAGAAAACACAACACCAAAGTACTGAGCTCCATGACTGCACCCTTCTCCAAGGCACAGACAAATTATCTCTCTACTGATACCATTTAGGAGTAACTCTAGCTCTAAAATGTCACATTCCCACGTTAGTGGGGCAACCCACCCAGCTGCCTCTCAATAAGCTAAATCGTTCTACTTCATTATTATTATTATTATTACTTCCAGAACCACTTATTACCACCAGTATAAAATGCTACACAGTGCCAGATTTTCAGACTGACAATGGAAAAGAAGTCAGTGAGAGGAAACATGTATAGGAAACATTGATGAATTTACACCAAAGCATCACCAAAACAAAATTATCTGGAAAAAACACAGGTTGGAGCAGTTTTCACCATTCAGAAGGTTCCCTGGGAGAATTACGTGTTCATGTGTATGTACGTGCACCGTTAAAACAAGTGGCACACTAACAGATGGAAAAAAGACATATCAGCTTGAAAAGCAGCCTGAGCAAGTTGCTCAGAAAGCAACCCTAACTCACAGGCCACCTCTAAAACCTGGCTGTTGATTCTGGTGCAGTACGGTGAGCCACAGTTCCTGCTCCCTCCTCTGTCTGGAGAATGTGTTAGGGCAGGGACATTAAATGCAGCCCTTAGGACTCTCACTCTCTCCCAGTCGCTACTCCTCTTAAAAAGATTAAGAGAGAAAGTGACACCAGTGAATACAAGTACTGGAAAATGTTTTCCAGAAAGAAGCTTTCCTCTCCTCTTTGCTTTTTTATTGAAGCCAAAGGTGAGGCTTGCAAGCCGCTCACATTAAATAAAATATCCCAATTTGGAAGGGACCCACAAGTATCATCTTAAAACTTGAGCTGTCTTGTCCATTAGAAGGTAACGTGGATGTTGACCTTTTCCTGGATTTTTCAACTTTTCCATGAACAAGATACAGTCTAGCTTTGGGTATGAATGCCTTTGGTTGAAGGGAAATATTCATAAAAAATATAAATGGATTCAACAATCATCTTTAAAAAAAAAAAAAAAAAAAAAGAGTAGAAACATGGAAAGATGTCTCCTCTCTTCTGCTAACATATACAATCAACCGATCTGTACACTAACATTATAGCTAATACAGTTGCAAAGACACATGGCAACACCTTCTCCAAGATCCACCTAGCCACCCTCTTTTAAGGTTAAAGAAGTGAAACATCACCATGTCTAATGAAATGATTCATTGTTTCCTGGTAAGAAATACTAGACCAAGGACTTAATAGTCATAAATTAGCACTTAGGTTGAAAGTTTCCTGACATACATACAAATCCTTTATTATCAGCACTGACAGTAGTCAGTGGGGCCTTGTGTATGATGACGTATTATTATGCTTCATAATTCTGAATCTTTATATCATGTCAGAAAACAAAATTTTCTTTTAAGGTGAAGGGTCACAAAGTAATGGCATGAAAATAGACACAGTTAATTCCAACAGATAAGTTTTAAAAGTGTAATTAACCCTTTCATATGGATCATTCAAAAATGGATTTTTAAAAGGGCACGCTATGAGGAAGCATTTAAATTCAGTGCAGTGCCTGATCTCCTTCTATGAATGGAGAAAAGGGGACAGAGAAAAGCCAAATGGTGAAGCTAGACTATGAAACTTTGATGGGAAAGGTAAATATCTATAATGAAAGATATTCTGCTATACTTGGTGTGATTTTGCGGTTTGTACTACTTCTTTTGTTAGGTTAGTATAGAATTAGCAAAACACAGCTTTTGGGCAGGATCTCACCAGTAAGATACAGAACAGAGTAAGTCAGAACTTGGAAAACAGCTTCACCAGTATGATCTCATCACATACTTGATAAGTTTAAAAACAAGGTAATGACCCATCATTTCATATTTACACCAAAAAGCCCCTTCTAAATGCATTACATCGTTTCCTAGCTTGATAATATTTTCACTTTGTGATTGTGCATTGGAGAACCACCATAAAATCATGTGTCCAAAGGAACCTGCAGAGGCAGTCTAGTTTAGACCCTTTTACTGAAAAATGGTGCATCCCTATGGTGTCCCTGGCAGGTGCTTATTTTATCTGTTCTTACAAAGCTCTATTGAAATCAAGTCCACAACATCCACAAGGAACCACTCATTTAGTTGTTTGTTTGTTTGTTTTATTAGTTTTTATATTTTACCACCACCTCACCTTGCAAATTTTCAACCTAGGTCTTCCATGCTGCAAAAGAACCTTTTTTTCCCCCTGCTTTACACACACAGACATGGTAAATTAATCCCTGTAGTCTTTACTACAATTTTACAAGTTATGAACCTGTTACGATGGCCTCCCAACGCCTTCTTGTTTTTTTTTTTTCCCTCTAGGTTCAGATACTACTCCTTAAAGAAGGAAGGACCTAAATATGCAATAGTCTAATCTCCCTTGAACTCAATGCTCCTGTTTTCAGAGGTGCCAAAATATACTTTGTTCAGAAAATAGCTTATTAAAAGAGCCCATGAGTTATCAACTTCCTTCAGCACTGTGTTCTCAAAAATCCGAAGTGGGTATTCATGTGTCTACTTCAGATTAGCCTCAAGATGAACCTTCCCACCTGGCTTTCAGCAGTAACTGGGACAGGCAGTTTCCATCTCCTGGGTAACAGCCAAAATAAGAGAGCTGTTTTTCCTCAAAAGAAAAATGAACGTGGTTAAGAAAAAGGGCTGACACCACAGAGAAAAACAATGGAAAAAATCCTTCCATGTTCCCTTCAGCTTCTATACACTGACTCACACCACATTCAAATATTTTTCTGTGCAACTACCAGACACTTTGTTTCTCCTCCCCAATATCACTTACTCTCTGGAGCAGGTGATGAAAAATCAAAGGATTCCTGGAAATCAAAAGGATTTTGGAAGCAATGTTTCACCTCGTACTAAATCTAATGCCCCGTAAGCACTGCAGTAGGCAATTTCTAAATTAGACTGTAACTGATCCGTGCTTGCAAGGCTGGAGATTGAAATAAGTTACAGTCCAGACAGCAAGGGAAAGAAAGCAGCAGCTCAAAGTACTTAAAACAAGAGAATCATCACTGAGAACCCAGTACTGACAGGTATGTACTGATGTTCTGGGAAATCCCAACAAAACAAGAGTATAACCAGTGGTTAAATAATGATGAGCAAGTGCCTATGCACCCACAAAGACACCTTGGATAGATCATAACAATCAGAGAAAATATTTCCAACATATTAGAAAAGACAATGAAATACGGAAAAGTATGAGCTAAGAATGAGACAATATTAAGTTTCTTTGGAGTGAAGTAACATCATGCTGTGGGGATGCCTGCCATTCCGGCCACAGTCCAGCACTGGTGTAACCACTACAATAGCCAGCTACCTTCCAGCTGCAGACATTAACAGCCTCCCTCATAGCTGCCAACAATTGTCTGCACAATTATGTTCACTCAGTTCTGACACTTTTTTTTCCTGTGTTGGCCATCATGTTTTGAAGAGAATCTTCTCCTTAGTTTTGACAGAACTGGGTTATGGAGTGATTATATAAATGACATGCCAGATCATCCAAGACAGTAGTGATCTTCAGGAGAGGAAGAGGAACACCATGTGGTGAAGGGCTGATCACTGTCCCATTTGGGTCACCAAGAGACCAGCATGTCACCATAGCTTGCAGTCACTAACCTGGGAGGATAAAACTTGCAGCAGACACTGTACTTCCGTTTGCAAAGCCTTACTTCAACTTTCAGCAGATACTATTTTATCCTTCCTCAAAGCCCCCTGCATAGACATGCATTCACACAACAACAGCTAGAACTAGG